CGTCGCCGCCTGTCGTTTCGCCTCTCCTTTCGCCTGTCGTTTCGCCTGTCCTTTCGCCTGTCGTTTCGCCTGTCGTTTCACCTCTCGCCGCCACCTGTCGCCGTCACCTCTCGCCGTCGCCTCTCGTCTGGGGTATGTGATTACAGAACCCGGAAGTCAAGCAATATAAATATTAATCTTGTTCCCAAGGTAAATCTGCATTACAAATTTTAGTTCTCATGCTGAGAGTGTAATGCATTATATACGAATGCGATGCTTTTGCAATTCATAGTGGGACGATGAATCGTCCAATTTCTGCGTTGAGCGCAGCTGCAAAAGGCGGACCATCAACGACGAATAATCGGCCGCTCTCCGCGGTGAGCGCGAAATCAGTGCAATTCAAGGACCAGTCGCAAATAACTTTCGGCCACAACATTTCTTCTTCTTCGGGAGAGCAGTTTCTAGAGGGGCCTGGTGGACCACAGCATGACAACTTTATTTCCGACCATGAACATGATCCCGCGAACGACGCGAGGCTGCAGAAGCAGTTGAAGAACGAGAAACTGGGGATCAGCGACGCGGGGGGAAAACGCGGTCCGGTCTTGCTCGGGCTAGCAGAGGCTTTAATTACCTCTGCCGTTACGCCGAACCCCAGCCGCCCGGGGTCGGCGGTTCTTTTCGGAAACGCGAGCTCGATGCATGAACTGCAAAAGTATCGCACTCGTATAGAATGCATTACAAATTTTCTCCGCATGAGAAACAAAATTTGTCATGCTGATTTACCTTTAAACAAAATATTTGCAATGCAAGAATTGCATTTTTTATACGAGTGCGATACTTTTGCACAGGATACGATGCTCGGAAGTGCGATGCTGAGCAAGAGTGAACAATCTTCGAGGTCGCAGTCAAGGGCACTGTCCTCATCTGTCACTACCTCTTCAACACAGCTGCAGTCCCGTTCCCAATCCCGTATGCTCGTTTCCGCTGCAGTGCACGGTGCTGGTGGAGGTTCCAAGCACATCGTCGAAAGCAGTCAAGAAATAGAAGCAGACGACCAACACCAGCATTTTGAATCCTCTACCGAAGAGCAAAGCAAAACGCTACTCATTGAAGCCTTGGCGAAGGGCAGGGACGTACCGGATGAGGAATATTTGAAGGAGCTGAACTACCTAGACGCCATTCACGCGTTTCCGAGGGGGGAGGGCGAATTAAGAAGCCGGAATTTGTCGGTTTCCGAGGTGAATTCGAAAACGATCGGCATGGATGAGGGGGTGCGCTTTGGCGATGATGATGAGGATGAGGACGATCATTTACAAATCAATTTTGGCCCGCCCTCGTCGGAACTACAAGCAGATCATCTCGCCGAGCAGTCGCTTGCTGCAGGTGAAGACGGGGTGTTTCACCTCACGGAAGCGACTGGTGTGAAAGACCACCAACGCGGGGGGACAACGTCGAAAGGCGAGCAGCACGACCTCAGCGACCTTGTATTACAGGAAAAAGCAACATGAACATTAACGTTAATACGGAATTTGTGATGCAGGACCGCATCAGATGAAAAGGTGCCTAAATTTGTGTTGCATAGCATGCATGCTAGGAAAAATCTGTCATGCATAGCTGCAATCTCTGGGCAAAACCGTCAAGGTTGACACTTTTTTCCTTGATACCTTGTCCTTCAGGACTACAAGCAATCGCTCCACGCACAGTCGATGCTCGAAGACCAACCGCCGACGGCGGACAACCACCGCGGGTCCGGCATCTCCGACGTCTCCCTCGCGTTTGCGTATGAGTCCAAGATGGATTTGATGAGCTCCCCCAACACCTCGAAGAATTTGAAAAAGAAAGGTGGGTCGGCATCGTCGGCAAAAAAACGGAATAAGTCTACTTCGGGCCGCGGAAAAACTACAAGGGGCAAAAACAGCAGTAGTGGTCAGCAGCAACTCCGCGCCCGGTCCCCGACCGCGACGAATACCATGCACGAGCAGGTGACTTCCCCGATGCACGGGCTGACGAAAGAGCAGCAGAAACTGGTAAAACCCGCGGACCCGGGGCAGCTGAAGCGCGTGGCCAACTACATGCGGTTGTTGGAAGATTTGTTCGAAACCACCGACCACTTGGACACGTCCCTTTCCAAAACCGCGAACTCGCTGCTGAATTTGAAAAAACGGACCCAGTACGAGCACAAGGCCATGTCGTTACTGCAGAACGAAATCGAAAAATTGCAAATCGACGGAGGCTATGAATTGCAAGACTATCGTACCACGTAGTGATTGCATGATTTTTGCAAAGTAGCTCAGCATGACAGATGGAATTTGTCATGCGGATCTACCTTAAGAATGAATGAGACTTTGCATGCATCAACACTGCAATTACTACGAGTATGATACTACTTTTGCAATGCATAGAGGTTTCGACATGAACCCGAAAACCGTGGATCCGAACGCGAAAAGCTTATCAAAAGGGAACATCCCCGCTCCCCATATCGAAAACGAAATTTGTGATGCTGTATTTGAGTACACAAATCGGCTCGTTCACTTCACTTCACTTCATCGGCTCGTAATGCTAGAAGACCAAGAGACGCAGCTGTGGCCTCGTTTGCAGGCAATTTGTCATGCTGTTTCCCACTTCCAGCTGATCCCTGTCATGCTGAAGATGCAAGGCTTTCCCACGCCAACCAGAACTACAGTCCGCATCTTTTCCCTTCTAGCATGACAAAGCTGTGACCACAAATCTGAGTGTCGTCCAGACCGACGGCGGTAGATTCTTCTGGAGGCGGAGGCTAGATTTTCAATAGTGGAGGAAAGATGTCAGTCTATGTATGAAGCGCTCTCGTTTTCTTTACCCTGATGCGACCCAATAAGGAGAAACTCTCCTCCGTCAGCATGCGAATAGCATTTGGGTGCCCTACTTTGTGGAAGGCTCTTCTTCATTTTCTAAGCGGCTGGATTTCTTTGGGAATTGCCTTCGCTCATGTAGTGCTAGTGACATCTTTTAGGGGGGTGCCTACCCTTTTGCATTTTCGATTTTGATTCGTTATTTCTTTTTTTTAGAATGATGATGATACTATTTCTGGTTAGCCCACAAGAACAAGAACAAGAACGTGATCCGCTCCCGCAGGCAAAAAAAAAAAAATCTGCATCACAAATTTCTAGTTTGAGTACGGGGTGGGGGGATTTTTCATTTTAATAAAGCTCCAAGAAACTCCCCAAACCCGCGCCCATGCTGGATGTGTTGACAAGGTTTGAGAATTTGAAGCACAAGCTGAGGAAATCGAATTTAGCAGTGGAGATGGAAAATAACAAGGATGAAAACAAGAATATTAAATCTGGTGGAGCGAAGATGAACAGCAATCGGACTTCTTCTTCTTCCACACAACAGAATGATCGGACTTTCGAGAATTACCACTCTTCGTCTGGAGGAATTATAGAGCACAGCAAGTCCCTGTCGTCCACCATAGAGGACGCCAGTGGCGCTGCCGGGTACGGGTTCGGGAAAGTGAAAAACAAACGCGGGGGCAGCAAAAGTAAAAACCTGCTATCAACTGCAAATATTTTTTGTCTGGATGATCTGGAAGATAGAATGCAAAGCAAGGCTTGTCATGCAACATCCCGGGAACAAAGAACACAAAGTTCTTGGTCTGTACTCCTGCGCCCACAAGCTGCATCTTCACAGATTGCGCAAGAGCCTCTTGATGCCTAGTATTCGCCCTCTGCGTTCTCTTTAGAAGTGGACAACTTTTGCCGTCCATCATGCAACACAGATTTTTGTCTACGCCGCACTTAGCATCACAAGTTGCAAGAATGTGGTTCCAGACGCGGACATATTTGTGATGCATACCTGCGGCACACACACAGCTTAGACTTTGAGGCGAAGAAACTGGGGAGGTTGTCGCAGAGTGACATCCGGTACGAAACGACAAAGAGCATGCTGAGGAATCGCCCGATGTCTGGTATAATGATATGGTGGTTGGAGGGTCTACTATTCATTCTCAATGATGTAGTTCATGTTGACGACAGTGCTATTTTTATCGTAAAAAATTGATAAGTGTGTATCTGTATCGGATCTTCTTGCATTGTTGTTGACGATGACAAAGTACTAGAAGTTTTATCGACCACAATAACCCTCCCACCTACTTCCCAGCAACCGAGAAGCTCCGCGAGACGCAGCGGCTATTTCACGCGCATGAATCGGACATGAATAAGCAGGAGAACCGCGCCAACGATCTCCATGGGGACCCTGCCGTACCTGTTCCGGCGTCAACGTCTGGACGAGCAGCCTCCTCCTCTTCCGATATATTTCTGGAGCAAAGTCTATGCATTGCAAAAGTCAAAGTATGGTACTATTGAAGCAGTAATCGCATTACAAGTTTGTCCAGCATGAAAAATGGAATTTCTCATGCTGATTTATTACCTTGAAAAGGAGATCTGTCATGCACAAATGCGATTACTGCGAGAACGAGTGCGATGCTTTTGCACAGGATAGAGCCTTGCTTTCGGCAATTTCCGCGACACCCGGCTGGGCAATCGGCAGTTGTTTATCCCAAAAGATGTATGACAGTGCACAACAACTCCTCCTCGTTCTCATTTCTCATGCACAAGCCCAAATCCAGTTGTTCCCTTGTACGTACCTTTACTATTACGCATGACAAATTCCGGAAGCCCAAACATTACTACATTAAAGGAATTCACACGTTTGTCATGCGTAGCATCCACGTGCGCTGGTGTTTGTATTGCTGTTCATGCAGTATACAAATAAGGGGAACGAGAGGGGTTGTGCACTCTCATAAGATGTTACGGAGTACTACGACGAGCTACATGCGGATCCTCCAAAACCGAAGGAAAAACCCAAGCGTCCTTGGAGCGGAAAGGACAAACGGAGGGAGAAGCAGGCGGAAATGTGGAAGGGAGAGATAAAGGGCGTTGGGGAAGAGCTGTTGAGGACGCTCCCGCCGAGGGCGTTGTGCTGATAAGTAGTAGAGTTCCCGGCGAAGAAGTTCTCTCTCCCATTAGGAGAAAGAGATGAATAAATAGCACGACTGATTTTTTATTTGTAAGATCGTTTTCATCTGAAACTGGTAAAGTAGAGGGTCGGCCAAAGTGAGAGGGTCGGGGAGAGGTAAAACGAGAGGTAGCGGAGAGGGTAGGGAGAGGGTGCGTAGTATGCACGCCGTTAAAGCGCGGCGATACGCGCGCAGAGGTTGGGTAGAGGTTGGGGAGAGGTAAAGTAGAGGGTAGGGGAAGAGGGTGTAGAGGGTCGGAGAGGGTGCGTAGTATAGGGCGACCCTCTAGGCGACCCTCTACCGCGACCCTCCCCGGGAGCCTCTATTTTACCTCTCAACGGACCCTCTCGGGACCTCTCCGACCCTCTCCCGGACCCTCTCCGGGAACCTCTCCGACCCTCTCCGGGAACCTCTCCGACCCTCTCCCGGACCCTCTCTGACCCCCTCCCGGACCCTCTCCCGGACCCTCTCCGGGACCCTCTCCCGGACCCTCTCCGGGAACCTCTCCCGGAGCACAGCCAGCCCATTTTTCTGCGCGCGGCGCCTCCTCAAGAAGCTCGCTAGGGCGCAGCGACCGGCTGGCATTGCTTTCGCTTTCAGATCAGAGCGGCCGTTCAAAGTGCGTGCGCCGCTCTGCGTCCCCCAGAGTCAGGTGGAGGACGGCGGGGCCAGTTCGTGGGCTAAAAATTGGCTAAATTTTCCGGGATTTTCCCGAGACCCCAAGGCCCGGGCACCTCTCTGGCTTGGCCCGTGTGCCGCCGCCCCGGTCCGTGTCTTATCGCCCCCCCCTTCCTGGTTCGCCTCTGCCTTGTCGCCCCCATGGGGTTTGTTGGTGTCTGTGGGCCACTGGTACAGTGCGGCCGCTGTGCCTGCTCCTGCCTTGTGTTTTGTGTTTGGCCGCGCGCCAAGTTTTAAAATTTAAAAATTGGCCCGGTTTTCCGTGGAAATGCGGAGACGGCCAATTTCGACATGTCTTCCGACGGTGGTTTGCCGGATATTTTGCACCACGCAAAATATCCGGCCGCGTGGTCATGTGTGTTGCAGGGGAAGGCATTATCTCAGGAGCAACAGGCTCGAGATGGTGTTTGTCACTATCTCGGCCAAGCCCTGGGGGCTGCCTCTCCTTCTAACTGTTCTGCAGCGCGCTCCGCGCTGTGTTGTGCTTGTCTTTCTGATGACGTCGACCTTTGTCGCAGGATTCTTGTTCTAAACGTGGCTTTGGAAATTTAGAAGTCCAGAGGACTTCCATGTTTCCAAAGCCGCGGGATTCACACTTTTTCGTCTTCGAAATCGGCGGCTAAATCTGCAAGTTGGTGATTTCCTTCCCGAAATCACTGTACTCGCGAATTTAGCCGTTCGAGGCGAAGATGGAAAGAGTGTGAATCCCGCAAAGTTTAGAACAAGAATTAGAAGGGCAATTTAGAACATGATTTAGCCATGCGATTTAGAACAAAAAATAGAATAGGATTTAGAATAGGATTTAGCCGGCCGATTTAGCACACAATTTAGCGGGCCAATTTAGAAAGGATTTTCCGCGCTTTTTGCTAAACTGCCAATTTAGCAAAAAGCGCGGAAGGCTAAATCGTTTGGGGCGGTGGAAATGTGGTGGGGAAATATAATAACTATTCGCGCATGGGATGGCGGCCCACCGACTTCCGGGGGCCAAACACATTTCCACCGGCGCCGGCTTCCGTTTGGGTCTGTCTTTCTTGGGTTCAAGGGCTTCCGCCTTCGGGCATTTCCTTTCCATGTCTATCCTCCATGCGCCATAGGGTGTCGCCTCGTTCTGTGCGCGCTCCGTCCGGGCCGCCGCAAAACAGCCGCCACAAACTCCGCTGGGGTTTTGTTTTCTTTTACCCGCGCCACGCGGGCTTTCTCTTTTCCTTCGGCGGCAACGCCGCCACGGCTGCTTTTGTCTGCCCAGACTCGTAAAAAATGCCGAAAAAATTAGCCAAAATTTAGCGGGCGAAGTCGCCCCACGCCCTCCATCTGACCAGAGGGGGCGCGGCGCCCCGCCCTAACCTGGTCGGCCACCTAGGGTGGCCGCAACTACTTTACACAGCGCCCGCGCGCGTTGGCAGCAGGTCGGTGCGTCGTCCTTGTGGCGCCTGAAACGCTGGCGCCCGGAATTAGTTCCCTGTGCGCATTTTCTCACGGCGCGCAGCTATTAAGGCCGGGCATGCAGCAGCAGGCGGAAGCGCAGGACGCGCCCCCGCGCCGTCTATTAGTAATACAGGCAGCGCTTTAGAGGCGCGCCCCTCCGGTTGCCTACCCATGCCGAAACATGGGCCGGGCTCTTTTTCTTTGGTTGTGTAGTGGCGCGCAGCGATTCATTGCTGGCGCCACCTTCCCCACCGGAACACCTCCACCGAGCAGCCCCCTCCCCGGCGGCCTCCGCCGGGGGGTGGCTGGTTTTTATATTGTAAGATCGTTTTCATCTGAAACTGAAAGTGAGAGTGCAGCTTTGCGAGCGCGTTGGCACTAGGTGCCATAGATATTGTTGTTTAAGATTACGCTCTCTGTAGCATAGCTCCTCGTCCGCAATGTTGATCAATTCTACGAACTATAATTTTCCATGTTGTGAGAACATGATCAACATGATATTCTAGTGAACCACAAAAAAAAAAAGCTCTTACGTCGACGAGGGACCTTCAGCGCCTGCTCGTTCAAGTAGTTCTTCCTCTTTGATTCACCGCAACCAACCTTTATCGAGACGACTTCACTTTAGCTTTACAGACGTTGACTTTCTCAGCCAAGCAACTTATTGCTTCAGCCTCTGCAGGTGCAGTCTGTTCCTATGTGAAGAAGACTGCGATAAATATACATTACAGCAACACCTTGACAGTTAGATTTGATGCAAAAGCAAAGAGCTGTATCGTCAGCTTCTGGATTGCCGAAAAATAAGAACCAATTCTTTTGACCCTGAACTTGGCTGTTTTCTTGAACTTCCTTTTCAAAAATACCTCTTCCGCTTTACTTTTTATTTACATCTGAACTTCTGATACTTTCAATCTAGTCCGATCATGGCGATAGATTGCTCTGTCTCGAAGTCCTAGCGCATGAGGACCACGACAAGCAACGAGGGGCGTCAACATCTTCAACAACTCATATAGCGTCACTATGCCGAGACCTATCATATCTTATCCTCGTCGCTCCGCTTATGAAAAGGCCGACCTTTTTTTATACTTACTTTCTGTTTGTCTGAAACGGCACGGTATTAACCGCTACGGCCCGCGCTTTATGATGTTAAGGTTAGCCTTATCTTCACTTCTTATGCTCGAACCCGAACGGCATCGATACAGTTACACTTACACAACTTTTTACACTCTCCAAATCCAATCAAAACAGATTGTGATTGCCGGTAGAAGTACTATGAGACAGATTGCGGCGGCGGCCGATCGCATCACCAGGGATGACGAAAAAATGAACTTCAAACTGATAAATTGAGTTTCGCTTTCGTTTCAAATTCAAGGCAAGCTATCTCTCCCGATCATATTCGCTTCGAGTATTCTTGTTGGTGTCGTGATCGTGTTCATCATCTTCTTCCCGAACAATAAAAGGTGGAATTATAATACCAGCAAGAAGAGGTGCTGACAAGCTTTTGTTTGTTTCCCTTTTCCCTTTGCGCGAAGCACAAAGTACCATGGGTCGTGGAGGTCCAGCACCAGGTGGTCCACTTTGGGACTACTTTCCAAAACTTTTTTTCCTCTGAGCGTGGAGCAGGACGAGTGCAATAAAGGAATGAGAGATGATGATGACGACAGCCGGTGGGCTCTACTTTATTTACTAGCTTACTAGATGTACTTAACTTTGTTCAAAACCGTATTTGTCTCAACGAACATCTGTTGCGGATCGGGATCGGCGAGGAGAAGTTGTGAAGACAATGTCAAGTTCTTCTACTTGAGCTTGACTATATGTTTATATCAAGGTGCTTTATAAAATTATTGCGCTTCTGAAATAGCGACATTATGGCACGGGGACCACTCGCACAACTTGCTGGCTCTTCTTGCTCTTGCTCGTCCTCCTCGTTTCATTCTGCAAAAGCCGCGTCGTCCGCAACAGCGCGGACCCACGTAGTTTCCGCTTTAATGGGTGCGACGTCGAGTTGTAGTTCTACATCTACTTCGAGCATGCTTTATTTTCAGCATTTTTACACGACAAGACCTGCGGCTGGTGCAGCTGTTGCTCCACGGGGTCTGGGCAAGATTGTCGTCCAACATGACACCACCACCATCGCGTTCAGGAGCCAGAACCACAGCAAGTTTTTTCTCTCCAGCGGCGTTCTCGGCAGTAGTAGAATGGTGTGCACGAGGACAAATGGCGGGTCGTCTTGCAGCTCAAGTAGACCTCGAAACTACATGGAGACGATGAGGGGCACTAGTAGAACAAGAGGGGGCGCCGCAACGGCAACTACAATTGCTCGTGGTGGTCAACATCCTTCTACCACGACGACCATGGAGACCATGCACCAAGGACGCCACCAGGACCGGGAGTTGTGGTCGCGCACGAGAAGTGCCAGCTGTTTGATGCAGATCGCAGGAAGATCGCAGGCAGCATGGGCCGCCGCTTCTAGCGCCGCCGGGGGTCGTGCTTCTGGAGATCATCGATATTTTTGTGGAGCAGGAGGTGGAGGTACAGGGACAAGGCCGTCTTTTTCAAATTCAATACATGGTCTTCTTGGCCGCGGGGGCAAACAAATCCAAAACCAAAAGCATTTCTTTTCCACGACAGCTATACAACCTTCCCCGACAGCGGAAGCTGCAGCTTTACACGAACCGCTATCAAGTGGAACTTCTGCGGCCACAAAAATTATGACAGAGGATTTAAAGCAGTTCTACCATTTCCACGTGGATCAATACCAGGAACAGATGCGGCAAGATTTTCTTAAAAAGCAAAAGGAGAATACTACCCATGGGTAAAAACTTCCCCACCACAAACCCAGATGAAGATTTGTCATGGAGGTCCAGGTCGTGCACACTTGCATTTACAGGAACATCTGGTGATGATATGCGCACCTCTATGAGAGGCCGACTCCTGCTGGCTGTCGTCGTGCTCGTGTGGTGGCATTTGTAATGCTGCAGTTAGTTTCATTACGCATGGCACTTTTATTCCTCTTCTCATGTTGCCACAGTCCTTGCTAAGAACCTGCACCACACTACAGATTGATGACTTGGCACGCTGCAGAAGCAAAAACTTGTTGACCTGATGTGTAAGTAGCAAAAGATGTTGAAACAAGAACTGCAGCCATCGTGGCGCCGCGACGGGGGAAGACGTTTTACACAGGATACAAAACGCGAGCTACGAAATCACCGAAGATAATCTCACAGGAGAAAAAGATTTACTCGCCGACCCGTCGTCCTACGAGTCCGCTATCGACCGACTGTCGAAAATCAACGACCCCGAGTTTTTCAAAGCCTATGAGAATGCACAACTCCCCCTCCCCGTCGTATGTGTAGTTGCATGAACAGCAACACGAGCGCTGGCAAAGTAAATGCAGTTTTTCTTGCATGACAAATTCTATAAAGGATTCAAATGCTGTTTTGGATTCCGGAAAGTGTCATGCAAACAATGTTAACAGGCAAAGATGGGTGGATTTGTAATTTTGCATGACAAATGACGTGGAGGGGAAGTTGTGCACTTTCATAAAGCTAGTCCGAAAACGAGAACGTTGCCGACGGACGGGAGACATTTGGCAAGCTACCCGGGTACGAGCGACGTTTATGAAAGCCTCAGGTTGGAAATCCTCAAAGTGGAAATAATTTGTAATGCAAAAAAACGACTCCAGTTGAAGCGGCATTTGTAGTCGGCGCATGACAAATTTCCCGGGCACGTAAATCATGTCTGTCATGCAGGTTAAGGCAAGGGGGTGCCCTTCTGTCGTGCTAAACAGCACTCCAATTCTTCGCCTCTAGCAGGACAATAGTCGGCCTCCATTGCGCTCTCTGCAATACAGTCTTTTTTGCGTCGCATTTCATGCATTACAAATCATTTCCACTTTGAGCATTTCCATCCTGAGGGTTTCATAACGTTTTGCGCAACATCGCGTTGGTACGGGAGTGTCAGGATAGAAGAAATTGACAAAGTTGAAACAATCTGCCATGCATAAAATGCGATGCAGAGGGTGGTTCTATTGCCGAGGATGCAAAGTAGGAGGGAGATTCTAGTACTGCTAAGAATCGTCAAGAGGAGTTGGGCATGGGGATGGGCTGCTGAGTAGCTTGACAGACGGGACGAGTTCCTTTGCCCTAGATAACACGACAGATTTGCTTCCGGCGCGGGAAAAGAAATTTGTCTTCATGCGCCGACAATGTGCAAACTGTGGGCTCAAATACTGGTATCGGTTTTATGCATTACAAATTGTTTCAACTTTGTCGATTTCGGTCCTGGCGCTTCCATAGTTGGGAGCGGTGCCGAAGTATTGCCACCAGTGGTTACCGAGGAAGGACGCCACGTTTCAAGTTTCGACTGATTACTACTCGGAGAAAGAAAGGGTAGAGTTTGTCGACGAGACGCGAAATTATGCGACACAAATTCATTGCCGTACTAGTACCTAGACGACGTGGAAAGTGCATGAGAAATCGTAGCCCGCAACTAGGAACAGGAATCGAAATTTGTAATGCCTGATAAAACGATATGAAAAGACCAAGAGACTTGTCATGCAAGAAAACGAAGTACTAGGCTACAAGTACAATTTCTGTGTGTTGTAGTGAGATGAATTTGCTGTGGATAGAAACCAACTTGTGGAGCTGAACCAATTGGAGCTGTACAACCGGGGAGGGAATGTGCATCCCGGTACTTACTACATATGTCGCTTGGAGGATCATTGTCATGGTCTGACATGCAACTCCTGCATGACACGTAGGCATGTATTACCAGAAATTTTGTATGACGGACTGGATTTTTCCTACCTCAATAACTAACTTCTTCGTTTAGCAGCACTGCGACTCTTATCAAGTGTAAAAATGTCTGGGTCTGGAAGAGTGCATGTTTGTCATGCTTGTCTGGCATGACTCTCAAATCTGTCATGCACGTTACCCAAGAGCGCCATTTTTCTGTCATGTAGAAACGCAGTCTGTCATGCAGAATAAGCAACACCTAGAAGCAGCTCAGAAACTTGTCATGCTGAGCGAGCACCTGCGGCCTCCTCATGATACGCCACCCAGCATCACAAGTTTCCAGACTCAGGCACTTTTGCATTTGATAACTCTAAGAACACTAGTATCACGACAGGTGGCTGCCTCCTGCAAGTCACCCAGGACGGCGCCGTTGTCGAGCGCGATGCGGAAAAGGATCGAGAGCTCATTCCCCGATCGGTTAGGATGGCGCTGGCGAAGAAACCGATCAACCCAGTTCACGAACGTCTTTCGCTCGACGAGGGAAGTTTTGGGATCTGCCCGAAAACGGGAAGGAAGTCCAGGGCGATGAAAGCGCATGACCACATGGTAGAGTAGGCGAACAAAGGCTGTGTTGTAGTTTAAGTTTTCGCAACATTTGTGATGAGTAAGCGTGCCAGCTATCATGTCGCAAACGCAGTTGTACCTCGCATGACAAATTACCTGTTGATCTGCTCGCCAAGGTAAAAGGCCAGTGGGGCGGACTTTACGGCTTTTCCTTTCTCTTCAGGTATGAAAGTGCACAACTTGAACCCCTCCCCCTGATTTGTCGTGCAAAATGCCGCGCCGACGTCCTGCCGGTAGATCATCTCCGATGTCATGCAAAATGCCCAATCCAATTGCTGCGTTCTTGTGGGACTGTTTGCATGACAAATTCCGGAAGCGGCCCAAAGCCAAACACTACTAGCACTCGGAGCGTGAACTCGTCATGTACAGGCTCCACGTGTGTTGATGGCGCTTGTATTGCTGTTCATGCCAGACATTTCAGGAGGAAGGGGAGTTGTGCACTCTCATATCAGCCTGACCTGGATTATGAAGTATTCCCTCGCCAGTCAAACCGATGTCACGGTAGTGACGGATCCGAAGCGGAGAATATCTGGGTTCTACAGCGTATCAAACATAAAAGTGTTAGTGGTACTTCTACTTCTACACGCATGCTGTGCAATAAAAATTCTTGTCGCGGGGGCTTTATTACAACTTGCCTTACCGAAAAGCAAGAACACCATACGAGAAGACAAATTTCGCTTTAACGCTAACACTTTTTGGCATGATACCCCGCGCACCAGGAAGAGCTGGATAGGATGTAAAGGTTAAGGTGACACAGACACGTGGCCAACGCGTGAAGATCTAACTTGTACCTGAGTTTTTGATGCCACTCTCTACCTGAGACACAGAAGCCATGCCCTTGGGGCTAGTTTTGTGAGACGAAGCAAAACTGCTGCTGCATATGCTACAGCTGCAACTTCGGCGGATATGTTATTGTATACCCGTACAACGATCGACATCGAATCATGATAAGCACTGCTCGAGCGGTCGTCTGTCGAGGTCAAGACGCAGTGACGAGCGCTGCCTGAAAGAGCACTGTGAAGATCCTCGTCTTGCATTATATCACGAGACCGTCTCTTGACTTGTGGTGTTCTGTGATGTTGTAGTGTGGTTTCGTACCCACACCCAGCTGCCTATCGTGGTAAGTACAACTTCAAATGAAGTTGATGTGCCAGCATTTCGTTTCAATTCTTTCTCGCACCATCGCTGTCGCTGCAATGCTTACACGTAGAACTTCTACGTGAAAAATAAAACCGCATCGCTGAGTGAGATCATCAGAGCGACACAAAATCGTGCTGGTGGTTAAGTCAAATCCTCGGCGAGGCATTGAAGATAACAGAGAGAATATTTCACCAGTGATTTCGACGTTCCTTCATTCTATTCGAGACGAAGCAAAGTCGCTGAGAGACGCTACGACGCACAACAGAACGCGCCATGTTTGTGATGTCCTAGTACCTCGTGAAACAAATAAAGGTCTTCACGTGCTACCTATTCATCTTCGTGTCTGGCTTCAAATTTTTTCGTATTCTTATTCCTATATGGACGACCATGACCACTTATACTTTCTTCAAAATTAGGAAAAAAACTAGCGCGACGTCGCGATGAAAATGCCTTCCCAGCATGAAGGTAAGTATCGCACCTGCAGTACGATGATATTAAGGGTGTAAAAGCATGAAGATGCTGTCGTGCGGGCTCTACTATTAGAAACAAGTCCAAGTGCTTGATTATGATTTTCTGAGGCCGCACTGCATCCGCCAAATTTAAAGATGTGGTATGAACTGCAAAAGTAACGTACTAGTATAAATTGCAATACAAATTGGCTCAGCATTACAAATTGAATTTGTAATGCGGATTTGCCTTAGGAACTACATTTGTGATGCATAAATGCAATTAGTACGCGTACGATACTTTTGCGCAGGATATGTGGTGGACCGGGCGGATTCCCGGCATGTCCGAGGAGGACGACCGGAAGCTCTTTGAAGAAGAGAAAAAGGCTATCAAACAGAAAAAGTTCGTCACGATCACTCGTGCGCATTTTTGCAATGCAAAACTTTCTGTCATGCGTAAAAATGCATCACAGCCAAACTTCGTAAGGGGTCTCCCTAGTGTCGCTAAAAAAATTTGTAATGCAAAGCGTGCGAGTAGTTAGTGACTGTGGCAAACTTTTTCTCTTCATAAATGCGGAGCAGTTGGGCCAGGACCTGATGCAGGAGATCATGGATTTGTTGGGAGAGATATCGAATGCAAAGAACATCATTTCTGGGTGGAGGTCTGGGAAATAATTGCGACGAGATTTATCGTCATGCTACTAGTCTGGCATGGCAGGAGGAGACTCTCCTTCTGGGCTGCTCTGTATTGCGTGGCCGCAGCGAGCTCCTCTTGCCTGTCATGCAAAAAGGCAATTTCAAATGCGGAGTACGCAACTCAGAACCACGGAAAAACTTTTCATGCTTGACTTGCATAGTTTATTACTGTGGGCTCATTGATATTCCCGGACCCGCATCACAAGTTATTTCCCGACTCACACCCAGACTACATATTCGCAGTTGATAAGAAAACGGACCACCGCCGATACCCCCGATCAGGTACTGTTGTTTCTTCACGTCTGTAGTTCATGCAAGACGTTGTCAAGTATGAAATTTGTGATGCTGATTAATATTTCCGATAGCATAGACTTCTGCCTCGTTTGCGTCTGTGCTGCATAAAGAATCCTCGATCCCGATGCATAAAGCCACACGACGAGAAATTGAAACTCAAATTGTCTATACCTTCATCAGCTTCGAGCGCGTTCCTGGCGATATGCAGGGCTTGGTAAAGCCGCGAGAAATCCACGTGCTATCCTGTGCAAAAGTATCGATCGTACTCGTATAAATGCATTACAAATTTTCTATCTCAGCATGAGAAATAAAATTTGTAATGCGGATTTACCTTGAGAAAAAAAATTGTAATGCATGACTGCAATTACTACGAGTGCGATGCTTTTGCAGTGGATACGTGCGCGGACCGAACAACGCGCCAGTCCCCTACCGCGGTCCGGGCAAAACACCCTACTACAGGATAAGCAACACGGAGGCGACGATCGTGAAGCAGATATGCATTGCAAATGTGTCTGGGTCTGGAAGGCTACAAGGTTTGTCATGCTTGTCTGGCATGACTGAAGAGCTTGTGATGCGTGTCCAAGAAGAGGCGCTTTTTCTTGTCATGCAAAACGCAGTTTGCCATGCGGAAAGCGCAACACTAAGCCACGCAAATATTTCTCATGCTTGGTTGTGCATTACAGACGAGAGCTCACTACTCACAACTCAGCATTCCAAGTTCTTTCCTGACCCAGACATGTGCGCATTCGATAACAGACTTTGGAGTACAATGGTTTCCGAGAATTGACAACCAACGGGATCGGGCTGGGCATTAGCCCGCACGATTGGGTGGTCCAGTGGTCGGGGCCGAACTACTATGCACAGTAAATTGATATTCGTCGTCCCGTATAGTACACGTACAAATTATGCGGTGTCTGCATGACAAAACTGGGCTCCCCTCCGATGCTAGTTTAGCATGACAAGTGTTCCTAAACTCCAAATTGGGGAAGTTTGTGATCCACATCTTGTACAACATGCACGGGACGAATAATTTTGTGTTGCATAATTGCCGTGACTACGTTTACCAAAACCTGCACGAATATCAGTACGTGAACCACTTTTCGGGCTTATCCTGTGTAGAATTTACGTGGTCCCCACCTCCACAGAGTTTCCATGCAGAAGATCATTTGCAACGGCAGAAACATTTGTGATGCGCATGTCGCCCATAATAGGCATAATTTCCAATGTCGTCTTTTGGAATATGTAATGCTGGAAACAGCAGACGGATTATTTGTAGTAATGCGGCTGTCCTAGTCCTTTCCACTAAGCGTAAGCTGCACTGCAATACGGACTGCAACTTGCGCTTGCCATACGTGTTGACTCCCAAAATAACTTGGATGCTTGTGTTGCAAGAAAATCGGCATCGTGACAACTCCCGGGCGGGGACGACGTGTTTCCTCAGGATATGGCTCCACGGAAATGACCCGGAAAGACCGGATTTGGTGCCACTTTCAGGCGATGCAGCGACTTATGCACCGCAACTATGTCTGGGTCTGGAAACTTGTAATGCAAGTCAGTCAATAAGGAATGCGAATGCACTGTAATGCGTCGCCAAGCATGACAAGTTTTTTCGTGCTTCTGTGCAGCGTATTCCGCATGAGAAACTGCGTCCTCTTGCTGGGCACAACCAACATCTGTCCAAAACAGCCTAGGGCCAAGACGACACCGCGAGGACGACCACAGGGGGTTCGTCTCAATGATGATGATGATGATGATGACAGGCGAGAGAGCCTGTTTGTGGCCATGCAATACAGAGTTAAGGGTCATGCCGGACCAGCATGACAAACCTCGGAATCTTCCAGTAGACCCAGACATTTTTGCATTCGATACGACTGTTCGGAAAGTTGCAGTTTGACTTCGTCCCCGAGACGTTTGTGATTCCGGACCAATTGGAAGCGTTTATCCAGGTTTACGAGAAAACGGACTACCTCTGGATTGTCAAGCCCCATGCGAGTATTGATTTTTTTACTATAACGTTAACTTTGCATGACTGATTTTCGCTCTCCTAGTGCAACTGCATGACAGACTTTTGTTTTCGATCTACAGTACTAGGAAATCTATTTCTTTTCGGAAGAATATATAGCATTCGAAACTTGATGAACTTCTTCCTCTTCTACACTAAAGGTTCCCGCGGACGCGGCATCTTCATTCTCCAGGAGCTCTCCGAGATCCCGCTCGACTGCCTGACGGTGATATTATCCTGTGCAAAAGTATCGTACTCGTAGTATTCGCAATCATGCATCACAAATCTCCTTCCTAAGCTAAATCCGCATTACAAATTCCATTTTTCATGCTGAGGGAATTTGTCATGCGATTACTATATATTATATTCATGCGAAAAAAGAGGTAGACAGAGGGTAAACAAGAGGTGGCCGAGAGGTCAAAAAGAGGTCAAAAGAGGTAAAAAAGAGGTCGACAGAGGTGGAGAGGTGGCGCGGGGCCCCATTCGAGAGGGTCGGCGCGAGTATAGCCCGCCGAAGCGCTCACCCTAAAGCGCCGCCTAAGTGCCTGAGAGGGTGCAGGGAGGTCAAAAAGAGGGGGCGCGAGAGGTCGACAGAGGTGGAGAGAGGTGGCGCGAATAAGGGGCGACCTCTCGCGGACCCTCTTGGCCACCTCTCGGCCACCTCTGTCGACCTCTCCCCGCGAGTATAGCCGGATTATTAGCGGGGACCCCCAAAAGAGGTCAGAAAGAGGGTCTGCGGGAGGTCTGCGAGAGGGTGAAAGCACGCCCAAGCGGGCGCGAATCCGCATGGCACTCCTCATATTTGGCATTGCAGGCCATTCGCGATCTTGTTTTGTTCGGCGCCTTTCCGCGCCACCCTCTCGCGCACCCTCTCGCGCCACCCTCTCGCGCCACCCTCTCGCGCACCCTCTCGCGCCACCCTCTCGCGCCACCCTCTCGCGCCACCCTCTTGCGCCACCCTCTCGCGCAACCCTCTCGCGCCACCCTCCCGCGCCACCCTCTCGCGCTACCCTCTCGCGCCGGGCGGCTTCTGTTCGCCCCCGGTGTTCTTTTCAGCTGCTCCCTGCGCAGAGCGCCCACAGGCGCGGGAAGCGCGCAAGTGGTCCTGCGGGTTGGCGCGGTGCAAACTCCAGTATGTTTCGTTGTGCAGGACTCCAGTGCGTGTCGTTGTGCACAGACCCGTGGCGTTGTGGTCCGATCGGCAAACTGTCTCGCCCCGGCCCAACAGCCTTGCGCTCCGGCGGCAGCCGGAGCATGGCTGGTTTATACTAGTGCGATGCTTTTGCATTTCATAGATATGCCGCTACGTCGAAAATCCCTACTTGATCCAGGGTCTGAAGTATCAAATGCAAATATCGATCTGGGTCTGGAAGGTCGCAACTTGTCATGCTGTCTTTCGATTCTAAAAAAATCATCATTGCATGACCAGCAAGAGGAGTCCAGATTGTGCTACGCGGGGTACAGGTCGTTTGTCATGCGGGAGAGGCATCAGGAAGCCCTCAAAATAAAATCTGTGATGCTAGCTCTTGCATTCCAGGCCTCATGGGTCATGCGAAATATGCATGACAAACCTGGGAATCTTCCAGACCCAAACATTTTTACAATCCATATGCAGTTCGACCTGCGCCTCTACGTCCTGGTGACCGGGTTTGACCCCTTGCGAATTTACCTGTTTAAGGAGGGCTTGACCCGTTTCGCCTCCTCGGTTTTTAGCACCACGGAAGAGGATATGACAGTGCACAACTACCCCTTCCCCTCATTTAATGTGTTGCATGAACGGCAATACAAGCGTCAGAAAGAGTGCCTATTTTGCATGACAAATTTGCACAGGAGTGTAGTACTGTTTGGGCTTCTGGAGTTTGTCATGCAAACAGTGCCAAGGGGCAGAGCCCGGATTTGCTATTTTGCATGACAAATAAGGGGGAGGGGGAGTAGTTGTGCACTGTCATAGAGGACTTGGGAAACGTTTACAAGCATTTAACCAACTACAGGTACTAGGAATTTTACGTACAGACAATGTATAGCTTGTTCTACTTTATTGCTGTATGGCTACTTTATTTTTTTGCATCAATCAAATACATCTACTCGTCATGCGACTTGGAAGTAATTCCGCATGACAAAATTCGTCTGAACATGATAAAAAAATACAGTATCAACAAGTACGCGTCAAACTTTGTCGAGAACGAGGACGCGGCGCAGGACAACGTGGGGCACAAATGGAGTTTATCGGCTTTGAACAAGCATCTATCAAATGCAAATATGTCTGGGTCTGGAAGAGTGTAAACTTGTCATGCAGGTTTTCCATGACCCTTGAGGCCTGGAATGCGGGACCTAGCATGACAGAGTCTGTGAGGTCTCTATCATGCCTATCCTGCATGAGAAACTCCCTCCCAACTCGGTCGAAAGTGGACAGCCTTTGGCACTCATGCAACACAGATTTTTGCATGATTCCGATTCGGATTTAGCATGACAAGTTTACACTCTTCAAGACCCAGACGCTTTTGCACTGCATAACATCTTGCTTGCTGCAATGTGGACGTGAAACTCATGTGGTCTCGGATCATCGACGTGCTCATAAAGTGCATCCTTTCCGTCGAATATCCATTGCAAATAATGTCATCATCCATGCGCCGTCTGGATTTGTGATGCAACTGCAAGCTTTACATGGGGCTATAGATTTGAATTTGTGTTGCCGTTGCATGAAGAGGATAATTAAGTACTACTAGCAAGTTTTTTTTTTTTGCCATGCGAAATACAACTTAGTAGAACTAGAACTACTCAGCTGGCAAAAATATGCATACCTGTCTGTATGTAAATAGATTTCTGATGTGGTACTGTCCCTACCTAGTCTGAACGTAGCCATCAAAGCGGCCTCGCGCCATGCGAGGCTCCTCAGCATGAAGACAAGTAAGACCCTCCTTGTTTCCAGACCACCCGGCTTATCGACATTCTTTGCAGTTGATATTGAAAGACCGATTGTGAACAAGATGAAGTCGACGGTGAGCTGGCGGAGTAACTGCTTCGAGCTGTACGGCTTTGATTTGTTGCTCGATGAAGGGTTATATGCATTGCGAAAGCATCGTACTCGTATAAATGCATTATAAATTAGCCCAGCATTAAAAATTGAATTTGTATTGTATTGCATAAATGCAATTGCTACGAGTGCGATACTTTTGCAAAGGATAGGCTAAAACCGCACCTACTGGAGGTGAATTTGTCCCCGTCCATGCAGGCCGACACGCTATGCATTGCAAATATCGATCTGGGTCTGGAAGATGAATGCAAGTTTGTCATGCTTGTCTGGGATGACTCTTAAATCTGTCATGCACGTTTTTACCCAAGAAGAGCCCCATTGTTCTGTCATGCAGAAACGCACCAGTTTGTAATGCAGAATAGGAGAAGCTCAGAAACTTGCCATGCTGAGCCCGCACTTGTGGCCTCCTCCTGATACGCCACGCAGCATCGCAAGTTTCCAGACCCAGACGCATTTGCAGGTCATACACGCCGTTGGATTACAAAGTCAAATCCGCGTTGGTGCAGGAAACGTTTAATCTGGTATACTGACTTGAATTTCTCATGCAGTTTATCGCTTGATGCTTTGGCTTTGTCATGCTTGTGGGAACTACAAGTCGAGGTGGACCACTTTTAAACCAATGAATCAGCTCGGGCCCAAGCTCGCGGACCAGAAGCAGCTCGGTGAAACCCGATGGAAATCCCGGGCGAAGCAGCTGAAGCGGCAAGGCCAGCGGATCCCCTACGGCCAACCTCTATGCATTGCAAAAGTGATATCGTACTAGTTCTAGTAGAAATTGCAATAGAAATTGGCGCAGCATGACAGATGGAATTTGTCGTGCTGATTCAGTTAGCGAAGGAGATTTGTCATGCTGCATGACCACTGCGATAATTACTAGGTGTGCGATATTACTTTTGCACATGGGATAACCCCTCGCCGCAAGCAACGCCGGTTCTTCGACTGCCTACGCGTCTGCACAGTATCAAATGCAAAAATGTCTGGGTCTGGAAACTTGTGATGCAAGGAAGGCAATAGTGAGCTCACTATAATGCGCTACCAAGCATGACAAGTCTTTTCCCCCTTCTGAGTTGCGTATTCTGCATGAGAAGCTGCGTTTTTGCATGACAGGGAAGAGGAGCTCTTCGGGGCCATGCAATACAGAGTTCAGAGTCATGCCAGACTAGCACGACAAACACAAATATCGCAATCTCCCAGACCCAGACATCTTTGCATTTGATACACAGGCACTGAAGCCAACAGTTTTGAACACGCCAGCAGCGAGAGCGCGGGAAGCTATCCTGTGCAAAAGTATCGTACTCGTATTGCAGTCATGCATTACAAATCTTTCTCTTAAGGTAAATCCGCAATACAAATTTTATTTCTCATGTTGAGGAAATTTGTAAATGCATTTTTAGGTTTACGAATACGATACTTTTGCAATTCATAGAAGCGGAGCGGCAGCAGAAATTCCACAACTTACAGAAGAAGAACTTGCCCCTCGCCACGTTAGGGGAAAAACCGCTGCGGCTGCTGCTCTATCAAATGCAAAAGTGTCTGGGTGTGGAACAGTGGAACTTGTGATGCAGATCTTGCATAATTCCTGGAAACTCTGTGTTGCACGAGCAGCAAAAGAGGAGCTTGCTTTGTCATGCAGAAACGCCATTTGTGATTCGTGGTAGGCATCAGCAGGCGTCTCCAAAACTTGTCATGCCTGGCTGCCATTGCAAGCGCTTCAATCATGCTCAATTCAGCATCACACATTTCCAGACCCAGATATATTTGCAGTACATATGCTCGAATGTGTCCAGGAATTCAGTATGGCGCACGACTTCATCCGCGTTTTTCCGACGCAGGCCAGCGTCAAGCGGTACGGACACATGATAGGAATCTATGAACTGCAAAAGCATCGTACTCGTATTGCGATCATGCATTACAAATTTTTTTCTGAAAGCAAATCTGCATTACAAATTTTATTTGCCATGCTGAGGAAATTGCATTTATACGAATACGATACTTTTGCACAGGATAGAATCGGGTCGACCGCAAAGTCCATGTCTGCGAGTCAACTCCTCTGTCTAGCCTTGTTTAACGAGCCCCGATTGGCGCGAGCGCGAAATGGGTCGCTGCGGTATCAAACAAAATCGTGCTAACGTTAACGGTTTTCACAGCTGGCAGTTATGCATTACAAATTTTGCCTTCCATGCATGCTACGCAACACAAATTTGGGCAACCTTTCTGATGCGTTACGGCATCACAAATTCCGTTAACGTTAACGCTTTTTCTTGTGATACGCGGAGGTCGTTAACCAGAGGATCAAATGCGCAAACGAATAAAACGCCCTCTACTTCTCCCAACAAACAAACCCCCGCGGTGCAGATCGACAACGAGGAGGACGGCATTTCTGCGGAAACCGCATCTGCGATTAATGCCCTGAACAAGCAGGGGGCCAGTGAGTTCGACGACGTAGCGAGCACGGCATATGGGAGTGTCAGGATCGAAATCGACAAAGTTGAAATGACTTGCATGCAATGCATAAAATCGATGCAACCAGTTGAAAGGCCAATTTCCAAGCGGCGCATGACGAATTTCGGCACCGTCTAAATCCAGTTTGTCATGCTGGTTAGGGGCCCCAGAAGGCGTCCTTTGTCATGCTACTTTAGCAGCTGCATCGCAGGCCCCAAACAGGCTGACAGTCGGCCTCACTTGCCATCCCTGCAAGAGAGGCAGTTCATGCCTTGCAATTTATGCATGAGAAATTATCTCAACGTTGACGATTTCCAATCCTGACGCCTCCATACGGCAAGCGGAATCTCCCAAACCACCGCGACGAGTAGCAACTTCACCGGTGTAAGTAGTGTGACCGGAATAGGAACAAATGCGAGTCATTTAGCCGGGAATCATGCCAGTGGCGGGATATCGAATTTTGTTTCCGGGAACAGCTCATCGAGTAGTAGTTCGAGTTCGTCCTCAAACGTCGCTGCGGGTGGGGGGAATATCAATCACAACCTGGGTGGAAGAGGATCCTCGGCGAAAAACAGAGTCGAGTCGCCAGATTTAGCCGCCTTATCCCGCGCACGAAATTCGAACCGGGACAAGTCGAGGAACGGCGAGAAAAAGGGAAAATCAGGCAGAAGAAAATCGATAAATCAGTACTATCAGAATACGAGCGGGTTAGGGGTTTACGCCGATGGGGGATTGGGAGAGGGAGCAGAGGACGCCGGGGAACAGGGGGGAAGGTATAGATAGTTTGAACCAGGAGGCTTTTGAAGCAAGATGCATGCAAGGAGATTCACTACTTCTACTACCCATAGACAACATGAGCATGATCTTTACGGGCAGAGTAGCCTTACAGACACTGTATATCGTACTCTTACAAAAAGAAAAACATGTAGGAACGCCGACACTTCGTCTCAACACACAATGAATCTATCAGGTGGCCCCTCTTCCAGGACGAGCCGCCGCCAATCCAGCGAAGCCGGACTCTATCAAATGCAAAACGGTCTGGGTCTGGAAGGATGCGAACTTGTGATGCATACTTGGATGACACAAAAATCTTCTGTCATGCTTAGACAGCAAAGGGAGCTCCTTTTCCTGTCGCCGAAAGTAGGTGTTTGCTGTGCGGGTTAAGCATTGGGAAACCGTCTCAAAAGCTGTGATGCTAGGCCTTGCATGGCACACCTTGCTTCTGTGTCAAGCAGACACAGCATCACAAACCTCAGCTGGATTCTTCCAGACCCATACACTTGTGCAATGCATAGAGTCAGACGCAGGAAAATTTGAACGGGCGTTCGAATCGGCAAAGTGTTTCTCCCACCAGGAACAGCGGCGGGGGCAACGGCGGGAATAGTAGCAGCTCCACGAATATGGATTGCAAAAATGTCTGGGTCTGGAAGATTGCAACTTGTGGTGCTGTTTTTGGATTCCAAATAAAAGATCTGTATTGCATGACCAGCAACAGGACTCGGACTCCAGTTTGTGTTACGCGGAGAAGGCATTTCTCATGCGGAATAGGCATTAGGAAGCCCTCTAAAAATCTGTGTTGCTAGATCATGCAGTAGAGGCATCAATCATCATACAAAATATGCATGACAAGTCTGCACTTTTCCAGACCCAGAAATTTTTGCATTTGATAACGAAGAAGCTCGCCAAGTCGAAAGCCCACACGGTGAATCAGTACCCCGCAACAGGGAACAACAATAATTCCACGTCAAACGACCAGCTAACGAGGAGCAACAGTTTAAACAACTCAAACTCGTCCTCTCAAGAGCAGCAATACCAGCACCAGCAGCCTCTGGTCAGCCCCGCGAATCTGATACAGAAGAAGGAGCAGATGAAGAACTTCATGCGGTATGAGGATCATAATGAGCAAGAGCAGGCCATGCGGGATTTGCAGCAGAGCCAGAACGGCGGGAACGGAACAGCAGGGGGAAATAACAGCAGTAGTACTTCTTCTAACGGAGAGCAGATTCTAAACACCCACAACTTCTATTGGAGCACATCGGTCGTTATGAATTGCAAAAGTTGTATCGTACTCGTATAAATGCATTACAAATTTCCTCAGCATGAGAAATGAAATCTGCAATGCGGATTTACCTATACGAAAAAGATTTGTGATGCATAATTGCGATTGCTGCGAGTGCGATACTTTTGCACAGGATAGTCGTGAGTACTGAGGGGTCGAAACGAGGGCTGGATGCGTTGGAGAAGAGAATAAATGGGATGATATCATGTGTAAAATCGTCCCCACGACCCCATAGGCAAGCTAATTGGGAACTCGCAACACAGATCCAGAGATTTTGGGAGCCGCGCATGACAATTTGCAGTCCGTAGTGTAGTGTATGTTACCAGCAAGGAAAACTGCATCACAAGAAATCCATCTGCTTATCCTGTTTACAGCGTTACAAATTCGAAAACGCGAATGGAAACGCTTCTCATGGAGATGCGCATTACCAATCGTCCTCCAATCGCAAATCTGCATGACAAAAACTATGAACTGGGGACGTTTTTACACAGGATAGATGAACGGCAGTAGTTCCGTCGCGAACGCGAGCAACTTCGCGGCACATATCCTCTGCAAAAGTATCGTACTCGTACTCATCGCATTTATGCATTACAAATTTTTTTGCCAAGTTAAATCCGCATTACAAATTCGATTTACTATCATGCTGAGGAAATTTGTCATGCGATTCATACAAGTGCGATACTTTTGCAGTTCATAGCACAGATGCTGCAGCAACAATTGCCCCAGTTCACAGTGAATCCAGAAAAACCCCCACCGCCAATGCACCAGGAGGCGTATCATAACTCCTCGCCAAGATCGTCGCATCATCAGCGGAGTGTGAACAGGGACGATAGAGAGAGGGGCAGAAGTAATGCCGTTATCCACAGTAAATTTCCCGTACACGACGTGCAAATGCGGTCTCCGCATGACAAAACTTTGCTATGATCCTAGTTTAGCATGACAAGTTTTGCGCTCCAAATTAGTGAAATTTGTGTATGCATCTTGTACATGTACGGGAAATTTGTATTGCATAGCCGTGAAGCAGAGTTACCAAACAGGAGCCGGGGGCACTGCGTCGCCGAGCGGTCGGAGCCCACCGGGAAAGAGTAGACAGCCGGTGATTGGCGCGGGCAGCGGGTATATATAAATGCATTACAAATTTCCTCAGCATGAGAAAGAACATTTGTGATGCGGATTTACCTTAAGAAAATGATTTGTAATGCATGACTGCAATCAATAATTATCATGGGCGCAGCTGATAAAAAATTTCGTCCGGATTTCGTCCGTTTTTTTGATATTTTTTTTGAAAATTTTTTTTTTGCCCCTTTGGAGGCGCCCGGCTTTGTGCCCTCTCCAGCATCTATTAGCGCAGTGGGGCGTGCTCTGGGCCTGAATCTTCCCGGCCCTCGCTCCCTAACCCACGGCCACACCGCGGGCGTCGCCAGCATGTTTCGCGCGGCTCTTCACTCGATCACAACCGCTGGATCACAGGTCGCCGGACCTTAGGCGTCCAAGGGCTTGCCGCAGCCTGCTTTCGCATCCTCTCGAAGAGGCCCAAAAGCCTGCCATTGCCTAGGGCTTTTCATGTGGCTGCCCATGCAGTGGCCTCTCATTGCTTTGAGAAGGCGGCGCCGCATTTTTTGGGCAGGAAGCGACCAGCGATCAGCCCCCGGCCTTTGTCTGTGGGTGGGCTGGTGGGTTCGCGCCTTCACAAATCGGGGGATTTTCTTCTAGCAAAGACGGACAACAAAGACGAAGGCCAAAAATAGCTTTTTTTTTGGCTTCCGAAATATCTTTTTTTCGTCTCCCAAAATATCTCCGGACTTTCCCGAAATATCTCCGCGAGCGACAAGGAAAGCAAAAAAAACTATCTCAAAAGTTATTTTAGCGCCGATGCTATGGAGATACTTTGGGAGATATTTCTGGAAATATTCCGAGATACTTCCGCGGAGCTTTCCGAGACACTTTCTGGCCAAAAAAGCGTCGCCCAAAATATCTTTTTTCGGCTTCCAAAAATATCTTTTTTTGGCTTCCCAAAATATCTTTTTTCGGCTCTTCAAAATAGCTTCTTCCTTCTAGACCTTTTGGTCTGCGGATAAGGAGGGGGAAAAAGAGGGACAATCAAGATGCCCGAGGCGGCTACTTAAGGCTCCGTCAGGGTGCGCGCAGCAGGTGCGTGCCCAATGTTGCGTTGCCCTCAGGGTACCAGCGGCGCCCACCTAGGCGGGACGCACGCTCGCAGTGCCGGCGCGGGCAACTTAAAAACCGCTAGGGAGAATGGGGGCCGGGGCGTGACACCTAGAGCTCGCGCAACAAAGTGCAGGGAGGCAGCGCGCAGCGTGTCATGCCGCCTGTGCCTTAGGACACCGCGCAAGCGCGCGGGCTCTATGCGCTAGCACAAGCGATGCGCCTCGCGCGCAATACCGCCGCCGCGCCAAGCAAAGGCTCCGCGGCTTTGGCAGGGCGGGCGTGAGGCGCTTTGTTGGGTTCAATTTTTTTTTTGAAAAAAAAAATATCAAAAAAACGGGAGATAATTTGGCTTCGGGTGCCATCCAGACGGGCCCATGATAACAATAACTAAACAGGGCCCTCACCACCTCCTACGCTCCCAACGGAACCCTACTCCACCCGAACAACTCCGGCGGACCATATCAAATGCAAAAATGTCTGCTTCTGGAAGATTGCGAGGTTTGTCATGCACATTTTGCATGACTCCTGACGTCTGTGATGCATGCCCTAGCATCACAGATTTTGTGAGGGCTTCCTGATGTCTATACCGCATGACAAATGCTCTTTCCGTGTAGCAAAATTTGGACTCTCTTTGCTGCTTATGCAATACAGATTTTTTTAGAATCCAAAATCAGCATGACAAGTTGCATTCTTCCAGACCCAGACACTTTTGCATGTGATAGGTCAATGCTGCTGCCCACAGGTGGAGCGCAGAATCAGCAGGATCCAGCTAACGCCAGTCCGAACAAGTTGAGAAATCAATCGGTCGGGAATTGGCAGTCGTACTACCGTATGCATTGCAAAAGTATCGTACGTAGTATGAATTGCATCACAAATTCAAATTCTGTCAAGAAGAAAAATGCAACTTGTCATGCTTGTTTACCTAAAAGGGGTAGTTTGTCATGCACGATAGCAATGACCACGAGTGCGATATCACTTTTGCAATGCATATACCGGAATTACGGCCAGAACCTCGCGGACAACGATCCGAACCGACCGGGCAGTCCGCAGAACCGCGTGCTGCAGCAAATCAACCGAACGCGGTACGTATGCATTGCAAAAGCATCGCACTCGTTGTATCGCAATCCTGCACTACAGATCTTTTTCTTAACGTAAATCAGCATTGCAAATTTTATTTCTCATGCTGAGGAAATTTGTAATGCATTTATATAGCTACGATAGCGAAGATACTTTTGCAATTCATAGTACAACGGTCAAGGGGGTGCGCCTGGGGTAGAGATGATGCTCGAAGGTCCGGTCATGATGGAGAACGGCTCGCCACTGAAGAGCAGGAGCATGAACGGTGCAAGTGGGGGGCAACTACATGGCTCGTCGCAGGACTTGCAACAGGTGCGTATGTTGAAAAGTTCAAACGTAATAAGAATCGTTTTTCAGTTCCTTCATTCCTATTGTCCACGCTCTGGAGGTGCATTTGGATTTGTCATTCTTTCAAAATCAAAACCAAGAAGTACGAAAAAACAAAATAAACGCCAGACCGCCGCCAACCAAGCTGCTTCTAGTACAAGTTCCACGCTGCACAACGCGAAAGTGTCCGCCTTGGCCAGAAAAGCTTACCCAACCATATGACCTGCTCAAGCATTACAATCTCAAACGTTACAACAGAATCTTCTTGGACTTGTCTTGCACAATGAGCATGGCAGACTCGCAGAGCGTTCCACTTTCTGCAATACAAATTTCGCCAGATTGTAGTGAGGTTTGGGATGACTCCGGAACTTGTCATGCGCAATCGTATGAGAGTTGGCTAGATCATGCATTTCTTGCATCACAGATTTGCTCTTCCATATTCTATTGCACCGGTTAAGAAGATTGTAACATCTGAGCGGGGTATAAATCAACAACCTCGTGGAGCAGCATTCGGAGCTGATCGGCCCCCCGGTGGATGTCAATTTATCGAAAGAAAAAACTGTTTCACTGTAAGCTAGATAGTGATGCACAGAATTCTGGAATCAACAGAAGGATTTGTGTTTGTCTTGCTACACCTACCTGATGCACCATGACAGTGTCCTCTCGGTAGTTGTGTTTTCACCCGCTGCCCTCAGACATGGCAAGTTTTTCTATGTCTTCATGCGTAACTACGAACTTGTGATGCGAATTTTGCAAAATTATCCTTACATCAGTGGAGCATTGTTTTCCCGCGATACAGTTGGTCCCCCAAGCAAAGACCGAGAGCCTTGTCGATGCCGCGGCCAAGGACAGCTGAGTTATCGACATGATCGCAAAAGTAGAAGTGTCTCGCTTGTTGCCTTGCAGCACCACTGCATCACAAATCTCATTAATTTCATCTCGATTTGTCATGCTGAGCAGATTTTTTGATGTCATGCAAAAGGAGCAAGAACTACTAGCGTATCAATCGACAAAAATACTTTTGCAGTGCATATCACCGGAAGAGCAACAATGTGTCCAGCACGACGAGTAGCGTGATTATGGGAGTGGATATCGAGTTGTGATTTGTCATGCGGTTCGTTTACTTGGGAGCCGGCGTGGGAGTTGTGGATGCTGTTCTTGCTGTCACGCACAAAAGTGATCCGACAAGTAGAAGCATCGGCGTACTTCAACAGAATTTTATGATGTAGTATTGCAGTATCAGTATCAAATTCAAATCGGAGTACAAAGTTATGAATTTAGCAGCAGGGTTTAAAAAAGTAAGTAGAAGTAGCAATCACTTACTACGACCTTTTACATCAATGACGTCAAGATTTTTACACAAAAATGTCAGAATGTCCTTATTGTCAACTTTATGCATAATATTCGGCTATCCGCCTGACAAACGTGAAGACGCGCTTCTTGTCGCGGTTTGTGCATGGCAGAAAAAACTTTGAAATTTTGGAAAATGTTCTTGATAACGATAACTCCTATCGCATTTTAGTGAATTAGTGAACTTGTTGTGTTGCTGGTGTACTAGTTGCAGAACGAGGAGTTGTACTAAGGCGCAACAAGCTGCAACTACGGTTATTTTCAAATTTCCGGAAAGAGGTTGAACTTGAATCCAAAATGTAACATCACCACGCAGACGAGCCAGAGCAGACTCAGTCTGACTGGTACAACTGTCACTGCCTTGGAACTGTTTCAACTAAACAAATTCAAATTTATCAATTTTTATTGAGCTACTGTTTGCTATTGTTTCCAAAGTTGTAGACACAACTACAACGACGACCTTGAGTTACTATTTCCCCTGTAGAATCATCAAGAAGAAAAACAAAACCTTAACCTCCAGAATAATGAAAAGTAATACTCGTTTGCAAATAAACTATCAGACCACTCCTCTACTGTGGCAGCACCATCTCCTATTTGTTTCTATTTCACATTTGCTCAATGGTTCAAAAATACTTAATATTGCAGATTCCTATATGCTTTATCCTATGCAAAGAGTTTAGTTGGTGGCTCTTAATTTAGAAGTGCCACCTCTAACAACTCGTTTCAGTGAGCTTCTATACTTTTTATTTGCGAATTATTGTCATCCTCAACAGTAGAGCGGTCGCGCCGTTGGGGGAAGGCGTGACTGGCGATCTAATATCTCAGTGCTAGTATATGATCACCAGTATCTTCAGATCGAATGATGAAACTTCCTTGCGCTCGACCAGGCGGCCACCAGCAGGAGAATTAATGACTCTATCTAAAATTTATCAAAAAGATGAAAATCCACCTTGCATTTTTCCTGAACTAGTTACGAGCTCGTCCCTCCTTCGTAGTAGGCCTAGATTCAAGAATGTCAACTTCCATGACAGCACGACGGCGCACCGACTACGGGAGAAGAACCCTGAACAAAAAGTAGAAAGAACATCCCAAAGAAGTAGAAGATATTGGTGGTCGCAATCAGAAGTCACACGACAGCACGGAGTTATGCATTTGAACAAAAAAGATGCTGGTAGAGTTGATGTATCGAACGAGCTAATTTTTGAATTCCAAATAATTTCTGAAGACTCTATCAAAAAGCAGGAGAGCGAGAAAGATGTAAAATGTAAAATGAGATAAGCACTGAAAAAAAGCTACTGGTCGTGTTGTACTTTTCTGTACAGACGCAGGTAGTTGTGCAGCAACAGCTTCATTGCTAATTGCAATTCTGACGGCACTACAGAACCGTGTTCTACTCCGTAGTGCGTATCTGACGAGATAATTGAACAAGCATCCGGCTGCTCGTGATTATAGCCGCGGCGGGGGTGCTTTTTTATTTTTACCCTCATAACCCCGTCGTCCCATATTTATCGTAGCTGTCCTCTCTGCCCGCCATTTTTCCCTCGCAGGACCCTCCAACGTTAGTACCACGAAATGTAGTTGTACAAGAACTTAGAATTTCAAGTCGGCAAAAATTATTGCAATGCCATCAACATCGTTCTTGTCGAAAGCGAAAAGCCAGCTGTAGAGGAAGTTCATGAAGTTTTTGTCCGTACTTGTTATAGAAATTGTCGCGTTTGAAGACCCGTCCCCGTGGTAGTGGTTCCAAGAAGAAGATGATGATAAAGCAACACCTCTACGCTTGAAGTGACGTCACTAGAGACGAGTTTTTGAAAACAAAATAACGGACGGAGTAAAAATGCGACACCACCGTGGAGGACATGTTCACAAAGATGAACAAGACAAGATCAAGAGCTGCCACAAGAACGACCGCACGACCGCCGTTGTAGCTACTAGGACTCGTCGTCGCTGTCCAGGCTAGTACGTAGTGCCACGACGTCGCTTCACTGTTTAGTCCGTTCCTTCAATCAGCCACGACAAGGACCACCTGAGTGCGGTTTTCTTGTACCATCTAGCGTGTTGAAAGCGTGACTTAGTACAACCAACCGCAGTATCATACGATACGGGCAGACACGACTACAGCTACACCAAGACGATGGGGGGTGGCGGCAAGTACTACTTCAGCAAGAAATCGCAGATACCAAATGCAAATATGTCTGCCTCTGGAAGGTTATAGCTTGTGATGCTGCCTTTGGATTCTACAAAAACCTGTATTGCATGAGGAGCATTAATACGAGTCCAACCTGTGCTACGCGGGCGGGGCATTTCTCATGCGGTAGAGGCATGAGGAAGCCCTCGCAAAATCTGTGATGCTAGAGCATACATCACAGACATCCTGGGTCCGTCTTCCAAAACCTGCATGACAAACTCCTACACCCATGCAGACCCAGACATAGTTGCAGTTGATAGCAGATCTACGAGCATTATTGCTACGTGTCGCCCCGGGATGTGAAATTTGCGCTGAATTGGAACGAGAAGCAGGACGAAGGAAAAGGAAACCAAAGTAGAGATGAGAGAAAATCAAGGGGAACAGGTGATCAGACAGGAGGATCTAGCGCGGCGGCGGGGGCCAAGAACAAGAACTCTTCTACCAACTCAACTTCAACTTCATCCTGCGCTCGGGTGGAACAATGGTTCGAAGGGTATTTCGTCGTCTACAAGCCCTCCATGTGGATTTGCGACAACGAGTATGGAGGCGTCAGGTTTGAAATCGACAAAGTTGAAACGATTTGCCATGCATAAAGTGCAAGGCATGAAGTGCCTGTCTTGCCGGGATGGCAAGCGAGGCCAATTGTGGGCCTGTTTAGGGTTTGAAATAGAGCTACTCAACTAGCATGACAAAAGCAGTCTTCTGTGCCCAAATAGCATGACAAATTGGATTCCGGTGCTCCGAAAATTTGTCATGCGCCGCTTATTGAGTGGGCTTCCGACTGGTATCGGTTTTATGCATGACAAACTATTTCAACTTTGACGATTTCGATCCTGACACATCCATAACGAAAACGCGGATGATATCCGAAAGGAGGGAACGTCGGGGCACTATCCAAGAAAAAAACGTTGTAGGTGTAACTTTTTCGGCGGAACAGCATTACAAATTCGTCTGGCATGACAGCAAAAACCTGTCATGCGCAGATAGTATGTAGTGAGGTCACCGAACGGTTCTAACCGGGGAGTTTTTTTGACATATACCCTGAAAAACGACCGGCAATTTTCAAGCGGCCGGAAGCGTTTTTTGATACAAAATATTTTCAATTATCAAGCCTCCGGGGCTTTGCCAACAAACAAGCCCGGTCGAAAACTATCGACTCGCACTTGATAAAACGACGCAGGGGAGCCGGCAAAAGGAGCGCCCTTCTGAGGCGCCCACCGCCTTGGTTTCTCGCGATTTCGGGCGCCCAAAAGGGCGCCCGAGAAAAACGCGCCCAAAATCAGAACAGCGAAACTGCATGGCACGGCCGCGATTTTAGAGCATTTTTGGCGGCCGCGAAAGCGGTCGCCTTTCCGCCGGTTTCAGAGCCTGGGAAGCTTTGCAAAAAGCGCCGGCGAGAAAAATAAAAACCCAAAAGAGAAAAAGCGCGCCAGACGCGCAAAGCCAATCCGCATGCTATGGGCCCGATTTTTCTTCGCTTTTTGGGCGCCTTCCGTGGCGCCCGGATCGGCCCTATAGCATGGGGGCTGGCTTTCGGAAAGGAATTTCGGAAATTTGCCAGAATTTGCGATGTTCATCACGCGGCCGCCATACCGTGCGGCCTAACGTTACTCGCGGCGGTATGGCGAGCCCAGAAAAAGCAAAGCCGCGGTCAAGGCGACTGCCGGCAAGAAAACGCCCACGACGTCACTACCTCCGCCCCGGCGGCTATATTTGGTACGACTTGAAAACGGCCTTTAATGGTAATGGGCCCTACGACGCATGCCAAGCATGACAGACGCAATCTTTTTGCATGTTGCGCATCACAAATTTACACTAACAGCGTTTTTTTCTTGGATACGCACAAGCCGAAGAACATAGTCACCTGGTTGATCGCAAATTACGGAAAAGCGTACCCCTTTCTATCAGACTGCACAACTCCCCCCTCCTTGTCATTTGTAATGCAAAATACCAAACTCACTCTCACACCTTGCTCGTAAGTACCATCAGCATGACAAATAATTTCGGAACGACCTCAAATAGTACTTCTACAATCCACATGCCGATTTGTCATGCGAAAGCTCCTTTCGTGCTGTTGCTTGTGTTGCTGTTGATGCCATACAAATGAGGGGGACGGGGAGTTGATGTGCATTTTCATACTTTCTCTGCCACAACTTCAACGTCTTCACGAACAGCAGTTTCTCCAGCTGCACGGAATCGGAGAAAGAATGGGAGCAGAGGCTTTTATTTCAAGACCATAGTGCCAAGAGTGACAACAGCGGGAGGAATTCTAGTCGAAGGAGTGGCGCAGGCACTGCTTTTGCCGCAACTGACAGGACAATCACCACGACGACCGGAAGAACTACAAGTGTTGACAACAAGGACAAGGAGCTTGAAGAAGCCCTGCAGCAGATTCGGACCAAGTCCCAGTTCGGCTTGCTCCACCGCCTCGACCGAGAGACCTCAGGCTGCATTTTGGTTGCTTATACCAGAGAGGCGTTTGTGCAATTACAAACGACGAAACGGCAGAAGATGTGGCACAAGGAATACGAAACTTTGGTGCACGGAACCATCCTATGCAAAGAAAAAACTGTTTGACTGTGATGATTTTGCAAGATCTGCATCACAAGTTTGCTACACATGAGACAAAAAACCTGTCATGCGCGTTTCCCAGGGGAAAACACGCTTGAAATTCCGATGCCTTGCAGGTGTAGCAAGACAAATACTTCTGTGGTCCATTTTCTGCATCACAAGTTCACAGTTTTTTCTTGCGATACATCCCACCCCGGCTCTGGCGGGACCAAATCGCGATTCCGCTGAAAAAACGAGCGAGAGCTGCCATGTGGGAAGCGACAAAAAGTCCGAACCGGTACGTCACTGCACACAAGGCGCAGCAAGCATCCAACCGAAATAGCAATCGGTTCTTCTCTGCTGGGGTGAAGTTTGTCGTGCAGAAGTGCGAATGTTGCTCGGAGTCGCTGAGGAACTTCAAGAGGGAGATATCCTGTGTAAAAACCTGCCCACGACCCAGAGTTGTCATGCAGATGTACAATTACAGAAGAGAAGACGTTTGTAATGCGCTTGTCCATGACGGGCATTTCCGATCGTGTTTTGGAATCTGTAATGCTGTAAACCGGATGAGAAAATGGTTTCCTCATGCGGCTTCCTGTGCTAAACAACACTACACTGCAGATGGAAACTTGTCATGCACAACTCCCAAACCTTGGAGACTTGTGTTGCAGATTTACCAACTTCACTCTCGGGTGGGGACGTTTTTACTCAGGATAGGAGAACGGATTGACAGACTACCAGCTAGACGGGGTAACTTTCCCGGGCTGCAAGTACAACCGGAGGCCAGAAAGGGTGAGACAAAAGCACATGCTGGAGCTGAAGAAAACTTTCGCGTTGACAGACGAGCAAAATGACCAGTATGAAAGCAGTATGAACTGCAAAAGTATCGTATTCGTATAAATGCATTACAAATTTCCTCTGCATGAGAGATAAAATTTGTAATGCGGATTTAGCTTAAGAAAAAGATTTGTAATGCATGATTGCAATACGAGCGCGATACTTTTGCACAGGATAAGCGGAGCTTTTCTGCAGGAGTGCACCTGGGCGGAGAACCAGAAATACGACTGGGAGTGTTTGGAATATGAACTGCAAAAGTATCGTACTGGTAGTAATCGCAATCATGCAATACAAACTTCCATCCCAAGGTAAAACAGCATGACAAATTCCATTTGTCATGCTGACCGAATTTGTAATGCGATTTCTTCTAGTACGATGCTTTTGCAATGCATATGGAACACGACAACACAATGTCCACTCTAACCTATGAGGTCATCGGATACTACAAGTATTTCAGCAAGAAAGACAAAAGAGAGTTTCCCATGACGCGACTGCGTGTGAAACTCCAGACGGGCAGGACGCACCAGATCCGCGCGCAGTTGAAATTCTTGCTGGAAGACCTTGCGGCGGACGATAACGCGGGAAAGTTTGCGATGAGCTGGAAAAAACAGTTCTTGAACAAGGTAAAGAGTGAGGAAAAGGGAAATTCAAATAGTGGCGCATCTAGTGCTGGTGGTGTGGTGAAGAAATTAAACGCAGAAGTTGTACACCAAAAAGCTGATGAGAAAAACAACCCTGAAGACGAATCTTCTTCGCCATCTGACGACAGAAAAAACATCTTCTCCATGTCTCCCTCATACCCGGTTTGCGGTATTGTGGGGGACTTCTGTTACACGCACGGCATTATCAAATGCAAATATGTCTGGATCTGGAATAAACCTGTGATGCTGGCTGGCGAAAAATCCTGAGGACGCCACAAGTATTAGCGGCTCAGCATGACAAGTTTCTGATTTGCTAGGTGTTGCGCATTCTGCATGACAAACCGCGTCCCGGCATGGCAGAAAAGTGGGGCTTTTGGGTAACGAGCATGACAGACTTTGGCGTCATGCTAGCAGAGCATGACAGACCTTCCAGTCTTCCAGACCCAGACATTTTTGCAGTCCATAGTGATTTACAAATTTGACGAGTCGCGCGCAAAGGACAAACATGACCGGAACGACGCGCTCTTCTGGCAGAATCAGGCGAAGGAGACGTTTACAAGTGCGGAGCAATTGAGCGAATACGAAAGTTGGCAGAAGGACGCTTGGCTTTCCGAGTACAACTACGAAGTGCGGAAGAAGCAGGAGAATATCCTCTGCAAAAGTATCGTACTCGTAGTAATTGCAATCGTGCATTACAAATTTTTATCTCAAGGTAAATCCGCATGACAAATTTTATTTCTCATGCTGCGGGAATTTGTCATGCATTTCTACGAGTACGATACTTTTGCATTTGATAGAGAAAACTTTGGAGCAAATCGACTCCGAATTGTTCGGCGAGGATAACAATAACCGGCGTCGGGTCTTCTTACACACCGGGGTGTTAGGCTGGCCAACTCCGGAGTCGAACAACGTGGAAGTGCAGTGCGTGAAGACCGAGTTACTATGACAGTGCACAACTCCCCCTCGTTCTCATTTCTCATGCAAAAGCCCAAATCAAGTTGCTTCCCTGCGTCACTATTATGCATGACAGATTCCGGAAGCCCAAACAGTACTACACTAGGCGAATGAATGTGTCATGCACACCTGTGCCGGTGTTTGTATTGCTGTTCATGCAACACAAATGAGGGCGGGGGGGAGTTGTGTACTCTCATAGTTACCGGTCGAATTGCAGAACGTTTTTTCCAAACTGACCGTCGATGAAGAGTTGCAGAATCAACTGAAAAAATGGAAGGAGGAGATGACGGGCGTCAATGTCCGATCCGCCAGGTCGAGCAAGCAGAACGAAAAAACCGCGAAGCCGCCGACAGAATACCTTTCCACCGAGGGACTGACAACCCATCAACGGATGAAAAAGTGGCTGTATGAGTTCGGGTTGAACCGCAAAACGGAAATCGCCTTGAACAGCTTCTACCGGAGTAATACGCTTTGCAAAGGTATCGCACTCGTAAGTAAAAATTGCAGTGACCACGCATTACAAATCGCGTGCCTAAAGGTAAATCTGCATCACAAAAAGAGAAATTCGATTTTTCATGCTGAGGAAATCATTTGTAATGCGTTCTTGCTACTACACTAGTGGTGCGAAGATGCTTTTGCAATGCATAAGGAAAGACGAGAAAAAAATGGACGATTTCATCCGGGAGTGGCACGCGTTTTGTCCGATGGTCAAGGTTGAAACGAGGAAAATGGACGGGGCGAAATCTGTGAAACTGAAGTCCGCGGCGGTTCGGGGATTCGAGCCCTGGAAGGAGGACATTGCTGCGAAGAGTAGTACGACGAGCTCGCCCAGTGGCAGTGCGTCCTCACGACGCCGGGGACAAGAAGTTGTTGAGGGAGATGAAGAGCAGCACGACCGTGCTGGGCGAGGAAGAAGATCTTCGGAGAAACAAGATGAAAGCAGAACAAGGACCCAAGGTCGTGCTGACAACTTGACACCCAGAACAGCACATAGACCACCACAACGTGACAACAGCAGCAGAAACCGCACAGGAGCAGGAGGAGTTACGTCCTCTACGAGAGCAGCAAGACGAGGCAAAATGAACAACACCAACAAGAACTCTGCGACCACGCCGCGAACTGAATCTGAATACGCGATTATTGAAACCCGAAAAGACCATAGCTTGATGGTGGACAGGATCTTGACCAGGTGGATGGCGGCGCAGGCGATTGAAGCAGAGTTGTGGATGAAAGGTCGTGTCAAGACTGCAGCGGAATTGAAGGAGATTAATGAGGACTTTTGGAAACACCAGATCCTGAAGTGTAGTGACGATGTGGATTTGGTTTTATCGACAGGTGGCGGAAATAAGAACAACAACAATAACTTTCGTTCGGAGTGTTCGAAAAGCAGCAGCAGCTCCTCCTCTGCTGCCTCGAGCTCCGATGAGCATGAAAACGAGGTTGGTGGAAAAAAACCGGCAACAATTCCAATACCGATTTTCACGCCGAAAAACAACAACGCCGAAGGTAAAAATGATATCGGCGTGGTGGATGCAAAGGTGAGCAAAAAGTTGCCGAAAAATTGCTGTCAGTTTCCGTTCGAGGAGGAGGAGGATACCAACAGGAGGAGAAAGAGCTATGCGTTGCAAATATGTCTGGGTCTGGAAGACAGTATACTTGTGATGCTAAGTCTACTACACCCTGTAAAAATCTGTGTTGCATTACTGCCACCAGTTCTTGTCCACTTTTGACCAAGTTAAGAGGGAGTTTCTCATGCAGGACAGGCATGATCGAGATCATCGCACAGAATCTGTCATGCCAGGAGGTCCTGCACTGCAGACCTCGTGGGTCATGGAAAATCTGCATGACAAGCTTCCACGCTTCCAGACGGCCTAGACGTAATTGCATTTGATAAGAGCCTCGACTTCACCATGGGCATGTTTTTGTCGACCGAGTTCAAGGAAACGAAATATGTCGTCGGCAGTGCTGATTACGCGGCCCGATTGCACGGGGGTTTGCCCGACAACTGGTATCTTGTGTTCGATAACAAGAAGCCAATCGTCGAAGACATGTGGTACTACTACAACCCCATCACGCAGGACAAGAGACCTCTGGATGAGCACCCGGCAGGAGGTGGAGAGGTGGAGGAAAACGAAAAGAGCAGCTCGGAACAAGCACCAGTGGTGGCTCCTGCTGCGGCGCCGCAGGAGGTGCATCAATTTTGCCCGGAGCAGCAGCTTAAGAGCAAAACCAGCATCCGCGAGACGAGAACAACCACACAAGACGCCGAAGATGCCCCAGGTCGTTCTGTTGCGGATACTACAGCAAGAACAAAACCAGCACCACTTCTATCCGATGCAGACTTAGCCCGCAGGACTTGGATCTGTGAGTACGTGAAACAGCTGGACCACAGCGCGCTGCTCGAGTGGAAACTGAAGTACATGAAAATTGTTCGGAGGGAGGAGTTATTGATCCGGCAGAGCAAGGTCGCGAGCAGTGTACATCAAGCAGCAGCTGCGGTGGCTGCTGCATATGGTAAAGAAAGTAGAGAAAACTTTACTACAAATAAAACCATCCCCGTAGTCCTAACACGACCCGCAACCGCCACGACGGCATATCAAATGTAAAAGTGTCTGGGTCTGGAAGAATGCAACCTGTCATGCTAAATCTGAAGCATGCAAAAATCTGTGTTGCATGATTACCAAAAGTCGTCCACGTTTGAGCAAGTCGGGAGGCAGTTTCTCATGCAGGATAGGCATGAGAGAGATCGCACAGAATCTGTCATGCTAGGTTCTGCATTCCAGACCTCATGGGTCATGGAAAAGCTGCATGACAAATCGCGCACTCTTCCAGACCCAGACACTTCTGCACTTGATACGGCAGCCAGCGGGACCACAACTTCAGGGGGCAATAAAACTTCACGGTCTGGCTCTGCCAGTTCTTCCAGTAGCAGTAGCGGCACTTTTTCTAGTAGCAGCTCATCTGCGTTGTCTTCCGCTGCGCCTGCGTCTATGATTAACACACGCGCGACCACTTCTCAAGTTCCTCATTCTCAACGACCTTCTACACAGCAAGAACATCAAGCAGTGGTATATTCCAAAGCCGCTTCGGTGCTGCTGTCCCGCGAACAAGCTGCTGCGAAGAACGCCGCGCCCCCCGGGAACAGTAGTACAGCGACTTCTGCTTTCTCCTCTGTAATTCTAAAGCCACCACCGACAAAAAGGCGAAAGGTGGAACCATCAGGGGACGACGGAGCAGGTGGGAAAAAAATAATCATCGCTAAAAATAAGAATACAACTACGACAAGAACAGATTCGGTGAAAACAAATGGCAGTAGCATTGCCGCGACGAGGTCGAGGACTTCAAAACTTTTGTCTACCTGCTCCAGCATGACAGATTTTTTCCAGAAGTCACACGCCCGAATGATGAGCCGAGGGATCATGAGTCGGCAGAATAGTGTAGAGGCTCCGGCGAAGAATAGTGATGCTGATGGACAAGAACTAGAGGGTGTACAAGTTGTAGCACCTCCACCATCTGCGCTAGTCCTAAGTAGAGCGCCAGCTGCTGTTGACGATAGAAATTCAAGTGTTTCCGAAAATAAAACTGCTGATGGTGTTCCAGCATTCGCTCCTGCAGGAGCAGGAGCTTCTCAAGCAGATTCGTCTCAGCAGCAGCCTATTCCTCCAGTTCGGATGAAAAAGAGAAGAAGATCGAGCTCCTTTCCCGCCGAGAATGTTGGTAGGCACGATCTGAATCAGCAGGGCGAACGAAATGAAGAACACAGAAGTTTTGATATCAACAGAGCCGCAGCTACTGAGGCAGTGCAGCTTCCGCCGGGAATAAACGTTCTTCACAAGAGCTCGGCTTCTGGAAAAGAAAACACAACACTTTTGGAACAACAGCAGCACTACGCCCGGCAAACCCAAAGCGTTGCTGACCACGCAGCGAAAAATCAGGAACAGCAGTTGACTGCACATCAGAAGTTCACTTCGGTGCAACACGCCCAAGCATCTTCCTCTATTTCGTCCTCCTCCTCTGGCGAGCAAGCTGTAGGGGCATCAAATACGGTACTAGCGGCTCCTACTAGCTCAACATCATTCATTCCTGCAAGAAGAATTACAACAACAGATCAAGATGAAGACAAACTGGTCCCCTTCCAAGAAAAGTTCCAGGTGAAAGCCAGTGTTCTCAGCCGCAGGCAGGCGCTGATAAACCGGCATCGGGAGAAGAAACTGTGGGCCGAAGCAGGAGAGCGACAAGTTGTAGAACATTGGTCGGTATCAAATGCAAATATGTCTCCTGGGTCTCGAAACTTGTGATGCTAGAATGTGGATGATGGAAACAGCTCGTCCGACTGCTGTGTAGTAGCGCGAGAACTTTCCAGAACGCTTTCTCATAGGCTGCAATCCGCGTCAGAAACTCCGTGCTCGCATGTTTAAAAGAGGCTGCGACATTTGTTGGCTATGCAATACTAATACAGATTTCCTAGGTATAATCGAAAGCTAGCATTACAAGTTCCAACCTTCCAGACCCAGACATATTTGCGTTGCATAGTCGGCCGCCTATCAAGCAGATGTAGATGATCCCCGCTACCGCAGTTTCTCGAGGAACGACAAGAAAGACAAGGAGACAAGTCAAAGCGCCAGTGGTCAACAACAGAGTACTAGGGGGTCCTTCACCTTCGGCAGTCTTGCCGGATTACGAAGGGCGGAAGTTGTGAGCGAGCCTGTTCCTAATCCTACACGATCGACTTCTACTGGCACCGCAGCTGCTTCTTCTTCTACGACGAACGGCATGTTGCATACTGGTGTTGCAGCAGTAGGAGCAGTAGATACAACAACAGAAAACATAATCATAAACAACAAGCACCACAACAATACAACCGCTGTGCGCAGCAACATAGAAGACCGAAAGGACTACAACGATGTTGATCACATCGGCGATAAAAAGGCCGAAAAAGAAAGGAAAAAGCTGAAAAGAAGGAGCCGCTCTGGATCTGCGGTTATTGACAAAAAACTTCTTTACGACACGGTATTTGGTATTAGTATTACTAGCGACGAGCATAATTTTATGCATGTGCACAACTCCACCTCGTCCCCCTCATTTGTCATGCAAAATGTCGAATGGAGGCTGTGCCGCTTAGCACTGTTTGCATGACAAGTTCTCAAAGCCCAAGTAGCACTACAACCTTGTGCAAATTTGTCATGCAAAACATGCATTCTCGCTCTCGCTGGCGTCGCGCTTTTATTGCCGTTTCTGCTATACAAATGATGGGGAGCAGGGGAAGTTGTGCGCTATCATAAATTTCGATCAGGAGCAACCCGGTGTGGATTTCCGCGATAAGGACATCAGGCGCGGGAAAGTAGACAAGGATGTGGAACTACACAAGCACGCGGCCTTGATGGACCACACCAGAAAACGCGACGTCGCGGGAACCACTAGTACTAGAGAGCGGCGAGCCAGGACAACGTCGAAGGACAAGATCATGAAGTACGACATCACTAAAGTCAGTACCAGATCAACATTGAAATCTTCCGAGAAGAAAGAAAAGAAAGCTCTGTATGAGTTGGCTAGTACTTCTACCAGAGGTACGCACAAACGAGGGCGGACGCAGCGGTAAACTGCTTTTATTAAACGGGTGACGGTGAGCAGTTGAAGTTTTATTAGAACCGCTTTTGCATTTTCTGTGCAAGAAGTGCAGCAGTGGTCTCGAAGCACCCCAGGCGGCTCTCCCGGTTCCACTAAGTACAAATGAATAAAGAATGCCTGGTGGCGCCCTCCAAGAACATGTGACTCATTCCCATAATATTTTGCTTTTGTTTGCAAGCGACAACATTGATATACTAGCGTTTTCATATGATCAAAAATGAACACGCGCAACCGCAACGAGACTATCACTATCATGCGAAGAAGATTTATTTTCGCACGTCTGCGGATAGAGAAATGAAATGAGCGACGCAATAAATGCAGCGTTTGACCATGACGACCACACGAGCACGACTAAGGCAATGACGATTGATGGGCGGGAAGATTGGAATAATGCCAGGTTTCCTTGTTCGAGCGTTGCGGCTGCACACTGGTGACGTGTTGGTCGCCTGCGCTGTGACAGTTAGCGGCTTTCTTGTTTTCATCTAAAAGAAGGATCGATCTAGATCTACATCTACTGCCTCTAGTGTCTTGGAAAAAGATGCGCTACAGCTACACGATCTCCAAAGTAGACGTTGCGAGTGAAGATGAAAACGCTGTTTGCTGTTTGACGTTTACCTCGAGCGGGGAAGTTGATGATGAGATTTGGTATACGTCGTTTCGTTTGTCGTCGGGAAGGAAGTAGTGCTTAAGTAATGGAATAAAGAAGACTGAGGTTGTTCTTGAGCTACTTGCAAGATGGTCGCGCGAACAACCGCGGTTCTACGTTCCAATGCAGCCGGAATTGTAACAGGAGCCGGAACAGCAACTGGCTCAACCTCTTCGTCTGCAAATGCGGTAATGCTTGCGACGCGTAAAATAAGTCCGGCTTCCCCCTCAAGAACCTCCCAGCAGCAACTCCACCGAGCCGTGCACCGTCCGGAGGCCTTGCTAAACCCGTACTTCCTACAGAAGGAGAAACTACAGCTGAATCCGAGGCAGAAAGTTCTGTGGACGCATAATCCAGCAACCGGTGCTGGTGGTTCGATCCCCGCCGAAGTAAATGGCGCTGGTGGAGGCGGTGCCACCAGCACAGCTTCTAGTACTTCCAGCAGTAGCTCCTCTTCTTCCACACCCTCCGTCTCAAACCTGGATTTAGCTCTGCTCACCAATCGGGGCCTGCGGAAGCAAACCATGGAAAATATCGTGAATCTGCTCGGGTCCGACCTGGGCAGGCTACTGCTTTCCATCCCGAAAAACATCGGCCCGGAGCGGGCGTTCGTGGCGTACAAGCGGTTTTTGGTAAACAAGATCAACTCGGAGGCCTCGGTTGACAGCCCAGGTGGAGCTCTTTCTGCCCTTCAACAAAGCAAATTGAAAGCGGTAGAAAGTTATGCATTGCAAAAGGAAAAGCATCGTACTAGTAGTTTAAATTGCATCACAAATTTTGGCAAGGAGGAAAGTGGAATCTGTAATGCTGTTTTGTCACAGGAAGAACATTTGTCATGCATATTTGCCATTTTGTACGAGTGCGATAGTACTTTTGGACAGGATAAAAGTATGACGTTTCAAACTTTCGAGGAAGAATACCGGAAGATTATGCCGATGGTGATATCCTGAGCAAAAACATCCCCACCCCAGAGTCAAGATGGGGATCTCGCAACACAAATCGAGAAGTTTTGGGAGTCAAGCATGACAAGTTCGTCTCTGTATTGTAGTGCAGGATAGCAAATAGAGCCGCAATGCAAATCCATCTACTCATCTTGTTTAGAGCATTACAAAGTCCAAAACAAGATTGAAAATTCCTCTCACGGGGATGCGCATTACAAATCTTCCTGTGACTGGAAATCTGCATGACAAATCTGGGGTGGGGACGTTTTTACTCAGGATAGGTCAAGTGGGAACGACAGAAACGGGTCGATCGGAACCACCGGAAACGACTCAAGCCGCATCTGCTGCGTCGAGGAAATCAGCATTTGAAAATCAACGAAACCGCGTTCGTGACGCCAGAATTTGCCGAGGTAAATGATTTTTACGAAAAGGGCGTGAATCACTTAGGCGGTGGCGGTACTAGCAGTTCAGCATCCACCACTGGCGGTTCGTCGTATTCGAAATGTGGTGTGTGCCGAAGCTCTCTATCGCAAGAAAAAACTGTTTCACTGTATTAAACTTGTGATGCGGAGAATGCAACACAGACGCATTTGTCTTGCGAGTACACATGTAAGGCATTGGGTTTATCAACGTGTTTTCCCTTATAAAGTACGCATAGCAAGTTTCCTTCGTCATGTGTAATGTAATGCAAAACTTGTAATGCAAAACTGGCAAAATCCTTACTTTACAGTGAGACAGCTTTTTCTCGCGATGCTCTCTGCTCTTCGACTACTATCTAGCAGAAAGCTACGCACAGCGGTACAATGCTGCAGATGCGATTTTAGAAGAGCAGCAGCAGGACAATATCACAGCGCAGTCGACGTTTATTAGTTCTTCCGTCACAGCTATCCTGTGCAAAAGTATCCTACTCGTACTAATTGCGTTATATGCATTACAAGTCTTTTTCTTAAGGCAAATCCGCATTACAAATTTAATTTGTGATGCCAAGTCAGTTATTTGTAATGCAAGTTATACTAGTACGATGCTTGTGCAATGCATAATAGGCAAGACAACTTCAGCTTCAAGCTCTTCCTTCCAGAAAAATATCGCAGCCGCTTTCCGGGACGAGTATTTGGATAGTGTGCGGCCGATATCCAATTCAAATATGTCTGGGTCTGGAAGAATGCAAGTTTGTCATGCTTGTCTCACATGCCTCTTGCGCCTGTAATGCGTGAGCCGGAAAATAAGAGCCTCTTGCCTGTCATGCAAAAATGTAGTTTGTCATGCGGAAAGCGAAACACAAAGGAGCCCAGAAACTTGTCATGCATGGCTGCTTATTGCAATGTCCCCACAATTCATAAATTAGCATCACAAGTTTCCAGACGTTCAGAGATATTTGCAATGCATAGCCGGTGCTCGGGAATGAACTGTCCGACTGGAAAACGCCGGCCATGTATGCAAGAGAAATAAAACTGTGTAATAGTTGTCGTTGTGTAACTCTGTAATGCAAAGCATGCAACACAGCCACACTTGTCTCATGCTAGCCAGCCACGAGATCCTATTTCGTCTGATGTTATGTACTAGCTGCGCATGACAGGCTTTCTGTGTCATGCAGAACAGATTTGTCATGCTGTCATTCTCATTCCACAAGAGGACCTGCTATAAGTACACTAACGCAGGTTTATTCCTGCTGCATATCATGATGAAGAAATCTATTCTCACCAAGATCCTGAACTCTTTCACGAGGAACAAAATCGAGAAATCCGTTGTGGAAAAAATTGTCGACAATGCAGCGATGAAAAGCATGATTTCCGGCCGTTTAACCGCGGACCTCCCACCAGAGGTCCTTGAGCCGGTGTTCTCTTTCAACGGGAACCAAAGCTGGAGCTTCGATCCCCGGGAAAGGGTGCGAATTCAGTTGGAAAATGTAGAGGGGAAGTTGGACGAGTTATGAACTGCAAAAGCACCGTACTTAGTAGTGATTGCAAGACAAATTTCCTCAGCATTAGAAGTGGAATTTGTAATGCGAGTTGCCCTTAGCATCTGGATTTGTAATGCATAACTGCAATTAGTACGAGAACGAGTACGATGCTTTTGCATTGGATACGAATTACTGGCTGACGATTTGTGTCATCATGATGCACAGGAGATGACGAGCAGCAGGACTGCAACTTCTACCAAAAATGATAATGATCCTCATCATCTTCATCGCGGCGTAGAAGAATTAGCACCTGTCACCACCCCAAACAGCACCACCTTCCCCTCCCTCTCCCCGGAAACCCGTGGCGAATTGCTCGGCAGCTACAAGTTCGGGAAGCCGCAGGTGAAATCGGAACGAGTCCTCAATACGCTTCGTTACCCGACGTTGCAAAGCGTGGCGAATCGGTTACCGGAGGACAAAGCCTACCGCAGTCACGTCTGGTCGGTGATTAACATTCTGGAACGGCAGAAAGGCTGGACGTTCGCGGACAAAATTCGGGCGGTGCAGACTTTGAAAGAGGTGTACTACAATCTGAAGAAGTCCAGCTACTGGCGCATATCCTGTGCAACAGTATCGTAAATTCGTACTAATTGCAATCTTGCATGACAATAAATCTCCCTCCCCAAAGGCGACTCAGCATTACAAATGTCACTTCTCAAGGCGGGAAAATTTGTGATGCAATTTTTACGTAGTACGATAGTTTTGCAATGCATAGTGCCGGCGGATCGACAAGAAGTTACCTTTAATGTGTCCGTCGAAACGGGAGCGAAAGAAGTACGGGCACGGACACAAGTCGAAATACGTGCAGCAGGTGAATGGGGGAAGTATGGACAAGAGTTACAAGCGCCGAGTGTTGTTCCGGAGGTATCGGAGCTTGTGTCGCCTGCCTTGCAAAAGGATTGACTTGGATTGAAGAGAACGACTCTGTTTTGCAAAGAACGCAGGAAGGGTAATTCATTGCACCGTAAAGAAATCGACGACTGTAGTTCTAGTTGATGTACAAGTAGATAGCACAAATCCATCCCGAATACGATTTGCAAAGTTCTTCTTGGAGCCAAATCGTGAATTGCAGATGGTCTGGCAAGCACACTAGCGTGGTGCTCGCAAAGATGAGTAGATAATGAAGCATCGGGTAGTCTTGATTTGTCGTTGTGCGACCAGGACCACCAAGACCATGCAATATACGAAGTGGATTCTTCTTGCAATTTTGGAGAAAATTAAATCGGTACAGCCAGCAGTGCTTTGTGTCGTGATGTTAATAAATTCATCGGTGCTGATTAGTCGTCGTCGTCGTCGGTTTTCTTGCGTCAGAATGTTGTGGACACGACCACCATCTTCAGAAGCACAACGTGACTGAATAGCTCTCGGTGACTGAATGGTCATTCTCGGTTTGGATAGAGTTGCTTGCTTTTCTTATTCTTTCCCACATCGGTTACAAGTTCGTAGTACCAATCTTGGTGTCGGCGTCGCTTCTCATCACGTAAAAAAGATGACCGTGTGATAGTGATTTTCATCTTCGCATCGGTTGCTTCACTGAATCCGAAGCCTGGTAAGTTGCGAAAAAACTGCTGCTCGTCGTGGCGTTTACTCATATATCTAGAAGGCTATTTCGAATTCGAAACCGCCAACACAGCAAGTTTGTTTCAAGTTTGCACCCCCCCCCCCAACAAAGAAGATTTTTTCAAATCGTAAGCACTAAAAACCCTTGCTGGAGATGCGATAGTTTCTCAACCTCACTGCATTTGATGTCCTCCCTTTTGCTGACTACGTAGCAGATTTGCGTTATCTGAAAAATAATTCCTGTATGTAAACGAGAGCAACGACCTCGACAGCCGGTACTACTATGGTTGGCACAACTACAACAATATCCGCCCAGCCCGGCGACGGAAACAAGGAAAGTATTGAAGTGAAATCTGCAAACAAAAGAGCTCCTCCTTCTGTGTCGAAGAAAGTGAAGAACAAGAAGAAGATCAAGTGGGAGCAGCACAACATGAAGATGAACAAGGATAATGAAGCCTCTGAAGCTAGCGCTGCTCCTGGTACAACTTCCAATAGCGCGGGTCCTGCCGCACCGTCGTCCTCTGCCTCCTCTTCCGAGGATGTTGTTTCCTCTTCCGAGGACTTCCACTTCGTCGGAGTGCAGCCAACAGCTACAACGATAGCTGCAGCAGACCAGCAGCACCAGCACGAAGAAGTAAAAAACGACCAAACTAGTCGTGCTGACCACAACTCTTTCCGCCCGCCCATGAGCAACCAGTTGCACCAAGACGTGGTCGACGATGGTACCACGAAAAGCGGTATTTATTGGACCGTCAGCGTTGGGTTAATTCTGCTCCTATCAAATGTAAAAGTGTCTGGGTCTGGAAAGTTGGAACTTGTGATGCCAGCTTTGGAGTTTAAAAAAATCTGTATTGCATGACCAGCAAGAAGAGCCACATTTGGGCTACGCGAGGAGGGCATTTGTCATGCGGAAATGGCATCAGGAAGCTTTCCAAAAATCTGTGATGCTGGGTCATGCATTACAAGCATCATGGGTCATGCCAGACAAGCATGACAACCCTTCCGTTCTTCCAGACCCAGACATTTTTACATTTGATAGCTCCCGCTTTTCCTATACGGGGTGATTCTGTTTGGCGTCAACATGTATCAACTGTAAAAGTGTCTGGGTCTGGAAGGTTGAAACTTGTGATGCTAACTTTGGACTCTAAAAAATTCTGTATTGCATGACCAGCAAGAGGAGTCCGGTTTGTGCTACGCGTGGAGGGCATTTGTCATGCGAAATAGGCATCAGGAAGGCCTCTGAAAATCTGTGATGCTAAGGCTTCCATGACAGACATTCTGTGTCATGCAAAAACAGCATAACAAATTTCGGGTTCTTCCAGACCCAGACATTTTTACATTTGATAACATGCAACGATCCGCGGTTCAGAGTCATGGTACTGATGTGAACGTCCGCGGTAAACCGATGAATTATGGGACTCTCAAATGTTACATTCTCAACTGGAACTGTTACATGATTTGTCATGCAAAATTGCCATCAGTATCTGTGTGATAAAGCTGCATCGCATGACAAATCCAAATTCTCCCAGCGCCAAAGAGGCGAAGAAACTGCGCCAGATCTGTCATGCAAGACGCGCAGGCCCCCCCTTTCACTTTTGCCATTCTTGCATCACAAATTTATGTTGTAACAGTTGAGAGTGTAACAGTTGAGAACGCCATATGAATACGGGCTTTCTTGCAGCGTCTTCCCCGACGGAACGGAAGTTCCTCGCTCCGACGAAAAGTACCGCTACCACCATTGAGAAGAAAAAGGGGTATGTGGTTCTTGAGGACCACTGGCGGACGACGGGCAAGGGTGAAGCGGCAAGAGCTGTTGCACATGATGATCACCACGTCGTGTTGCCACGGCAAAAGGAACAAAAGCCCGTCTCGTCCGACGGAAAAAGCGCCCCTGGAGGTGCTGGTCATCATGCTGGTCCTGATCATGGCACCGGACGCGGAGCCGAGGAAGATGATTCCGAGTCAGAAGACGTGGCGAAAGAGGACCATGCTTCATCGAAACATTCCGACCATGATGATGAAAGGGACGATCATGTTGTTGTCCACCCTCCACGTCCTTCTGCATCGAAGATGAAAACCACGAAAACGACACCCACGATCTCGCAAATTCCCGGACCGGCACCAGGTTCAGGACCTGCTCCAGCTGCTTCTGCTGCTGTGGAAATCGCGGCCTTGTCTGAGGATGGTGGACAGCAAGACGAAGATCGCGGGAACTCGAACTCGCCGCAGCCCTCGCCTGGCGAGAATGAGATGAAAGCCGCTTCGACGTTTTTGGAGGAGGAGGAAGGGAGTGATGAAAGTGAAAGTGTAAGTGAAGCCAGTACTGCTGTCGATGATGGTGCGGGAGACGAAGACCTGATCTATCCAGGAAAAAACACCCATCCCCATCCAATTTGTCATGCAAAACATGCATAAAATCCGCCATTTGTTATGCATGCAATGGATGGGGATGGTTGTTTTTTCCTGGATATGATCATGGATGATTACACGACCGGCAAAATGAATTCCAAGTCCTCCGCAGCTCCGGTTGAAACCGAGGAATTTGAAGATGAAAATCAAAATGACCAGCCCGTGGGCGGTGAAATGCAAATGCAAGACAAGCATGGTGCTGTCTCTCGGTCTTCGTCTTCGGACGTTGCTTTCACGATGGATTTTCTGGAAGTTGGACAGGGGACTGCTGCTGTTCCACCGCGACCAGTACAAGCAGGAGTTCCATCTCGTTTCGTCGTGCCGGGTTCACCGCCAGTGTACCCGGCAGTCACTGCGCATGTCCCGCCAGGAGAAACACCACCGGGGCAGGAGCCGTCACTACATCATCATACGCCGCCACCTTCTGCTCCTTCTGAGAAGGAGCAGAAGTCCCGCCTGAAAGTCAAAGTCACGGAGAAAGACCTCCAACAACACGCTCCGTTGCAAGTCGTGTACTACTGCAAATACCGAGACGGGGAAACCGACACCATTGCGGACCGTGCTGCACGCCCGAAAAATGCGGAAGCGCCACAAGCCGAAACCGTGGAGGACTATTTGAACAAAGGCAGGTCGGCGATGAGCCCGCGCGCGTCGAAGGAGGAATGTATGAGAAAGTGCACGGGCTACCTAAAATGCGGCGTCTTTGCGTCGGTACCCTTACCGCAGCCCGACGACTCCGGGAGCACGGTGATGTGCTTTTTCGGGGACAAAACCCACGCGAACACACTCGACGCGGACGCTGCAGGGTGGGAAATTTCCTGTGTGGCGGCCTCCGGTACTGGAGAGGGCAGCGGCCTGACCGAGGCGAATTTGAGGAGTCTGGCTGGTGAAGGGGGCGACAGCTCCAGGACCTCGGGGAGGAATGCGATGTCTGATGCTGATCGTTATCCCGTGCAAAAACGCTATGACATTGCCTGGCTTGCTCTTTTTTGTCAACTTGCGAAGGAGAATGGGTCTTCGTACTACAAAAGCAAAACGGCAGCCTTCTACAAATAAACCTGCTGTACATTTTGTCTCTACTTTATTTTTTGCCGCGAGCTGCGCTACGGCCACAAATGCGAATCAAAAGACAATTTGTATTTCATAGATACCTCGTCCAATTTTGTATAGTGATGGCCTCCTCCTGTATTGCGGACGCGAGTTGGAATTAAAGATGCTGATAACTCTGACATAAGTGTTTTTGCCTTGCATAGAGCTTCCACGGTGGCTTCAGAGCAGGATCTTGAAGGTGATGATGATCTTGATGCCCTCGACGAAGCAGATGAGTATGAAGAGGATGCAGGAGCGCATGCTCCTCTCGTTAAGACTCCTGAAGAAAATCAAACGGATGCGCAGCACACCAGCTCCGCTGTGGCCGGAGCCGTTGAGCGGCACGACACCTGCCGCGGCTCGCACTGGTGGTCCCGATCGCACTGCGAGTGCTTGATGTACGACGCTGGAGATTCCCAAGGCTTCGTTCCGGTGAATGTCGCAGAAGGAAACAAGCACGGCCGCGAAACTACCATGTGTGACCGGGACGCGAAAATCGGGTCCGTTTGTGGCACAGGAATGAAGAGGAACAAAGAGGCTGGCGAGGGGAGGTGTGTCTTCAAATGTGCTTCGCGGCATTGCAAGTGCATCAAACACGGCGACCACACTGAATACAAAGACGGGAATGCGAATTGCAAAAACTTATGGACCGCAATTCAAAAGCGCACGGTCGCGTACTGGAACATCAATCGGACTCGGACAGCTAGTGAAGAATTGGTGCATGATGAGGATGGCCAAGTTTTCGTATTCGAGTTTCCAAAAGCTTAAGCTTTGGCTTAGTATTTGAGGACCAAAATAACAAAGCCACGACGAATCGGATTCATCGTGGCGCAGGCACTGCACGTCAATTCACAGAAGATGCTGAACTACTTACCATGTGAACTGGTGCTTATCTTCATGTCATTAACATTGTGATGCTTGTTACGTGAGCTTCATCTTGAATTTTTTACATGTGAGAAGTACGCGATCTGCTTTTGCCCAGGATGCAAGAAATGGGACGGTAGGTATTGTGGTTCCAAAGGAGTTGACGCGACCTGTCGTGCCAAGCCGCCACTCGGGGGCAACGAAATTTGCGTCAAGATGCTATGCAGTGCAACTAGGTCTCGGTCGGACGAGGGGTGGAAGAACTTAAGTGAGTATATTACTTGTCTGCAACTTCTCGAAAATCTGTGTTGCATAACCGACAAGAAGAGTGCAGCTTCGTTTGTCATGCACAAATGAGTTTCGCAATTTGCTTTTCCTTTTGCAGTACGCAATGTGCATCAGTACGAGAGACGGCCCTCTTCTTGAATGAAGCTTGTCATGCTTGTCTGGTTGTAATTCAAATCTCTGCAACATCACGAGTTCTTTCCAGACCCAGACGTATTTGCAGTGGATAGGCCCTCAATGCTGTCGATTCAGTCAACCCATTCGCCGCGATCCCTCCTCCGAATTTGAATGTCTATCCGCCAGAAAAGCACAGCCATACCTGAAAAAGAAACGAATTTGCGTTGCGGGGGGTTTTAGCTAATGCTCAGCATGACAAACTGAAACTTTTTTGGTTGTATGTAGTTCTAGAAGTAGTCCTAGACCTCATGACCCAGGAAGACTACGACTCGGTTCTGCATGACAGAAAATAAATTTCTCTGTCTCTAGTGGTGTGGTCTGGTCTCCGCTTTCGCAGAGTGGCGCCAAGAATTTGCTAGCACCGCAACTTCATTTCCTTCCTGGTATAAGTATGGCTGTATTTTTTTGTCGGATAATCCTCTCGACCCAGTCAAGCGTTCTGTGCAAGGCGCTGTGGTGGGACAGGAAATGGGCCAGGATGCGCAGGATGAGTTTCTGCAGTTGGCTGCCCTGGTATGCAATGCAAGTACACAACACGACACTTCTCCCCCGTAGTTCCCGAGATTGTATTGCAGACGAAGCACCATCGAGAGAAAAAAAATGGCTCTCCTCAGCAGGATTGGGTGACGAGATTTACAACAACAAGGCATATTAGGTCATCAAGACGGTAGTAGCCAATTTCGATTCGCTCTGAGTACCAGCTGCTTCGTGTTTACGTACAGAAGCGGCACCCACAGCGAAGCAATTCCATTCATGTGTATGAAGACATCAAACTCACAGTGGTCATCTTCTACGCGGTGGTGTAGTACTCAGTTGCATTGCATACCCGGATTCCACCCAATTGGTTAAAATCGCGGGGCAAAAGAGCGGACAAGAACTGTACTTCGACGACGCACTAAACCGGGTGCAGCACGCCGTAAACATTGGGTATCTGCAGCGGTTGCAGAACTACCTCTACGTGCCTCTTCGCGGATGGATCATTGCCGAGGGATTCTTACCGCCCAAACTGGTGCAAGTTCTCAACCTGGCAGTTGAGGGTGCCATGACGTACATCGCCGTGGTGGCCTACGGCAGTGTGTATCCAATGCAAAAGTTGTATGACGCTCGTACTTCTAAATCTAGTACAATATCGTGATGACGCATGACAGATTTTCCTTCTATAGCTGATTCTGCATGACAAACTCCATTCTCCCTTCTCACGATGAAATTTGTGGTGCAAAACGTTGCGTACGAGCGCGATTAAGGATGTTTTTGCAATGCATACCCTGCCTGCCATCGCGATTCCCCTGGCCATTTTTCGCGCTGCCGAGTTCTATTGCTCGAGCCAGGAGGAGGAAAAAGCGAGCACGGAGGAGGGAGAAGACGCTGCAGTCAAGAAGAGCGGCGGATTGAGCCGGAAGTCGTTCTGTAAACTGCTCAACACAGCCAAAAACAAGTTTCCGGGGACCACCCACGCAGTGTACGGCGTCATGAACGCGCTCAACTTTCTCCTAAGCATTGCAAAAGTAGCGTACTTCTAGTGGGAATTGCATTACAAATTTTATTATCAGAGCCAAAAATTGAATTTGTACATGCTGATTCAGCTAGTAAAGTAGATTTGTCATCATGCGGATGCGAGGCTGCAATTACTACGACTGCGATAGTACTTTTGCAGTGCATATCTCCTTACCGGCAGCAACCTCGTGGGCGCGGCCAAGGAATTTTTTCACTTTGCGCACGAAACTTTTCTCAACTGGGAAACGTATGGAAGTGTCAGAATCGAAATTGACAAAATCGAAAAATTTGCAATGCGTAAAATGTAGGGCACGCGTGGCCTGTGTTGGGGAGCAGGCAAATGTGACCGATTGCAGGCCTGTTTAGGGGAAGGTAATGCGCTGCCAGAGTAGCATGACAGAAGCAGTGTTCTTTGCCCAAACAGCATGACAGACTGGATTTTGGTTGCCCAGAAACTTGTCATGCGCCACTTGGAAACTGAGGCTCGAACTGGTTTCGACTTTATGCATCACAAATTATTTCGATTTTGCTGATTTCGATCCTGACGCTTCCATAAAACGGTGAGAAACGTTATCGGGGATGAGCGGGCGATATCAAATGCACATATGTCTGGGTCTGGAAGCATGAAGCCTGTCATGCGAAATCTGGAGCACAAAAAAATCTGTGTTGCATGAACGCCAATATTAGAAACCCAATTCTCACTAGGCAGAAGGCGCATTTCTCATGCGGAATAGGCATGAGGAAGGTCTCAAAAAATCTGTACTGCTTCTGCGTGCATTACAGACCATGACGAGTGTGGTCCGCGAGATGCATGACAAATCTTGCAATTTTTCACCCCCAGACATCTTTGCATTCGATAGGCGAAACAAGCGGAAGCCGTGCTGGCTGCCGCGGCCGCTGCGAAAAGCGTTGCGTACTTGGAGGTGAAGCTCCTGCGCGCGTGCGGCTACGAGGTATTTCGATCGGGGGCGAAAAAGCTCGCTGGCGCACTGGCGGAGGAGTTTTCCTGGGGGGACTGTCTCGAGCTATCCACTGATGAATTTGTATATTTCACCTCACGTCCCCCTCCGCCCGCGATCCGTCTCTGTCATTTGTAACGAACACACGGAGGACGAGAAAAACTGGTGCTCACCAGCATGATCTGAAAACGAAATTTGATAGACTAGACCTAGACCGTGCCGAGTTCCCATTTTCTTCCTTCAGAGGTTGATATTAGGTGAGCAACATCTATGCATGATGTGCATGTGCATCTTCTAGTACAATATTACGTTTACAGTACCGAGCCATTTGCTGTTTCTCGTGGGCGCTGTCATTCTCGACGGATGTGATAATATTTACACAGCATAACTGCGTTCCACCAAGGAAATCATCGACCCCGAAACTGGCGCGCTTGTCGACGCCAAGGGGCTACGTGCTCGTTTGAAGGGGCGGGGGAAGGAAATCCGCGAGAAATTCAAAGGGGGTTGCAAGCTGCTCGGCCACGGCATTCACAAGCTATTTCACTGGAAGAGCCACGACGAAGAAGCGGCGGGCGCAGCAGCGGCGGAGGAAGTGGACGAGGGGCCGAATTTCGACATTCTGCAGCGCAATGCAAAGGAATCCATCAAACCGGCCTCATAATAGCGGCAGCGCCAGCGGAAGGAAGATGGAGGAATCATCTGAGGCTTGTTGACTGAAGTTGCCCGACAAGAACGAGATGACCTTGAGGCATCGTTTAATTATTTTTGTCACTTCTACATCTACTACAGAAGCGAACTTCTCACAGTTTTTCTACTTGCAAAAAATTTTGTTTTATTTAGTTTCCGAGTTTCAAAAATTAAAATGTAAATGTTCCACTTTTTCTACGCAGTCTCCGATCGCATACCAGCCAAGTAAATCCTTCTCACACACAAAAGAACTACACATCACGCCAACTTCGTGAATTTGAACAATTTTCTGAATTTCCCCGTACGATGAACATCGAGAGACAAACATTAACATACAAAAAGAGTCTACAAATTAAGAGTTTAGGTAGGGTAGTATTTGCGTTTTCAGATTATGTACATACTTATGAGCAGTACTAGACAATAGAATTAAATCGAATTTCAATGATCGCATGACACAGTGACTGGGGCTGCAGTGCGACGTGTGTATCTTTTCCAGCTCCCATCTTTGTACTTTTTGTTTTACATACAGACCATAAGATAGTACAAGTACAACAGTCCTGAGCTACCATGTCTTCATCCTTTTCTACCGTGAAGAAAAAAAGAGTAACAACTGCATCAATCAAACTACAAGGTGTGCATGATTGTACTTATTTACCAAACGGCAGCGGAAGTGTAGAATTCATTGTGCGGGCACACTGTCCACGGACTCGGTCGCTCTCGCTCGAAAACACAAGCACAGCTGACGGGTGTAGGTACTTCTCTCTGTCCCACCTGTTTTGATCGTACTTACCTACTATTTCGGTTCTTGATGCCCCATAAATGATTTGTATCGGTAGGTGCGGCTACTTGTCCTCCTAATTGCAAATATCTTTCGGTTTTATTTCGACTTTCGGTTTTGTTTCGACTTTCGGTTTTCTTTCAACTTTGGATTATTGTCTCTTCCGCGTAGTCGTTTCTGATTCTGGCACCAGGAAGATGTTGTGCTTTCTTAGCTGTATATACATGGACTATGCAGTTCAAGTACATGACCACGGAAAATGATTGACCCGTAACCCGACGAGCCTTTTGCTTCCTTGATTTAATATCGCTTCTCGTTTTATTGCCATGAATTTGGATACAGGAACTACCACGAAATACTAGTCGTTTATTGCAGCCTACTTACTATACTTACATACTTACTTCAACTTGCTCCTGTAGGAACGATCCATCGACAAGATTTTTCATTTTCGTCTCGAACCGCAATCACGTAAAGTCCTCACGACCCAACTTTTTATCAATCTTCCCTTGTTCACGCTGCTAGTACTAGCAGATCAAGAATAAACTTAAAACAAGTGTATCGACATCCGAATCGAGAATGACAGACGGCAACCCCAACATCTCCAGCCAAGATTCGCCATCACCCCGTCGTGCTGGAGGCAGCCTCACCAAGCAAAAACTCTCCACCTCCCTTCAAGAAAGGCAAGAAGAAAGGAAGCGGCAAAAGCTCAAAAAGAAGATCACGCGGAAGAACGAGGCCGCGGCGGCTTTAGCAGCCTTTTCACGCTCCTCTTCGTGTTCGGAGGATGTTGCAGCTGCTCACAAGGAGGAAGGGGAGAAGCAGCCGGAACAACGAGAGCTGAATCATGACGAGGAGAACAAAACCAAAGCGGCAGACGAAAATCTTCGTACTACTGCCAGCACATCAGTCCATGATAAGTCTCGACGCCACTTGAACCCGCATAATTTACAATCAGATGATGTTGGGAATAAAAGTGCCGCATACTGGACCGTTGGAATTAGCCTCATCATGCTGCCCTTTCTCCTCTACGCGGTGATACTGCTTTGCGTGGCGAAAGGGGGCCACGACAATCAGGATGATCATGAAGGTGTCATCAAGAGCACTCCTGGCCAAGAACATCATGGTTTTCTTCGGGGTAGTACTTCATCGTCGCAAACTAGAGAGCGGAAGTTCCTGGCACCGACACCGAGCTTGCCTGAGGAACCACAGGACAGGTATGTCCTAAAGGATGAACAAAAACAAGCAAAAAGCGGTGTTGAAGATGGAGCAGAAGCAGGTACTGGAGGAGGGTCATCTGCTGAAGATTCATCTGAGGAACAAAGCATGTCTACCGTAGCTACAGCCCCAGTGGAAAATGTTTTGGAAACCACCAGCAAGGAAAACGAGAACGACGGGCCAACACTCGTGAACAAACTCGCACCAGAATATGGAAGCGAAGTTCTTTCGGACGCGAAGATGAGCGCGGCGTTTTTAGAACAAGATCAACTCCAGCGACGAGCGACAGAAGTGGGAAAGATCGACGTGGTCCAAATCATGGAAAGACAAGGGGATGAAACTTTTGAACAACCGACTCTTAATTCCTCGACCATTTTCCTCGGACAGCCTGCAGGAGGTGCTGAAAAGGTGATGAGTGCAGCTTTAGCCTCCACTTCGACCAGCTTCCTCGACGTGGCGCGGCAAGAACAGCAACGCTCTTTCGCCAGTCAGTTGAGGTTGTATAAAGAGCAGAATTTGAAAGCCAAAGCCCCTTTGGCTGTGCTTTATCAGTGCAGGTACCCGGACGAACGGCAGGAAACCATTTTGGACAAAGCGGCGCGGGGAATTACTACACCCGCACATCAAGATGGTAGCATACCCGCGGGAACTACCCTGGAACTGTACGACGTGCCGAAGCGGCAGTGCAGTATGCCGCAAAAAAAAACTAGTAGCGGTTTTTTCTGCTCGTGACCGTGGTAAAGGTAAACGATGAATACTTTTTGACATGATAGAAAGATGTGTTTCCTAAGTTCAGCACATGAAGAAGTAGATCACAAAACGAAACAAAAGCGCCGCTACTACATTTTCCCACTGGATTCCGCTGTCCGAGTGCACCAGAATCAACGATTGTTCCTCTTGGCTCGCGATAGTACCGATTCACAAAGTAAACGGGCAGAAAATTCCCTCCTGCCTGCTTGGAGGAAAGCACGCAAATCCGTTTGCACGACTTGATCAACTTCCGTTTCCAACCGATTATGGCCCAGACAAGTGGGAAATTTTCTGCGCAGTGCACGTGCACTCGGGTAGTGAGCCAGGGCAAGGGGTCGTTTCCACCGCGCGTGCATCTCCTACACCTGTAGTCGCGCGGCCTTATGGGCAGCAGGACGCTGGCACTGGTTTCGGCATGTGGGATGCGTTCACCGCTGCCCTGGATTACATTTTTGACGACGACGAGCCGGGAGCGAAGGACGCGTTGGTTTACGCAGATGATGACGACGAACTGGAGTTTGGTGATGCATCTGGTGACCATGGTCGTCTTGACCTCAGCGAGGACCCATTGCACGGCGCGGACTCCACGACCAAAAATCCGCTGGCAAAGGCCTTGCAGCGGCACGGCACCTGTGGCCGGCACTGGTGGTCGCATTCCCGGTGCCGGTGCATGCGATGGGAAGGACCAGGCGAAAAGCGCAAGCATGGGCATCATCTTGTCATGCACAAACCCGAAGAAAGCACCAACGGTTTTGCGTTGACTGCGGTGGTGGATGCGCAGTGCCCCCGGAGTGCAAAAATCAATTCCGTCTGTAGGTCTGACTTCGGATCCGGACAGTGCATCTTCGAATGCAGAACCCGGTATTGCCAGTGCGTTCAAGACAACGGAAACTTCGCTTTCCCGGAGGGAAACGCCGCCTGCACAAACCGCTGGGACGGGTTCTCGTGCGGCGTCGGAACAACTGCCGCAACGTGCCGGGCGAAGCCGCCCCGGTTCAATCCGGACGAATTGTGTGTGATGGCCATCGATGCCGCAGAAGCGATTAACCCCTTCGCGGTCGTGCCAGATGCGCAAGTTCCCATCCACCCTGAGACTCAGCTCCAGGCGCGCGCGATCGGAGGTTTGTATGGGGAAGTGAGCGAGAAGCAGTTTTTCGAATTGGCGACTTTGGATTCGAACGCGATGGTGGCCAAGGCCAGTGAGACCTTCCACACGCATAAAGACTTCTTAATCGATGCCCATGCGCATGCAAGCAAGTTCAGTTCTCTGGCCTACTCTCACCGCGTGCGCGAGTACATCTTCGTGCCCATCCGCGGGTGGCTGCAGGCCAGTCCGAAGGTGCCAAAACAACTGGTCCAGGTGCTGAACTTGGCAGTGGAGGGGGCTTTGACTTACATGGCTATGGAATACAAATTCATTCTTACCGTACACGTACAAATAAATGCATGTACAAATTTCGCTCGTCACTTAGAATCTCCCACTTGTAAAAATGCTGGTTAAGCTTGAAGGGTTTTTTGTCATGCAGAAACAGGAGTTGGAGCATTATTTGTACGCAGTGTGCGGGACGAACTTTCTCCTGGATAATGGCAGTCGTGGCATACGGGAGTGTGCCTGCCATCGCGATTCCGTTGGCGATCTACCGGTCTCTGGATTTTTACTGTACGGGCAAGGTGGCCGAAGCCGACATGTTTGAGGAAGAAGAGTTGGATATCGTTCAGAAACAGCAGAGACTTCATCTCTGCGGGCGGTTACTGGACGCCAAGGACAGGCACCCCAAAACGACCAAGGGTGTGCTTGCTTTGGTGCGGACGCTCGACCTAATCCTTACCGGCAGCAACCTCGGTGAGGCTGTGAAAGAACTGTTTAGCTTCGCAAAAGAAACGGCTTCCGCCTGGGAAGTAGTCAAAGCTGCTATCGGTGACGAGCGCGCCGCCGCCGCCGAGGCCTTTGTCGCCGCGGCCGCGGCCGTGAAGAGCCTGGCCTACGCGAAAACGCTTTTGATGCGGCAGTGCATGGGGGATGCCTTTCAGGCGGGGGTGAAGAAGATTGCCGGGGTGGTTGCGCGGCATTGGTCGCTGGGCAACTGCCTGGAGCGAACCCGAAAGCGGATCAACCCGGAGACCGGAGCGCTCGAAGATGACGAGGGGTTTCGGAACCGCTGGCGGCAAAAGGCTCACGAATGGAAGGGGAAACTCAAGGCGGTCTGCCCCAGATTCCATCGGCACGGAAAAGAGCACGATGAACCCGCGGCCGTGGCAAAAACTCCGGTTTAGGCCCGCTAGGGGCCCCGTCGCGGGGACCACGACGCCGTGGAAACTCTAGAAGTTGTTGGTGACGCGCGCGACCGGAGTTGTCGGACACCCCCGCGGCCCAGGGGACGTCGTCCGCGACATCCGTGAAGCTTTCAAGCTGACTGCAACTACACCTGCGAATTTTCACAACTCTGTCATGCGGTGGTTCGTGTCAGAATGCGTATGTGGTGGGTGGTTCATCTTGTCAGAACTACAGAATTTTGGATGAAAAACGAAAATGAAAATTTTGCTTCGAGCTGTATGAAAAATTTTGCTTTCGAAAAAGTTGTACCTGCAGAGTTTGTTTTTTTATTTCACGAGAAGCTCGTGCCTCCCATGAATGTCAGTATGATATTTTTTTCCCCAGCTACTTTTTACTGCGCACTAAAGTTCACCATGCATTTGCGTGTGGCAAAGTGTACTTAATTTTGATTACATGAAGGACCAAATGAAAATCACGAAATAAAACATCAGGGAAAAGTAGAGCCTCTTCGCCGTGTTGCTTTCCCTCCGTACAGTATGAGCTTACAGATATGGGAACGATAAAAGACGATCAAGATAGTTGGCAGATAGGAAACATTTGTAGTTCCTGTTCCTCAACATATGACAACCACACAACAGGAGCAATGGAAGTCGTTTTCTATGATCCAAACAAGTTCGTTTTGCAGTTGGAGCTTCCAGCAACTGCCTGGAGGTGTTTCCTGTTAGATTGTTGGTCACGTCGACAACGATTCGGTGATGTTACTTTCCGTTTAGTTTTCGGTCACCTGGAAGTTAGTTGTAGCCTCGTACGTCGATTGATGTGCACATCTTCGATAGTGCAACGAAGCCATTCGGTCTTGTTTCCCTTTCGGAGCTATGTTTCTTCGCTTGTGTAGTCATTTGTCGGTCAGCACTTCGTATCGCGAAGTCGTATCGTCCGTCCACCAAAGTCGTGGCCTCATAGAAGTAGAACTAGAAGATTTTGCAAGTTGTCGCGCCTCATCGTGCGTTGCGTCCGATAGCGATGTCTTTTTCGTCCGTGTAGTGTGAGGCCTTTGTTTTGTGTACGTATCATCGTTTCATCTTATTCACAACCGAAACCGCAGGAGGAAAGTCTCGATAACTGCTTTCCTAAGTATTTTCCCCCCATAAGTACTGTTTTGTAGAGTTTTACTTTTTATTTTAACCACAAGCACCACTTGAGACCATCAAAAAATTTTAGTACATTCGTATAAGTAGTTCAACTCAGAATCTCGCGTTTTCCCAAAGACTCTGACTTACATCGGGCATTTTCATTTCACATCGAGAACCTCCTCCCTTCACACGCAAACGCACCAGCACCATGAAGAAGTTCGGCGCCGCCCAACTCCTCGCCACTCAGTGCGTCGTCCTGGTGTCGCATGAAGCTGCCCCTGTCGTCACAACCGTGCTGGCATTTAAGGCCGCGAAGACCGCCCGCTTGCCGTTGCGGAACCTCAACGGCCGCGACCTGCTGAACAAAAACATCAAGCGCGGGAAGAACCAACCTTCGAAATTGACCGCTGCGATTACCGACTTCGCCTCGGCGGTGTTTGACCGTGCGGCGGGACTGGCGACGGCTTTTTTGTACGGGACGAGAACGACCGACGAGCAGCAGGCCACTGCTGCAACTCACGAACGTCTGCAGGAAGGGGCTGCTCCTGATCTTTCTTACCACAAGGAGATCATCGGAACAAATAACGTTGCGCCGCACCACGGGATCAACATGTTGAAGAACGGCACGATGGCCGATGCTTTTACTTCATTCCCTCCTTCTGATGTTACGGAAGATGTTGAAATCGACGTTGTGCAAGAACAGCAAGTTGCACCACAGCAGGACAAGAACCATGTCGATGCGAAAATTGGCATGAAGACCTCCAAAAGTCCTGGGGTTCAGCAGCACAAACCGCGTGGTCGTCTTCCGGCCAAGAACAAGATCTTCGGAAAGATGAAAAAACACTTTCCGTTTCAGCTGCGGTTGAAGTGCAGCAAAGGGGCAGGTCGTGCTCCTGTGCGGAAAAACAAATTTCCGTTTGTTTTGCGGCTGAAGTGCAAGAAATCTTCTGTCCGGGGAGAGGTTCTTGTCCGGCGCCACAAGTTGCCCTTTGTGCCGCGTTTCAAGTGCAAGGTCTCGGCTGGTGTCGTGCGGCGCAACAAAATTCCATTTGTCTTGCGCTTGAAGTGCAAGTCTTCTGCAGGAACCGTGCGCCACAACAAACTGCCGTTTATGCCGCGGCTGAAGAAGTGCAATGTCTCTGCGGGGGTCGTGCGCCACAACAAACTGCCGTTTGCGCTGCGGCAGAAATGCAAGGTCTCTGCGGGGGTGGTGCGCCACAACAAACTGCCGTTTGCGCCGCGGCAAAAATGCAGCAAGACAGCGGGAATGGTTCGTCGCAACAAGTTGCCATTTTCTCCGCGTCCGAAGTGCCCCAAAGCGGCGGGAATGGTTCGTCGCAACAAGTTGCCATTTCCTCCGCGTCCGAAGTGCCCCAAAGGGGCGGGAATGGTTCGTCGCAACAAGTTGCCCTTCGCTCCTCGCTTGAAATGCAGCAAGACAGCGGGAATGGTTCGTCGCAACAAGTTGCCCTTCGCTCCTCGCCTGAAATGCAGCAAGACAGCGGGAACGGTTCGTCGCAACAAGTTGCCTTTCGCACCCCGCCTGAAGTGCGGAAAAGCAGCGGGCATCGTCCGTCGCAACAAGTTGCCCTTCGCGCCGCGACTGAAGTGCGATGAAGCAGCGGGTATTGTCCGTCGCAACAAGTTGCCTTTCGCACCCCGCCCGAAGTGCGGAAAAGCAGCGGGCATCGTTCGTCGCAACAAGTTGCCTTTCGCACCCCGCCCGAAGTGCGGAAAAGCAGCGGGCATCGTCCGTCGCAACAAGTTGCCGTTCGCGCCGCGGCTGAAGTGCGGAAAGGCAGCGGGCATCGTCCGTCGCAACAAGTTGCCTTTCGCACCCCGCCTGCAGTGCGGACAAGCAGCGGGCATGGTCCGTCGCAACAGGTTGCCGTTCGCGCCGCGACTGAAGTGCAGGAAGTCTGCTGGTGGGATCGTACGCCACAACAAACTACCCTTCGCGCCCCGGTTTAAGTGCAAGAAGTCTGCTGGGATTGTTCGGAAGAACAAGCTGCCATTTGCGCAGCGGCTTACGTGCAAGAAGTCTGCTGGGATTGTTCGGAGGAGCAAGCTGCCATTTGCGCAGCGGCTTACATGCAAGAAGTCTGCTGGGATTGTTCGGAGGAGCAAGCTGCCTTTCGCGCCTCGACAGAAATGCAAGAAGTCCGCGGGTACCATTCGCCGAAACAAGTTGCCCTTCACGCCGCGCTTGCAGTGCCAGAAATCCGCCGGTGTCGTCCGCAGGAACAGGCTCCCTTTCTCCCCGCGCATCAAATGCAAGAAATCCGCTGGGGTCGTCCGCAAGAACAGGCTCCCTTTCTCCCCGCGCAACATCAAATGTAAGAAATCCGCCGGCATTGTCCGCAAGAACAGGCTGCCATTCGCTTCTCGGCCGATTTGCCGCGAGGTGGCTGTAGCGGCTCGGGAGTCACGGATGGCGGCATGAGGAGGAAATTGCTGCAGCTGAGTCGTCGAAATGAAGTCAGTTAGAGTTTTTTACGAGGGACAATTTCAGGTTTTCACGTCGAGCAGAAGTAGCTATTACTCAATTTATTACTTTTGTAAAATCGAAATCCTGTATCCCAGGTTGGTTTTATCGAAGGCCCGAAATCATTATTGAAACAAAGAAACAACACACAAAAAGAACCCTGTTATGCAGCTTTATCAATTTGATGCACAGTCAAAACCTCGAGAACTCCGTTTACGTTTTCATCCCCAGTTGTCTATAACCTTCCATACATATCGCTAAGAATTTGCTCTTCGCAGCACGACACGCCACAACTGACGGAGCCCCATTGAAGATTCAATGGAGGGTATCCCAATATCGAGCTCTTTCTACTAATATCCTTTCCCTATCTACATTTTGAAGACCCAATAAAGAAGCTCTTTCCACTGTGTATTCGACCTTTATTTTGTAGTTTTTCACGTTTTTTTTTACTTTCTTTCAGATGATTCAAACGCCCCAGTGCCAGTTTTCACAAATTACAGAAACCCTAGTTGCAAACGCAAGTTATTGTTGTCGCCCCACGACAGAATGTAGTTCCTTTCAGCGCTGAAGCCCAGTTAGCAGGAATAAATTTTCGAAAAATTGCACTAAGTGTGACTCACTTCCATCCGCAACACGCGACCGATATGAATTTCCATGTGAAAATCCGGCGGCGGAGGGTGCCAGGTGTGCGGACCAGCTCTGGGATTAGGGCTTGCTGGTGTAGGTGCTTTAAGTATGTCTACACGTCGGTCTTCAAGTAACGACACCAAGCTGAGAGCTAGCAGTAGATTGTGATTGAGAGCGAGCAAGAGAGCGGAAATCACATTCTGAGCGAAGAGAGATGCTCGAGCAATTGTACATAGATGTAGCTCAGGAAAAAAACGAGTATACAAGGTTTCCTTTTCCAAAATTGAAAATTAGTGATGCATGAGACACAAAGAATGCCAATGGTGACGTCCGCCCGAATAAACCTGCATTTCTGTGGTTGCTGGAAATCCGTGGACTCCTCTTACCGTCGACGTCACGACACCGCTTGCGTGTGGTGCGCTAGCTTGTTTTGCAGCTTAGCAGAGCCACGACGGTGAAGTGGAGCGTGGTCCGAAGATGCAATGTCGTGACGATGCTTGTAAAAAGTGGCTCCTCGTCTGATCAGTGCCCCACGGCCGCTGCACGAGAACGTGCACCTTCGAAGAAGTTGCTGCAGTGCCAGCTGCATCCTTCGCGGAAGAAGAAAATGGGGATCATGATCTCGGGTTTCAGAAGAAGGACTTCTACTTTTGGGCACCTCCACAGGTTGTAAAAATCTAGGACAACCAACGGCTGGGCGTTGTAATCCTAAGCTAATCTACGAGGACAATCAACAGCTCTTCGCTTCAGTCATGAGCGGCGCAGAATCTACGTCGCGGCCTGGGTCACCGGAAAATTTTCCCGGTGGTACCACGACAAATTCCACCACCGAAGTCATCGACGTGGCCGCCTTGGAAGATGAGCAAGATGCTGCACAGCCCGTCGTGCCAGACGAAGAAGCGGAGGATGATAAAGACCAACAGCGCCAAACCGTCGAGCAGGTCCTTCGGAAGTGGGAAAACGACGTGAAAAAGTACGAGTCCCGGTTTCAAGCTCTGGATATGCATAAAAAAAACTGCGTAAGTGTATACTCTGTAAATGCAGAACATGCAACAGAGCCACACCTGTCATGCCAGACAACCATGAGGTCCTTTTGGCAACATGTGTGTTTTCCGCCCATACAAGCCAGTACGCATGACAGGTTTAATACTCAGTCATGTAGAGCAAATTTGTGATGCTGTCAGCCAAAGATGATAGTTACACTAGCACAGTTTTTTTCTCGCATACTGGAGGAACGGCGATCGGTAGAACGCAAGAAAAACGAAGAGCAGAAACAGCGGATTCTCGAACTAGAACGGTTCATTGCGGAAAATTCGAACACTGCAAATGGAGATGCGGACAAAGTAGATGGCACGACACCAGCAGGAGGGGAGGAGAGAGCAAATGATTTCAAATTTGTTCCTCCCCCGCGCCGAAAAGCCGGAGAAAGGAGGCAATCGCAGCCGGCAGGTACATCTAGGATCTCAACCACTTTGCCTTCAAGTGGTGCTGGTGCAGCAGATGCTGACACAGCAACTACACTGAATTTCGAAGACGAGGAGGGCCGGCGCGCCGACCGGGAGAGCATGATTGGGATGATAGGGCCCCCTGCTGCGGCTGCGAATACTAGTGCCACCTCGTCCAGTAGAGCAGCGTCGAAAGAGAGTCAAGCTCAAGTAGTCGAATCCTCAAATAAAGACGAGAATGAAAAGAAAGCTGCTGGAGCGAACAAAATAGTAGAAGAAGACCAAGACCACGCTGCTTCGAAAGACAAAGAGATGAAAGATCAGCAGTTATTAATATGGAAAAACGAACTCCTCCTCGATGAGAAGGACAAACAGCTGAAACAAACCGCGACTGAATTGGACAAAGTGAAGCAAGACCTCGCCAAAGCGAAACAGTCCAGCGAGAGTCTTCAAGAGAAACTCGACAATTTACAGACCTCCCACCAGCAGCAAATCAAGACCATCCACGAAACAAAACGACGAGAGTTCGACGAACGGCTGAAAAGAGTGGAGAAGAAAGTCTGCGCAGAGTTTGAAGCGAAGTTGGTGCTGCACGAAGAAAAGGAGAAATCGCTGGAGAACACTTTGAAAGCGAAACAAGTGGAATTCGCGACAGTAGAGGAAGAATTGACACTGTATCAGCAAAAACAGCACCCGTCACAAGTTATCAAATGCAAATATGTCTGGGTCTGGAAGGGTTCGAATTTGTGATGCGAATCCTACATCGTGACAAAATCTGTCATGCAGGGCCAGCAAAAGGCCTCCCCGGCTCTTGTTACAGAAAGATGTGATAATTTGTCGTGCGGATTAGGCATTGGGATAGCTGCTCGAATAAATCTGTGATGCTAGGGCTTGCATGCCAGACGATCTGGGTCAGGCAAAAACTGCATGACAAGTGGTCTCGCAGCCTTCCAGACCCAGACATGTTTGCAGTCGATACAAGTCCAGGACGTGCAAGACTTTCAGTCGAAAATTTCCAACGCGACTCTGCACTTGGAATCAGAAATCGAAGAATTGAAGAAGGAGAAATCAAGTCGGGATGAGAAGGAGCATATGCATTCTCGAAATTAAAGTGTCGCACTCTACTAGTATAAATCGCATGACAAGTTTGCTCCGCATGACACATGGAATTTGTAATGGAAATGGTGTTTTAGCTTACTTAGGAAGAAGATTTGTCATGCAAGTCTGCAACTACCATCAGAGTACGACACTTTTGTCGAGTGCATAGAGCAGAAGGTTCTGTACGAATACCGGATGAAAATCATCGAATTAGAACAGGAAATATGCATTGCAAATATGTCTGGGTCTGGAACAACTTGTGATGCTAACTTTGGAATCTGAAGAAATCTGTATTGCATGACCAGCAAGAGCGAGGACCACTCCAGTTTATGCTACTTACGCGGGGAGGGCATTTGTCATGCGGAATAGGCATCGGGAAGCCTATTAAAAATTTGTGGTGCTAGGACATACATCACAGACGCTCATGGGTCATGCAGAACATGCATGACAAACCTTGCGCTCGTGTCCAGACCCAGACACATTTGCAGTTGATAGGAAAACGCGAGGATAAATCACCTCGCGGAAGAGAATATCGTCCTGTGCAAAACAAGTATCGTACTAGTATAAAGCGCACGACAAATTTCCTCAGCATGAGAAACGAAAGATGTAACGCGGATTCGCCTTGACCTTGACCTTGAGACGAAGATTTGTAATGCGTGACTGCGATTAGTACGAGGGCAATACAAGTTTTGCAATGCATAGCGAAGCAGTTTTTAGAAGAAGATTTGCGGAAAGAAGTGGAAGAACTCGCTTTGGAACTGGAAACGAAAAAGCAAAACGAGAAGGAACTGTTTTCCAAAACGGCGTATTTCGCGATCGACGAGAAGATCAAAGATTACAAGAAGCAGATGGAGCTAGACAAAGAGGAGTTTGAGAAAAAACTCGCCGATGAGAACAGCGTATGGAACTGTCAGGATTGAAATTGACAAAGTTGAAAAATTTGTGATGCGTAAAACCGATACCAGTTGGAAGCCCAAGTTCTAAGCTGCACATGACAAATCTCGACCTCATCTAAATCCAGTCTGTCATGCTGATTAGTGCAAGAAGGTATCCTTTGTCATGCTATTTCAGCAGCTCTATCCCAAACCCGAAACAGGCTTACAGTTACAATCGGCCTCACTTGCAACCCCTGCAAGACAGTCACTTCGTGCCTTGCATTTTATGCATCACAGATTATTTCAACTTTGTCGATTTCAACCCTGACAGACCCATACAGCGCGAAGAATTCTTTGTTGGAACTGAAATGCAGCGAGTTGCAGCTCCAGAACGATAAATTACTATGTGAGAAGGAGATACTAACCGGGGAGGTGATGAACTTGCGGCTGTTGGTCGACGCAGATTATCCTGTGCAACAGTATCGTACTCGTAGTAATCGCAGGGATGCATTACAAACCTACATCCCAAGGTGAAACAGCATAAGAAATTCAATTTCTCATGCTGAGCAAATTTGTAATGCGATTACTGCTAGTGCAATAGAATAGGATACTTTGCAATGCATACAAATCCAGGCAACGACAGTCCGATCCTGATGATCGGCTCCACTTCCGATCTTGACACGGCTGGTGGAGTGCCGCTTTTTCGGAGGTCGGTGGCAGAACTATTGCGAGGAAAAATCCCCCCTCCCCATATCGATAAGGCACGCCTCAGAAAATTTGTCATGCTGATTTGTGACCACAAATCGCATCTGTGATGCAAGAAAGCAATGCCACAGGCTCCGCCCCATTATGCAGGTGGTTCGTAATGCTATTGGGCCTACGGCATGGACGTTCCCCATGCTAGGCGCCTAGGCCAAAACCTCTCGACTCCGGCACGATATAGGCCTGCAGTCCTTTACTGCAAGACAAAGGCTATTTGTGGCCACAAATTAGCATTACAAATTTCGTTTTTGATATGGGGAGGGGGGATTTTTGCTCATGATGAGAAACGGTCGACTCAGCCATGAGTCCGGCGGGGAGTGATCGGTTTCTAGGTGGAGCAGAGGGGAACAACAAAACGCCGATTCATTTTCATGATCCAGGGGCAGCACGAATGACAGCCACAGGAGCCCCAATGACCACAGGTTCGAAACTTGTTGACCTTGCAGGAGGCGTAGGTGCGGCTAGTAGCGATGACGAGGAGTTGATCGTTGACGAATCCACTGCCACTTCTGCCGGGGGTGGCGGACCTACACCGCAGAGCTTAGGAGCAACCACTACCGGAGCGGCAGCAGCTGATACAGTAGAACAGAACTACGCAGCAGAAGGACGAGAAACAAAAGACCGCGTCAAGGACCACGACGAGGATCATGATCTTCCCAGTACGATGAAGAACAATCTCTCAAAATCTTCCAAAGCGCCGTCCTCCCTCGACCGCAGCATCGCCGAATTAGGGTTGCAGGATTCGCCACTTGCTTCGCCAGAAGATGAAAGTTTGGAAAAAGCAAAAGGAAAAAGTGACCACCAGGGTGCGTCCTCCTCGAGCGGGGCAAGTACTAGCAGTCCGAGTGGACCACGAGCGAAGGGACTGCTTCCACCCGATGAAAAGGAAAACGACTCGTCAAATAAGTCAATAAAAAATGACAACGCAGCTTCTACGTGGTCAAGAACACCACCGCAGACGGTAACCGGAGGTCCACCAGATCCAGACAACGGGACAGGTGCACCAGCAGGAGGAGCTTCTTCTATCGCAAAAACCCCTCTATTGGTGATTAACGACGAGCTGGATGCGTTGTTGAGCGGAAAAACCAACAACCTCTTGCAGCAAAACCCTCACTATCCTGTGCAAAAGTATCGTACTCGTATTGCATAATCATGCATTACAAATCTTTTTGTTGAGGTAGATCAGCATTAGAAATTTTATTTGTCATGCTGAGGAAATTTGTAATGCAGCATTGATACGAGTGCGATACATGTGCAAGTCATACCTACTCCCCGAACGCGGTGCTGATGCGGGAAGAGGAAGACGGAATTTCCCCGGCCAAGGAGCAAGACGGAAAAATAACTGCACAGGACCGAGATCAGTCGCATAACTCCAAGAACAGCAGCAAGAATAATTCATCCGGTAATGATGTCAGAACTAGAACAAGCAACAGCAAGTCGAAGTTGAAAGCATTGCGCGATCAGAGCAAATTCGCGTTTGAAGAGATGATGAAGCGGATGACGGAGGTGATATGGCGTAGTTCTCAAGCGTTACATTCTCAGCTGCTGCATGGAGGTTTGTCATGCAAGATTACAATCAGAATCGGCACGATCAAGCTGCTTCGCATGACAAACTGCCGAGAGGCCAACCAGGCGGAAAATCTGTGCCAAATCTGTCATGCAACACGCACAAGGTCATCCCCCTCACTTTTATTGCCATTCATTCTTGCGTCACAAATTCGTGTAACAGTTGAGAGCGTAACAGTTGAGAACGCCATAAGTGAGAGCGGAATCTGATCGGAAAGTTAAGGAAGCGCAGGACAAGTTGGAAGTGCAAACGAAAAGCTTGATGGGAAAGGTATGGAAGAATTATTTAAAATTTTTTGCTCTCACTTTATCAAAGTCGTTTCTATGCTGTGACTTTTTGGAAGTGGGTATTAACGAAATTGGCGAAAATTTCAATTTTGTTTTTATTCTCGAGAGTGTGCTGATTTTTACTTTCATTATCACGGGGATGCGTACCGTCCACCTTTTGCAGCCATCACGCAAAGATGCAATAATTGGTCACTTTTGTCAATGTTTCGGGTTGATTAAGATTTTATTGTTTGTGATTTGAAGTGTTTATGAATGTTCATGAACGAGTGCAAAATTACAAGTTTCTAATACATAGTACTACAGCGAGTTGCTATCAAAAAAACAATTTTCTAATCGCAGGTGTCGCACCTCGAGGAGCAGCGTGACGTGCTCCAAGTCCGGAACCAAACCGTGGAAGAAGAATTGAAGCAAATGATTATTTGAAGAAAAATCTGCCCTCCTCATATCGAAAAGGAAATTTGTGATGCTGATTTTTGGCCGCAGATCAGCTTTGTGTTGCGTACAAGGCAGACGGCACCCATGTGGCGCATTGTAGAGCTAGTCTGTCGCGCGTTTTCATCCCATATGTCGGACTAGTTTCTCATGCTCAGCGGCTATCCGGATGCGTAGTATCCAAAAGGGCTTAGAACAAAACGCCGACAAGCTCTTGCTGCAATACAAAGTTCATTTGTGTACACAAATCCAGCAACACAAATTGTCTTCTGAACATCATGGGGTGGGGGCTTTTTTCACTTTGATAATGATCGCGACCAACACGACAAATTCGATCGAGTTGAAGAACCTCCAAAACCTCTTCAACGCCCAAAAACAAGAGGCGGACGAGTACAGGAGAAAGGCTGGGATAATGTCGTTAACCGCAACGTTGACAGCGTGTTCCTACCCGATTTGCCACAACGATACCATCAAACAAACCACCTTCCAAGAACTCCGGATTCAGTTGCTACAGAAAAAAATCGCTTCACTTCAAAACAAGAAACAGAGGGAAGAGGAGGATGACCAGAAGCAGGCGTTATTGTTCAAAGCCTGCAAAGCAGAGCTGAAGCAACTGGGATACGACATTTCTGGGAAATTACCCCTGGTGTTGTTGGACGAGGACGATGGTAGCAGCACGACAGCTTCCAGCCCGACAAACGCAAGCGGCTTGATGTCTGGCCAGACATTGTTCCCAGACGAGGAACCAGCAAGCGCTTCTAACGAAACTGTACGAACTGCAAAAGCATCGTACTAGTATAAATTGCAATACAAATGCAAATCAGCTCAGCATTACAAATTAAATTTGTAATGCGGATTTGCCTTAAGAAAGTCAAAGATTTGCAATGCATAAAAGCAATTAGTACGCGTACGATACTTTTGCACAGGATAGACTGAAGACGAAGCTGACAAAGTCGGTGACGCGTCCAGATATCGACTGGACGACACGGGACTGGAGGCGGTCGAGGAAATGCTAAAATTTGACCAGATGGGAATAAATAGTAGAAGTGTCTTCATCTCTACTCTTGCGGACCCACCACCTCCTTCTCCCTCTGCACAACTAATGGACGATGACGACACTGAAAAGGGCTTGAATTCTACTTCCAGCCCACGAGGAATAGATCATGCGTCCTCGTCTTCACAGCAAGTATCAAAGCCTTCCTTCCTCGACACCGTGCTCAAACTCGGCACCGACACCGCTGGGGATTGCAACTTTATCGCAACCGAGATTGCAGTATCAAATGTAAAAATGTCTGGGTCTGGAAACTTGTGATGCTAGGCGGCATATCATGAGGAAGCCACAGGTGCTGGCTCAGCATGAGAAGTTTCTGAGCTTCTCGGTGTTGCGTATTCTACATGACAAACTGCGTTTCTGCATGACAGAAAAGTGGCGCTCTTGGGTAACGTGCATGACAGATTTGAGAGTCATGCCAGACACGCATGACAAACATGGACGCTTCCAGACGCAGACATTTTTACATTTGATATGCAGAAACCCTATCCGCCATGAAAATCGGCGTGAGTGAGATTCCGACCATTCTCTTCCCTCTAGAGTACAAACGCTCGAATATCCTGTGTAAAAAAGTCCCCACCCCAGAGTTGTCATGCAGATTTGCGATTACAGGAAGATTTGTAATGCGCATCTCCATGACGAGAGCGACGCAGTTCCAATTGCGTTTTGGAATTTTGTAATGCTGTAAACAGGATAAGCAGATGGATTTGTGATGCGGTTGTCCTTGCTAACATGCACTACACCAAGGACGGACTGCAACTTGTCATGCCTGGCTCCCAAAACTTCTGGATTTGTGTTGCTAAGTTTCCAACTTGACTATGGGTCGGGGACGTTTTTACATATGATATCGAAAAAGTTCCGGCTGTTTCAGAAAGGCATGTTGAAATCCGTCCTCTACTTGGAAAAATCCTCTTCGTTTTTGCTCGATTTAACGGTGTATGGATTGCAAATATGTCTGGGTCTGGAAGAATGAGCAACTTGTCATGCTCGGCGAGCATGATCCTCAAGCCTGTCATGTTGCACGTCACCCAAAAATAGCCTCATTTTTCTCTCATGCAAATAAAGTGCAGTTTCTCATGCAGAATACACAACACCAAGCACCTCAGAAACTTGTCATGCTAGAGCGCCAATTGGAATTGTGGCGTCCTCAAGATTCGCCAACCAGCATCACAAGTTTCCAGAGTCTGACATATTTGCAAGGCATACGGTGCGGATCGCGCGGTGCTTGGAGGAATATGACTTGCCCAAACGTTACAATCTCAACCGTTACAATAGAATCTGGACGAATTTGTGTTGCATGATGAGCATGACAGGCTCACACAGCGATCCACCTTTTGCAATACAAATTTCGTCAGAGTGTCGTGGGGTTTAGGGCTCCGGAACTTGTCATGCGCAATCCTATGAGACTTGGCTAGATCATGCCGTCTTGCATCACAGATTTCTATATTCTATTGTAACGTTTGAGATTGTAACACCTGAGCGGGCTATAAGGAATCGGGGAAGTTTCTCGGGTTGCAGAAACTGTGCAGATTCGTGGAGGACTACTGCTACCGGTCCGTTTTTACGTTCGGGAAAAGGGAAAGATCACGGTTTTCCGAATTCGCGAAGGAAGAATTTGCGCGGAAATACGAGGTATCAAATGCAAAAATGTCTGGATCTGGAAACTTGTGTTGCTGATACTTGCATTGCAAACTTGCTGCTTGTACAGCATAACAGCATGAGAAATTGTTTCCCTCGGCATTCCTTGCGGATTCATTTTTCGTGTTTAGCATTACAAACTGCGCCATCCAGCATGACAAAAAACCTGGCCAATGGTATTCATGCATTACAGATCTTGTTGTCCTTGAAGTCCTGCATCACAAATCCAGACATATTTGCAATGCATACGAGGACGCACTCCAGTTGGCGGATGAGGAAGGGAACAACGCGTATGAGCTGAAGAAAAAGGTAAAGGAGCTGGTACCCTGTGTAAAAACGACGTCACCACGAGGACCCCATAGTCAAGTTGGAAAATCTGCAACATAAATCTGTGTACCGCTACCGCCCTTCTGTTTAGCATGACAACTCTGGGGTCCTCGTGGGGACGTTTTTTCTTAGGATAGCTGGAGGAAAAGATTCAAGAGATGGCGCGCAAGGAAGTGGAACAACAGAAAAATCTTTCATCTGCAGTTTCAGCATCTTCAATGCCAGGGCCTACTTCGTCGCAACAAGATTTAGCCAGCACGAACCTCCCAAACACTTCGACAACGCCAGCAGGACCAGGTCCGCCGCGAAGTAGTAAAGGTGCTGGCGGTGGTCCTGGGAAAAATAAGGGCTCGACAACAACTCCGAAGCCATTCATGAGTTTGAAAGAGTTGCATGAGAAACTGAACTATGAACTGCAAAAGTATCGTACTCGTATAAATGCATATACAAATTTCCTCAGCGTGAGAAATAAAATTTGTGATGCGGATTTACCATAAGCAAAAGACTCGTATAATGCATGATTGCAATACGAGTGCGATGCTTATGCTTTTGCGCTGGATATGAACCAAGTCGAAGCGGAGGCGGTGCAGGAAGCGAATTCGCCACAGTATTGTGAGGCAAACTCCCCCCTCCCCATATCAAAACGAAGCTTCTGATGCTGGATTTGCGTACAGAAATCCGATCTCTCTTGCAGAAACTGCTTCGCGGCATTTTCTGAGCCTGTTTCGGTATGCAGAAGGCTAGCAATTGCGCATGGCAAACAGGTTCGCAGTAGTCGAAAGCGCATGTCAGACTTGCTCTGGAGTGCGTCAAACGGCTCTTCTGGCCCTATACGCTTGACGAAGATGATTTGTGACCACACATCAGCAACACAAATTTCCGTTTTGATATGGGGAGGGGGGATTTTTCATTTTGATACACAGAAAGTTGAGCTGATAGGAGAAGGACAACTAGTATATCTGGAACAAGCAAATTCTGAGGCAACAGCCTCTACATCTGCACTGCAAGACTCATCTGCACAACTGCAAGGTCCATCTGCACAACTGCAAGATCCATCTTCTGCAACAGCTCCGGTGAACACGAAAGGAGCGAAAGCAACAGTGGTCGTTCCAGGGATCAAAGGGAAAGGAAAGAAAGCCGCACCACCGCCGGTGCCTGGGTCTGTAGCGCCAGTTGCGACTTTTTCAGGTACCAAGGGGAACGGAGATGATGATGTCGTTTCTGCTAATAGCAGCACGACAAGTGGCGCACCACCTGGCAAAGGGGGCAAGGCCGCTCTATGGCGTTCTCAAACGTTACATTCTCAGCTGTTGCATGGATTTGTCATGCAAATTTGCTATCACCCTCCACACAATCAGGCTACTTAGCATGACAAACTCGCTGCAGTACGCTTAACAACAGGTACATCCGTTCCAAATTTGTAATGCCAAGCGTGCAAAAATCTTTCCGCTTGGACATTTACTATTCTTGCAACACAAATTTATGTAACGGTTGAGAATTATATAACATTTGAGAAGGCCATACCCTCCTCCGCCAGTGCCAGGATCATCGTCGGGGCAAGCCGCATATGGATTGCAAATATGTCTGGGTCTGGAACGTTGCAACTTGTGATGCTGTGTTTGGATTCCAAAAAAAAATTGTATTGCATTACCAGCAACAGGTGTCCAGTTCTTGCTACGTGGAGGGGGCATTTCTCATGCGGAATAGGCATCAGGAATCCCTGCTCTAAAAGTCTGTGATGCAAGGTCGTGCATTACAGGCATTCTGGGTCATGCAAAATATGCATGACAAACCTGGCAATCTTCCAGACCCAGACACTTTTACATTTGATACCGCAGTACCACCTGCACCTAAAGGAGCAGCACCGCCGGCGCCAGTTCTGGCAAAAGGGGCTCCTCCTCCGGTACCTGGCGGGAAAGTAGGCGGTGCGCTGCCAATACCTGGGGGGAAAGGAGCAGCACCCCCACCAATACCTGCAGGGACGAACAAAGGCGGAGCAGCACCCCCACCTCCCGCTCCCGGCAAAGGCGCAGCACCACCCGCAAAAGGCGGCGCTGGTGCGCCACCTCCTGCAAAAGGCGCCGCTGCACCACCAGGGAAAGGCGCAGCTGCACCACCCGGCGGTCTGAAAGGCGCCGCTGCACCGGGGAAAGGAGGAGTTAAAGCCGCCGCCGTATGGGCGGGTACTCAAACGTTACGTTGTTTGCTGTAATGCGTGACTTGTCAGGCAAAATTTAAATACCATCAGCATCCACACGACCAAGCTGCTAGTTCGCATGACAAATTCTTGAAGGCGGGCTAAAAAGAAAAACATCATGGCAAAAAAATATGCGCCGAAATTGTAAATGGAAGAGCTGCTCTAGTAGGTTTTCTCCCACCTTTTGCTTTTGCTATTCATTCTTGCGTGACAAATCCATGTAGCCAGGAACTGACAGGGTAACGCTTGAGAACCACTTCATACGCCGGTGGGAAAGGCAAGGGAAAGAATCAGCCGCAAATCGACATTCCGCTGCATGACGTCCCAGAACCACCGAAGGAGCACGTCGCGAAGGCCTTGCACTGGCAGAAACTAATCCCGAAGCAGTACGAGAACAGTATTTTCGCGAGGTTAACTTTACTGAAAGAGAACAAGAAGCCCCCGCCGCCAGGGGGGGATCAACTTCTACATCATCCGGAGGATATCATACAACCAGCAGGAAGAACACCCAGTAGCCCCTCCTCTGGGCCTATCGTGAAAAATAAAACCGCCGTCGCTGGTACTCCTCTCCCAAGCAGCAGCGCTCTTGCGTCCCCGCCACCCAGTTCGCAAAAACTGATGCTGAAGAGCAGTCACAATTTGACTACCGCTGCAGGAGGTGCTACCGCTTCGTCTTCTACGCGCCCCAACACGAATTTCGCGAAGGTTTTACAGAATCTTGGGAAAAACTGCCGCTTGCAGAAGATCCAACAACACTTCTTCCAAAAGCCAGTCGCGAAAACAACTGCCGGCGGCGGGAATAAAGACGGTGCTCCTGGTGGTGGTGGAGCTGCAGGTGGTAAAAAGGAAAAGAAGCTCACAACGTTATTAGAAGACGGCGGGAAGGCGCAAAACATTGAAATTGCGTTGAAATCAAGGAGTATCACCGCGGAACAGGTGCGGAAACGGCTATGCATTTGAAAAGCATCTTCGTGCGTAGGAGTAATTCTAATTGCATCACAGATTCGGAGGTCGTAAAAAGGGATGAGAAGATAAAAATGCGTCATGCAGTATGATCAGGTAAGAAGGAAAAATCTGTCGTGCATGATTGCGATTAATACTACGAGTCTACGATCATACTTTTCCAGTGGATAAAGGCTCGACGACTACGATTTGAAATCCATGAACTTCGAGTCTCTGCAAATCGTGATCAGCATGTACCCCACCACAGAGGAGATTCAGCAGTTGAGGAGATACGACGAGCTACTCGCAGCGCAGGAGAAAGACGATCCGAACAACCCGCTGCCCCCCCTCCGCGGCGCGGAAGACTTTCTGATGGGAATTCTCAAGATCCAGCATTTCAAGCAGAAAACGGACTGCGTTTCCTACGTGGAGCTGTTTCCGAAGTCGTTTGAAGAAACGGAGAAGGAAGCAGGTTTGTTGGAAAGCTGCTCGGTGAAGATATTGAATTCGCAGGCACTGCAGGTGGTTTTCTTTCTCATTATGCAGATCGGGAATTTTTTGAACTACGGAACGGCCAAAGGGTCCGCTTTCGGCTTCTCGCTGGACACATTAGACAAATTCGGGCAAATATCCAAGGAAAAAACTGTGCAGGTGTAATTTTCTACTTAGAGGAATAGCATCACAAGTTTGATGCTCTGCATGACACAGAAAGCCTGTCATGCGTATCCAGTACCTGAAAACAGAACACGAAGGAAAGAGCCTCTGATGCAAATCCAGCATGACAAGTATAGCAGTTTTACACTTTCTGCATCACAGACTTACACTCACATAGCTTTTTTCTTGCATAGCAAACGGCCAGCTTTTCCGCGAAGGACTACACGCTAGCGCACGCGCTCTGTGTATCAAATGCAAATATGTCTGGGAGGTCTGGAATAGTGTGATGCTGTTTGTGCATGACACAGAAGGTCTAGCATGCAAGTCCTAGCAACACAGGTTTTGTGCAGGTTAGGCGATGCCTATATCCGCATGACAAGTTCCCTCCTTTGGTGGCAATAAGTGAGCAACTTTTAGTGCAGTCCATGCATGACAGATTTTTTTTCTGGTCTCAAATGTGCATCAGAAGTTTACACGTTTCCAGACCCAGACACTTTTGCATTTGATATTGTGAGGAACTGTGGAATGAGAGTAGGGATTCGCTGAAGCAGTTTTTAGAGGATTTGAAGGAGTGCGAAGTTGCCGGGAGAGTGGATTTCGCGGACTGTAAAAAGAGGGCGAAGGATTTAGAACAGCATATCCCACAGAAAAAAGCAGGCAGGGCAGATTTGTAATGCAAAAAAAAAGACACAAAAAAATCTATCATGGGCGGCCCCCTAGCATGCTGCTTCGAATATGGAATGCGGATTTTCTTGTGTATCTATTTTTGCATTACACCCTGCCTGCTTTTTTCTGTGTAATACAGCAGGTGGAATACGTGCGGAAAACGGTCGGCGTGAAGGTAAAAATCTGTATTGAATGCTACTTATGTGATTTTTTGCGATTGCGCATGATGCGCACGACAAACTAGAAGATGGTTTTGGAGCCCAATTGATGCGAACGCGCACGCCAACCTAGACGACGTCTCTAGTACGTTCTTTCCAACTTCGATTTGTATTTCTGCAGCAAAACAGAAACATCCATGTCGATAATATCAGCTTCCGGACGAAGACGCAGCTGACGGCAGTACTACAGTTGCAGAAGGGAAACCAACCAGCACAACAGCGACTATCACCCCGCTTTTCTACCCTGAGTAAAATAACCATCCCCACACCAGAGGCAAGATGGGAATTTTGCAACACAAACCTAGAACTTTTGGGGGTCACGCATCACAAGTTGCAGTCCGTAGTGTAGTGCAGGTTCGCAAGGCCAGCTGCATCAGAAATCCATCGGCTCATCCTATTTACAGCATGACATACAAGAAAGTACAAAAAACGACTAGGAACGTCTCTCCTGGCGATGCGCATTACAAATGTTTCTGTCATTGCAAACTGCATGACAACTATGGTGCGGGGACGTTTTTACTCAGGATATCTTCGGCTCCGCCTTCACAAAGGGGATGGAGGAATTTGTCATCAACGAAAAGAAAAGGGTATATGCATGGCAAATATGTCTGGGTCTGCAAATTTGTAATGCTAAAAATGTAATGCTAATATTGATATTCGCACTGCAATGCGCAGCCAAGCATGACAAATTTTTGGGCTGCTAGGTGTTGCGTATTCCGCATGACAAACGTGAGTTCTTTCATGACAGGCAAGACGTCCTTTTCGTGCTCACGCATCACAGATTTGAGATGAGTCATGCCCGACAAGCATGACAATTTTGCATTCATTCTTCTAGACCCAGACATATTTGCACTTGACAGGGTAACGAATTTGACCAAAAAGATCGAGAAGTTAGAAAAAAAGCAAACGGAGTTAGTTTCCTTTCTCGCAGCGCGAAATGGGACCGCATTACAGGACTGTTTTTCCTTATCCAAGGGAAAAAGATTGCCGGTGTAACTTGAACTGTTTTATTGGCGGAGCAGCACTTTTACAAATCTGTCTGGCAGATAGTTGTACGGGGAAAGGAATAAGAAAGCAAAAACATAAACATGTTTGGATCGTAGACCTTGCAGTACAACATGACCAGCATAACAGACGCAAAAATCGTTCTGCGTGGTGCCTGTTATCAGAAAGCTTTTATACTTGCAATTTTTTTTTGGCGGATTTTGCACCCTCGCGAAGTTCCGAAAGTTGATAGAGCAGTCCATGCGGCAGAATCAAGAATATCGTGAGGAAAAATATCCCTTCCCACTATCGAAAAGGAAATTTGCGATGCTGCATTTGCGTACACAAATCGGGTTGTATTGCTAGAAGAGCAAGGGACGCACTTGTGGCCTTGTTTGCAGGCAATTTGTCATGGTGTTTCCCACTTCCAGTCGCCCCCTGTCATGCTGAAGACGCAAGGCTTTCCCACGACGCCAGCCAGCACTACAGTCCGCCGCTTTTGCCTTCTAGCATGACAACACGACTTGTGGCCACGAATCATCGACGCAAATTTCCAGTTTCTTGAGTAATTTGGGGAGGGGGGATTTATCCTTTTGATAAAGAAAGAATTTTGAAGGAAAGGAAACGGCAACAGATATCCTGAGTAAAAACGTCCCCACACCAGAGTTGTAATGCAGATTTGCAAAGACGGGAAGACTTGTAATGCGCATCCCCATGAGAGCCGTTTCCAATCGTGTTTTGGAATTTGTGATGCTGTGAACAGGATGAGCAGATGAATCTGTGATGCGGCTGCACTTGCTAACCTGCACGACACTGCAGAGCGCAACTTGTCATGCGTGACTCACAAAACTCCTAGGCTTGTGTTGCAAAATCCCCATCCTGACTCTGGTGTGGGTACGTTTTTACTCAGGATAACAGAGAGAGGAGGATGCGAGGAAGCTATCCACAAAAAGAAAACTACACCCATCCCCATCCAATTTGTCGTATGGAAGTCATGCATTCAATCCAGTGTAGTTCTTTGTCATGCAGAATAAAAATGGATGGGGATCTTCATGGGTGTGGTTTTTTCCTGGATAGAAGCGGATAGCAGATAAATTGATGTCGGCGGTTGGGAAGGAAAAGGAGAAAGAAAAACAAGCGGAGACTACAGCACCCGTCGGGCCGAAAACTGTGGAAGAATTTTGCAATGTGGAGGGCAAGGCGAAAATATTAAACGGGCAAAACAATGATCCTGCTGGCACCACGCCGGAAACAACAGGAGCTGGTGCGGAAAAGGAACAGAAGAAAAAAACAACTAGTACCAGCGGGGGCGCGCTGGATTTATGCGAGTTGAGTTTTGGCGCTTACCAAGGAGAGCCAGATACTGCTGCTGCTGCTGCTGGGAAGAAGCAACAACAAAAGAAGCCGCCAGATAAACCTGCTAGTTCAACAAGTTCTCCGGAAGGACCGAAAGCTACAGCGAGCGAGGACCAGGCAGCAGCTGCAACAATTGAAAGTAGTAAATCAGAAGCTGCAAGAACCACCTGCCCTGCAGAAGTGGGAGCGCAATCCCAATCGGAAGCAGTGAGTAATAATGAAGTAGACCCCGCCTCTACTACTTCTACCTCTCTGGACAAATCAAAATCTGCGCCTGCAGCCCCGGAAGTTGTAAAACTGAAGCCGACGAACCACCCCCACCCGAAGTCAAGAGAACCGCCAGACGGAGCACCGCCAGAGGATTCCCCCTCCCTAACGAAATCGCAGATCCGAAAAGCCAGCAGCACCATTGTGGTCGGCGGCGAGCGAAAACGGGTCAGTACGCTGTTGCGAACCAGCAGGACAAGCAACCAGTACAGCTCTTCTTCGTCGGAGGAGGAGAGGGAGGACGTGTCCTCGCCGGTCACGTAGCAGTCGGCAATGCTGACTAAAGATAGTGCAGCCAAGTATAATTCAGCTTTTAATGCTAGGTTTCGTTTTCAAAAGACCGTCAATAAATCTAACGAGTTGAATGATTATTTTCATCGTCATCCTTGCGGCAGCGCCAGCGGCACGGATGTTCTTGTTGTTTTTCATTGCACGATCGAAAGATCAAGGGTTTTCCACAATTTAAGTGAAATCTAACGAAACGGAAGCGACGCATTTCGGAGCTCGCTCTTCTTGAGAACAAAGGGCTGTAGTGCTCTGCAACCACAAACACCATTTTCAATATATTCGCGAATACAGCAATAGTGAGGTAACCTCGCTAAATTTGCAGCATTGCTCAACAGGAAGAACAAGATTTTTTGCATCAATTTCAACATCATGGCAAAGGCAATGCATTGCTGATCAAGCTGCTGTTTAACTACTGCTACACTGCTAGGCCCGCCTGGCATGAAAATCTTTGAGTTGTACTATCGTGCCTGTTGATGTTGAGGTCGACGGTCTGTTGTAGCTGCGCCTCAGGGAAGATGAAGGCGAGGACCGACAACTTGCTCCTTCTTCCCAGTGTTCGAAGTGGAGGAAGTCGCAATGCGGGCGAGTGTTCGCCCGCACCTCCGCAGGTCGGCGCTGAGAATAATTTGAGTCAACCTGATTTCACGCTGTGTGCAGAAGTGAGGCTTTAATCAATATTCCTCAGCTGCTTCCAAAGAGATTGCAAATTGATGGCGGAGGATGGATCCACCGAGCGTCGTCTAGTCGTGGTGTGGTGTGGTCTCGTCTGCTTTATTGGAGATGGTACTGACGAGGAGCACCCTGGAACAAGATTAAATTTTGTCCCGAAGCGTTTCACGTCCTGCATATGATGAAACGATAACGATCAGCAGTCACGCCAAAGCACACATGATAACCGTACTCGCAGATTGGTCTTGTATCGTAGGAAAGTTTCATTGCCTGGTAGCGACGATTTTTTTTCTAACGTGTGCAAAGGGCCGCGGTAAACCTGTGATTAATATCTTCAGTTGTAGGATGTCATTGTCATCAAGAACCAGCAACATCCGTAACCTCCCCTGCAGTTTTGGTTCTGGTAAGTGAGGGTTGCTAATACAGAAGAGATCTGTAAAAGCAAAATTTGAACAGGAACTCAGACGCTCTTGAACTTTCCTGGGCTCCGCTTGTGTGGCGCTTCAGTAGAAAGAACTGAAAAACCAGATTTACAATAAAGAACACCATATTTTTGCTATCAGCCTTAACAACCCAGAGAAACATACAGCAAGATGACTGCAGGAGCCTCGTGGACTTCTTTGTGACCAGGAGGTGCAGCGTCGGCAATAACATCGCGGCGACCGCAAGATGTGAGGCGAGTATTTTTGCAGCTACGTACTTATCTACGTGCAGCCGACGCGGCACGACCCCATCAGCCCCACCGCCGTTGTTCATCATGTTGCCTTCTCGTCTCACTTACTTACTTTTCAACACGTTGTTTGCATCTAGATCTAGCCCAAGCCCGCTAGGCTAGTACAAGAACCGCTGAGGCCGCCGCTGCATCAGAAAGTAGAAAAAGCACGAGCACGACTACAAGAACTCCATCAGAACTTCTACGTCGGACCATCACCAGCACCACCACTACCATCATGTTGGCCCGCACCACTTCGGCCGGAGATCCTAGTACCGCCAAGCCCTCTTCTTCCGATTTGAAAAGCCCGATTGTCTTCCGCGACCGCAACCTCACTTCCGTTCACTACATTACGAATGACACGGTGAACCACTTCGTGCAAACCCAGGGGAAGCAGTTTTCGCTCTTCAAATTTGGCGACCCGGCTAGCGTGGAGTACTATGCGGAACAATTGGTGGCGAAGATCAGGGAGAGGTATCGCAAGAAAAAACTGTTCCATTGTAAACCTGTAATGCAGAAAATGCATCACTGAAGTGTTTGTCTTGCTACACATGCAAGACAAGTGATTTTTAGCGGTGTTTTCCCTTGGGATCCTCGCAGGGCAAGTTTTCCTTGTAATGTGTGGCGAACTTGTAATGCAAAACTTGCAAAATTCTTACAGTGAAGCAGTTTTTTCTTACGATAAGAGGTTTGGAAAGAGGATTGAGGCGATTTTGAAAGTAGATTCATCATCTTCACTTTCTTCTGGGAGTTCTTGTTGTAATGCTTCGCATCAAGAATTACCCGCAGGAGGAGCTGTTGTCTTCCCAGCTTCCGCAGGACGAACGCAGGAATTACAGGGTCTTTCCTACGCCTCTTCCGCCACGTCTGCGGCATCAGCATCCTCTGCGAGTAGCAGCTCAAATTCCTCGTGCGAGGAATTAGTAGATCAGGAAATGCCGGATGTTGCGGACAATTTTTGCCACCAGCAAGGTAGTCCTCAAAATTCGAAAGTGGTCTCCTTCCAAGCGGCCTTTGCGAATTCCATGCAGAAGAGTGAGTTTCAACATCCGGAACATATCCTGGCTAAAAACGTCCCCACACCAGAGTTGTAATGTAGATTTACAAAAACAGGAAGACTTGTAATGCGCATCCCCATGAGAGCCATTTCCAGTCGTGTTTTGGAATTTGTGATGCGGTGAACAGGATGAGCAGATGAATCTGTGACGCGGCTGCACTTGCTAACCTGCACTACACTGCGGAGTGCAGCCTGTCATGCGTGACTCACAAAACTCCTAGGCTTGTGTTGCAAAATCCCCATCCTGACTCTGGTGTGGGGACGTTTTTCCTCAGGATAGAACAAACAACAACTTCAACCCAGCAACTTCTTCTGCACAACAACAACGCCCCGCTAGACATCGACTCTCCTGTGCTGCTGAAAAAGCGCAAATCGACGGACAACAGCCTGCTGGAACCGCAGCACCGGGGCGAGGACATCAATCCTGTTGCCCATGTAGGTCCTCTTGGCACGGAGTTCTTGTCAGGAGCCAACGGCGAACAGGATCATATGGCAGTGTCAGGATTGAAATCGACAAAGTTGCAATAGTTTGTGATGCATAAAACGGATACCATTTGGCGCCTAGGCCTAGTTTTCAAGTGGCGCATGACAAATTTGGGTAGAGCCGAAATCCAGTTTGTAATGCTGTTTGGGTAGGGAAGACCCCTTTTGTCATGCTACTTTAGCAGCTCTATTGCTACCCCTCAACAGGCTTACAATCTGCCTCCCTTGCCTACCCTGCAAGACAGGCACTCTGTGGCTTGCATTTCATGCATCACAAACTATTTCAACCTTGACGATTTCAATCCTGACACATCCATAGATCAAAACGGAGTCGCAGAAGGTGTTGTACCCCCACTGCATCTGGAAGGCGGACGAGCAGCAAATAATAATGCAAAAACGCTGAATTTCCAGCAAATACCCTCCAACAAACCTACCCCGACAAAGAAGAAGTCCGTCCGCTTTATGGATTGCAAAAATGTCTGGGTCTGGAAGAATGCAACTTGTCATGCTGTCTTTGGATTCCAAAAAAATCTGCATTGCGTGACCAGCATCAGGAGTCCAGTTTGTGTTAAGTACGCGGAGAGGGCATTTCTCATGCGGAATAGGCATCAGGAAGGCCTCTAAAAATAAATCTGTGATGCTAGATCGTGCATTCGATGCGTCACGGATCATAGAAAACATGCATCACAAATCCCGGCATCTTCCAGACCCAGACATTTTTGCATTTGATACGCTTGCTGATCGAGCAGTTAGATTCTGCCGATTGGGACGACGGGACGCCGAAGGTCTCGGAGCGCTGTATACTCCTCGCCACGAAAACGGAGAACCACCAATCTCCTTCCCAGCTGGTAGATTTATCAGCTTCTCCTTGTTTGGACAGCAGTGTAAAAGTGAAAAAGAAGTTATGCAATGTAAATTTCCCGTACATGTACAAAATGCATGACAAATTTTGCTAACTTGCAGTGTACAACTTGTCATGCTAGACTAGGGTTGAAGGCAAATTTTGTCATGCAGAGACAGCATTTGTACATCGTGTACAGGAAATTTCCTGTGGATAGAAGTACCCGCGGACGCCGGCAAACGTGTTATCCTGTGCAAAAGTATCGTACTCGTATTGCAATCATGCATTACAAATCTTGTTCTTAAGGCAAATCCGCATTACAAATTTCATTTCTCATGCTGAGAAAATTTGTAATCCATTTATACGAGTACGATACTTTTGCACAGGATACGTGTTGAAATTAGCCGATACGAAGTGTAACTTGATGGCAGGAGGTTGTTCAACTTCTTCGCGTATGCTGTGTAAAAATGTCCCCAACTACCCATAGTCAAGATGGGAATAAATCTGCAACACAAATCTCGAAGTTTTGGGATTTCTGAATGACAAGTTTCCATCTGCAGTGTAGTGCTGGTTAATAGCAAGGAAAGCCGCAGGACAAAGCCAGTTCCTCATCCTGTTTGCAGCATTACAAATTCCAAAACAGGATTGGAAATGCCTCACATGTGGATGCGCATTGCAAATGTTTCTGTCATTGCGCATTTGCGTGACAACTCTGGGGTGGGGACGTTTTTGCTGAGGATATCGCGAGTTGCAACTTCTTCTGCTTCCACGTCTGGCTACGTCATGCCCGGGACGACGGATTATATAATGGCCGATGAAGATATGGAAGCGTCAGGATCGAAATCGTCAAAGTTGAAATGATCTGCAATGCAGAAAAGTGATACAAGCTGGAGCCCAGTTTGCAAGGTGCGCATGACAAATTTTGGGAGCATCGAAATCCAATTTGTCATGCTGTTTAAGCAGACAAGACTGCTTTTGTCATGCTCTTGTAGCAGCTCTATCTCACACCCCAAGCAGGCGTAGAATCGGCCGCAGTTGCCTGCTCTGCAAGACAGGCCCTTTGCGCCTAGCATTTTATGCATCACAAACTATTTCAACTTTGACGACTTCAATCCTGACACTCCCATAGAAGATGATGAGAACACACCCCGCCCGGCAGAGCATAAGATGAACCAGATGGGTCGTGACTTTTGTGAGAATAATAATACTCTGCAACCTCCGCTGCGTGCCATGAACTCCTCCTCTTCAATGCTGAACGACCACTACAACACAGACAGCACGTCGTTGAGCAGCTCCTTCTTTCCGCCAGCACTGGCAGGAGCTTCTTCTGGTGCAACGTCTTCGGTAGTTCTTTCATCTGGGAGTCAGGTGTCTGCCAGCTTGAAACGGTCCTCAAGAACGGTTAACAAGCCATCACCTAGTTCAGATGACCAGCAGAAAACTGCAGGGTTGTATCCTGGGACGAGCAGCAGTGTCGATGGTAACGTGATGAAACAAGTTCCCCCACCGTTGTTAATGATCACTTCGTACACGAATAACGACATCACCAGCTTGACCAGCGGTGGAATCGGTCTTGAGCCTGCAGTATCCCACGAAAAAACTGTTTCACTGTGATGGTTTTGCAAGATCCGCATCACAAGTTTTCTACACATGACACAGAAACTTTGCCATGCGTGCTTCCCAAGGGAAAACACGCTTAAAAACCCAAAGCCTTGCAGGTGTAGCAAGACAAATAGTTTATTTGTTCCATTCCCATTGTTCTATGCATCATAATTTCACAGTGAAACACTTTTTTCTTGCGATATGCAGCTACGATGAACAGCACCAGCGATGTAGTAGAAGTCCTTGACAGCACGACAGGAATAGAACAACTACACAAGGAGAAAAAAGAGCAGAATAAAACAACGACCCCCGTCGCCCTCCCTCCGAAGAAAAAGCGGCCCAGGACACTGAAACGGGCATCAACTGAGTTCTTCTGCGCAGATCCGAGCGCGGCGCTAGGGGCGGTAGGTGGCACGGCAACTGCATCGACGTCGTCAAGAATGCATCCCGGAGTTTCATGTGGGAGCAACGACATGCAGGTCATGGATACAGTGGTGGAGGAAACTGCAGACGAACAAGCTGCAATGCTGTTCTCCTCGTATCGCAAGAAAAAAGTGTTACAGTTACACATTGTGATGCAAGACTGGCAACACAGACAACCTTTCTCATGCAGGAAATGCTTGGGAACCTCGTTTCCTTCCTGTTTTCCCTTATGATTTGCGCATTACAAGTTTTCTCTGCCACACAGAGAAAATTTGTGATGCAGAAACCGCAACAAAAGTGTAACTGGAGCACTTTTTTCGTACGATACCTCGTCAACAGCCTCTACTACCACAGCTGCTGCGTCCGCCTCATCTTCTGCCGCCTTTTCGAGTTCTTTTCAAGCATCAGATAGGACGATCGACGGAAGTTTCGGATTTCAGGAGGCCACAGGCCAGAGCGTTAGCTTCTCTTCGACTTACTGTAGTGCCGGAAATTTCTTACTGGCTCCTGCGGCCTCAGGTAGAATTATGATGTAATTTATTTGTGTACTTAGTTGAAGATCGATGTTGACCCTACGTTCAACATCTTAAGGTGGTCCCTTTTTAGGCTCGTCGCGGCCCAGACGACACTCCATTATTACGGTTTCTGGATTTGAAGTCGACTCGAAATGTCGGCAATAAACCACCTGAATATTGAACCAGGCACGTCTACTGTAGAAGACCCACAGAGCATTACCTCCTCTTGGACCACATCACATGCGGCTTTTTTGCCCGCCACCGATCACGACGCAATGAGCGTGCACACGACCTACGAAATGCAAAAGTGTCTGGGTCTGGAAGGTTGGAACTTGTGATGCTAAATTTGGACTCTATAAAAAATCTGTACTGCATGACCAGCAAAAGGAGTCTAGTTTGTGTGATGCGGGGAGGGCATTTGTCATGCGGAGTAGGCACGATCAGGAAGCCCTCTAAAAATCTGTGATGCTAGGTCGCGCATTACAGACATCCTAGGCCGCTATGCAAAATGTGCATGACAAATCTCGCAATCTCCCAGACCCAGACATATTTGCATTTCACACGACCCAGCAGGACACGAATCTGGAGCCGACCCCAACTGCTAAAAATAATCCTCCCACCACGTCGGAGGTGCTGCCCGGGCGGTTCTTTCCAGATTTGGTGCACGACCTGGATGAAGTAGACGCATCGGATAAAAATGCGGCGAATGTTGGCGATGATCAACAAGAGGTGGAGGAACAAGATCAGCATGAGTTCACTTCCCCTGACCTCCTCGAAGCAGAACCGCCCGATGAGAAGATCGTCATTGTCGCCGTTTCCTCCGCAACCAGCATCCCCAAGGCCTCCCAATTGCTCCTGGAGCAGGTTTATCAAATGCAAAAATGTCGGGGTCTCGAAACTTGTGATGCTGAATTGCGCATGATTGAAGCGCAGCTTCCAATGGCAGCCAAGCATGACAAGTTTTTGAGACGCCTGCTGATGCCTAGGACGCATTACAAATTGCGTTTTATTTGCATGACAAAGAAATAAACTGCTCTACTTTTGCTGCTCATGCAACACAGGTTTTCCAGGAATGCAAGACACGCATTACAAGTTCCACTTTTCCAGACCCAGGCACTTTTGCATTTGATAAGGTTTGCAAAAAACTCAACCTGCCGGCCGGCTACATGCGGACCTTCAACGAGACGGAGCTGTTTCTCATGCAGAACCGGAGGAAAAACAGGATATGAATTGCATCAAAATCATCGTACTAGTATGAATTGCATTACAAATTGACTTGAATTTGTAATGCGGATTAGCCTTGAGAAAAAGATTTGTAATGCATAAACGCAATTAGTACAAGTGCGATGCTTGTTTTGCATTCCATACAGGAGGAGTTCGAGCAATTCGTCTTCGAGAAGTCGAAGCAGGAGTATGAGACAGCACAACTCCCCCGCCTCCCCCTCTTTTGTAATGCAAAATTACTAAACTCACAACTTGCTCGTAAGCACTGTCAAGCATGACAAATTATTTTGGAACCTCAAATAGTACTACAAACAACTACCCGCAATCATGCAAATTTGTCATGCCAAAGCCTCTTTTCTGCTGTTGCTCGTGTTTCTGTTCATCATGCCATACAAATGAGGGGGAGTGGAACGAGTTCTTGTGCACTCTCATAAGGAGTGAGCATGGGCGAGTTGTCGCTTCTTCAGTCGTATCCTGTGCAAAGGTATCGTACTCGTATTGCAATCATGCATTCGCAAATTTTTTTCTTAGGGTAAATCCGCATATACAAATTTTATTTCTCATGCTGAGGAAATTTGTAATGCATTTATACGAGTGCGGTGCTTTTCGAGTGCATAAGTCGGCGGACCGCCACAGAACGACCCCACCACCCCCGTCCCCGGGACGATAGCGGCCGTTGGTGCTATCAAAAGGACAAATCCCCCGTCCCCATATCGAAAGCCATTTTGTGTTGCTGTATTTGAGTACACAGATCAAGTTTGTCTTGCATATAAAGGACTGCACGCAGATCGTCCGCCTAAGGGGGGGCCTCTTGTCGTAGGGACCTAGCATGGCAGACGTCTGCGCTATAGGCCTTGCAGCGTTACAAATCGCCTGCATATCGTGGCGGAGTCTCTGGGGTTGTCCTCTTGCAAGAGAGGCAGGGTCTGTGGTCACAAATCAGCATCGAAAAAATTTAGAGACATACCTTTTCAGTATGGGGAGGGGGGATTTTTCCGTTTGATATGGGCGGGAGGATCTTCCTCCTCCTCCTCGAGCAAATCAAAATCCTGCCCAGTGGTTTACGCGAATTGCAACTCGTTGAAAGAGAGACTTCAATTGATCGAGCAAATGCGATTAGAATACGACGACGATACGTGTCCGAAGATTGGACCCGGAACCGAATGCGTCATCTTCATTGACGACGTCCTTGCGTCGGGCGCAACCTACATGCGAACGCAAGAAGCGCTGATCATCCGGAGGGGATTAAAGCCGGAAAATCTACACGCGGCGGTGCTGGTGAATTTAGCTGTGGAGGAAGGCACTGGGTCTGCGAATGGGGAAAATGCAGGGCATGACAAGCCATCTTCTTTCAACCTCGAAGGGAGCTTCAACCACTTGTCTTTGAACGTAGATTCGCCGACGCACATTTTGGTGGAGATTCTAAAAAGGCAGACGGAGGGGAAGCCGGTATACTATTTTGACTTTGAGTTTCTTGAGCTCCCAGCGGTCCCGCATTGTTGTACACTGTTTTAAAAGATGCGACGAGTTTTAGTTTTTGACATGTTGACATATCGAAATATTAAACTCAGGTTTGGAAGATGCTGACATTCCTCCTAAACTCCCTTCCGGACAAGAACTACTCCATACCGACTGCAAACATGTCTGCGTCTGGAGGAATGCAACTTGTGATGCTGCATTTGGATTCCAAAAAGATCTGTACTGCATGAGCAGCAAAGGGAATGTAATTTTTGCTACGCGGAGATGAGGGCATTTGTGTTGCGGAATAGGCATCAAGAAGCCCTCAAAATAAAGTCTGTGACGCCAGGGCATGCATCACAGACATCGCGGCTCATGCAAAACGCGCATGACAAGTCTCAGAATCTTCCAGACAACCCAGACACATTTGCAGTTCATACGCCAAGCTCTGTGCGTATTTGAATAACCGAAATTCGCGCACCTCGACTAAAATCAAACACTGGCTAATCGACGCGACCATTGAATCTGGCTTGCAGAAGGTGTATGAAAGCCGGTTTCACCTGCTCCGCGGGACCAATGATGAGGACCAATTTCTCGAAAACGTCAACAACGCGACCGGGGTAGCGGCAGCAGCCGTGGGGGAGAATTTTGAAATCGGGAAAAACGGCGGAAAGAAAAACCATGTCGGTTTGAAGTCAGGGAGCGGACGATTCGGAATTGGGAACAAACAGCTGAAGCGAACGACGACGGTGGGATAAAGCTAAAAACAGGGGATGGAAAAATTATAGACGAAGGAGGTGAAGAGCAAGTTGGTTTTCACGAATTTGTTGATGTACGAGTGGTTTTCATCTTCGGGCTGGAGGACAGCACACAAATCAGCATGGCGAGGAACAACATTCTACTGGCAGTAGAGATGTGCTGACTGTTCTTGTGATGGTGGTAGGTCCTTCTCTCGACGGTACTAGTTGTACTTCTACGTGGGTTTTTTGGCTGCAACGGCTACGGCCCGAAACGTGGACGATCACGATGGACGAGCGTGGTACAACTGGAGGTTGAAAAATATCTACTTGCTGGGAGATGTTGTTGACGTCCACAACTTACAAGGGATGGCTTAGAAGTGTGGAACCTCCAGCACCGGGCTGCGTGATCCCGTAGGGCCGAGGGAGGAGGTTCTTTTTCGTGTGGAAGATGATCAGACTAGCAGTCAGACGCCGAGCAGAGGACCACAACAGGAGGTGTTTGTTTGGGGGTAATATTTTTCAGGTGTCCGGGAGGACGAGGGCGGGCAGAAGTCTTCAAGCTCCTTGCGCGGTGGTGGTCGTGCTGGGTCGTGCTAGAAGTTTGGCTGAATTTTATGAAAGGAAACTTTTTCAAGAATCATTGAAGAGATGAATTTCTACTTCGCGGCTATCGCTATCTTGTAATAGCAGGGGCTTTATATTAGCAGGACGAAGTGTACAACTCTTGTTCCGACTATTTGGATAATGTTGTTGTTTCGACGTACGAAGATATATAATTTGGGCTTAGACGATGACAAACTTAATACGACACTACTTGTTGTTCCACGGAAGAGCTGTTGGACGGGAGATGCTATTCCGGTCGACTTGAATGATTTTCAAACGAGTGAGAATTTATTTTCCTTCGTGTGCTGGAGTAGAGGATAAGATTGGTTGCACGACTTGTTGATATGGGCCTTTTTGTCTTAACGCTCTGAGCTGCTCCGACAGAGACGCAACGCAACGACGCAACGCAGCTCTGGTGCTCTCTTCTCATGATGGTCGACGTATTGACAATCTTCCCGGCTAGGAAGGCTACTTACACGACAAGCTGTTTTTTCCCCGACGCCACTTACTACTTAATCGATACTTCTTCTATGCAGAATGGGTCTAGTATCTTCAATCGGAACCCGAACCTCGCTGAAATTCTTCTTGTTTTCCAAGTGAATGATGATGAACTTTTAGTTTTACTAGTACAACCACTAGCGACTTTTTTTCATCCGCTTTAGTACCTGGCCACGTATGTAGATTTCTTTCTTTCTTTATTACAACCCTCATGACGATCATGACGAAAACCATACTCTACAAAAGATGTTGAGAAAAGGGCTCGTTCTTGCTGTGTGTCCAAAAGTGATGTTAAAAAGCAGGCTCTAGTTCTTTTCTTCGACACGACATAAGGTCAGAATTGATCAAGAAACCTTTTTTCTCGCTGCAATATACAATTTTGCCTTGCATAATTCGCCTGAAGTAGAACAACCACGACTGGAGCAGTTGTATTCGTCCTCGAAGATGATGACCAGGGCTGCAGCGAGCTCGCAGAAACAAGAGATGCCCATCGTAGTTTTCAGAAGTATTTTAATTCTGAAGGAGCATTAGCAAGTGAGCTTTTACACCGACATTTTAGAGGTGACTGACGTCGCACCTCCAGATGTTCTCGTAGGCATGGTTGGCGTGGCACAACTATCACGACCACCGTGCTCCTCTTTCGTGTTTACAACGCAATTAAGCCACAACCACCGAGTTCAAAGGGAAGATACAAAAGTGGTGCGAACAAACAGCTTCATGATGAAAAGATCTAGTACTCGTAGTGGCCGCCAACGAGGAGCACACAAACCTGTCCAGATTTGATGAAGTAAGTAGCTTTATTTTAGTTTTTGTGATTAAAAGTGATAGTTCGTTGCACAAGAGAGCAGTGGTCCACCTCCTCCTTTCACATTTTCGCAGCGACAAACCAAAAGTGGAACAGTTTTACTAGAAATACTTCGTCCGAAAGTCAAAGTTAAAGCACAAACCGCAAAAGGCAGGAGCAAAAACGCGCTCGATATTCCCTACATTCACGTCGTCGATCATTATGTCAATACTTTGTGACAATTTACAAAACACCTCTGATGTTATCTCGTGCGCTATAACAACTTCTTTTCGCAATTGTCTACTTCTTTGTCAACCATTCTATGATGAACCACCAGCCAGAAACTCCGACTAGAAATCAACAAAATCAGCGACCTCAGAAAGAAGAAGCGTTTGTTGATCTTCTTCAAACGAGAAGTACAACAACAATAAACTACGGCGGTATCGATTTCAACCGTGAAGCACACGACCAGCGACCAGCTGTTTTTCACGACACTGACACTCGCATTCTTGGGCAGGTTGCTGAACCAAGAAGTAGATTTGAGCCTCTTTTTACTCCCTCGCCACCAAGAGGAAGAGAGAAGTCGGGGGATCACGATCCGCTCTTCACTACCTCTCCACGTGTAGTAGAGTCATCGGAGGACGAACTCGAGTTACTAGCTGCACCCTCTTCCGAGCAGGGCGACCACCCAGAGCAAGTAGGGGACAACTACAAGAATCTGGATGTTGACGCAGGCACGGCCGAGCACGAGCTCCTTCCATTGGCTGCTCACCAGGACGGCGGCGGACAGGAGGACGATGTCGGATATTTTTCCGGAGAAGATGTTGAGTTGTTAAACCTCCATCCCGGTTGTTGTACAACAAGAACAAACAAGAGAAGCAACCTCGACAACCCAATCTCCCCGCCGGAGAAAAAGCGCACGACTAGCAAGGAAGCCGACATCCCTTCAACCAACCTCCCGCAGCTTGACGTTGATATCAAATGCAAATATGTCTGGGTCTCGAAGGTGCAGGTGGCAACTTGTCATGGTTAATCTGAAGCATGCAAAAATCTGTGTTGCATGAGTGCCAAAAGCTGTCCACTTTTGACCAAGATGGCCGGGAGTTTCTCATGCAGGATAGGCATGGCAGAGACCTCGCAGAGTCTGTCATGCTGAGTCCCGCACTCCAGACCTCATGGGTCATGGAAAATCTGCATGACAAGCTTACACTTTTTCGAGACCCAGATGACATTTTTTCACTTGATAGTTGAGGGTCATCCGCAATTCCCGGCGACTAGTCCGAGTTGTTTTCGTTTGGATCCGGCGAGAGCGGCGGAATTAGGAGTGGAACAAAGAGAAGGAGTTGTTGGAGTAGCCGGGGATAGAAGAAGTTCTAGTTTTCTTGACGAACAGTCTTTAGCTTCACCTTCAGGTCCTCTTTCAGAGTCAGCATCCGCCGCGGGGGCGTCAGCGGCAGAACTAGAGGACGAGGAGTCAACATTTGCTGTTGGTCCACAAAACGAGTTACTACAGTTCCCGGTAGGGAACTCCAGTCCACCACAGGAATCAGGGGAATTTTCCCCTTTGTTTTCCGACGAAGAAGAACAAGAAGCTTCGCCTTCACCTTTAAATTCCTCCCCAGGTGGGGTAGAAGACGAGCAGTCCTCCCCTGAGGCAAAATCTCCCCCACCAAAACGGCGACGACTTGTCCTAGGGTCTGCGTCAGACGACGAGGAAGGCCAAGACCAGGAGGAACAAAGTAACGACTGGTGTGCTGCTTCCCAGTACATTCCACCTAGTAACTTTTTTGCTTCAAGAACAACATTATCCCGGCAGCACGAACAGCGGCAGCAGCAGTTGTGCAGCTCCACCCGGCGCTCCCCCACTGTAGAAGACGTTTTTTCTGCGCTTGACGGGCGGGGAAGCAAGAGCAACAGCAAGACCGTTCTTGCAGCTCCTCCGGCTGGACTAGTACAAAAAGAGCCCGAAGCTTTAGATCATACCAACCGCAGTTTCCGTTTCCCGAAGCCTGAGCCGAGTGAGGAGCCTTCTCAACAAGGCGAAGGCGGCGCTGGACAACCGCGCGAAATAGTCAACGAGCATACAGGACTCCACCCTGTTGAGCAACAACCTGGGGAGACCGAGGAGGAACACAAGGCGCGGCTGATAAGACTTTGCGAGGAAGATATGCACTGCAAAAGCATCGTACTAGTAGTAAATTGCATTACAGCATGAGAAATAAAATTTGTCATGCGGATTTACCTTCAGAGAAAGATTTGTAATGCATGACTGCAATATTACGAGTGCGATACTTTTGCACAGGATAGAAGAGGAGGCGGAGCAGGAGAAGCATTTCCTGAGCAAAGCTGTAATCCACTGCTGGGACGGGCAGTTTGAGGGAAAAGATCAGTTTGGAAGGTTTCCGGTTGAAGACGACGACGAGGAGGAGAGCCAGAGCGAGAGAGACGCAGCTGATCAAGAAGTAGGTGGATCTACTTCAGTCGAAGAGGAAGAAGTCGCTGACTCTTCTGCGGAGCCAGGAGTACTACATCATCATCATCAACAAGAACCTCAGCGTCGATCTCCCACTGTAGACGACGTTTTCCAGGCGCTTGATAACTTTCCGGTTGGAGAAGTTGGACCAGAGGAGCAGAAGTATCAACAACAGCGTGAATACGAAGATTACGTCGAAGGAGGAGCTAGCAGTGCGGAGGAAGCTGCGCACGATAGTTCGTTTGTAGAAGAAGAGCGATTTTTTCAGCAAGACGCCGGCGCCGCTTACGTCGACACCAGCGGGCTTTTACAGCTACAGGAAAGCGACCAGGAGAGTCGTGCAAGTAGTGAAGAGGAGGAACAAAGCAGCTTCGTCGGAGAAGTTCAAGTTGAACCAGCAGTAGGACGGGAAGAATCTTCACTAAAAGAACTTCCGCTCGAAGAAGTAGAGCCAGCCTCGGAAGAAGCTGCACCAGAAGCCGCACCAGAAAGAGCAGAACAGTACAACCACTTCTACGCCGAGAGCGAAGACAGTTGTTTTTTCACAGACGACGAGATATCCCCTGCAAAAGTATCGCACTCGTAGTCTAGTGGTAATTATCGCAATTATGCCTGACATCAAATCTCTTTCTCAAAGTGAATCAGCATGACAAAAACTTGCACCCGTCATGCTGACCAAATTTGTTTACGCGATCATTTATGCATGCTACTAAAACTAGTGCGATCCAGCTTTCGCAAAGTCCATACGAGACAGACACACTAGGCGGGGAAAGCAGCGACCTAGAGGAGCTAGACGAGCAGAGTTACAAGTTACTCGAGGAACACGAACAGGAGAAGGCTTACCGTGAAGAACAGAAGCAGGCTGAAGTCTTAAAACAGGAGCAGGTCCGCGTCAGAAACCCACAGCTTATCGTTCAGGAGAACGAAGAACACGACCAAAATCAACTCACACAGGAAGAACGCGACCTGTACTACTATCCGCATCAGATCCCGCCGAAACTCTACACAGGACGCAAAGTTCCGCGGTATCTGCTCACTGGTGCAACTGCACCCAGTACTACAACTAGAGCTGCTGTTCCCACTTCTCCACGTCGCGGTTCGACGCAGCGTCGTGTAGTTGCTCAACAGCAGTTTTCATCTTCGGACGAAGAGGACAATTTTGCCGACGGTGAGGATTCCCCCAGTTCCTACAACGGGGATCAATCGAATTTATGAATGTGCACAACTCCCCCTCCCCCTCATATGTATTGCATGAACAGCAATGCAAGCGTCAGGGGTAATCCCCTTTTTGCAAGACAAATTTGAATCACAGGAGTGTGGTGCTATTTGGGCTGCCAGAACTTGTCATGCAAACAGTGTCAAGATGAGCCAAGGCGTAAAAAACTAGGCACTTTGCATTACAAATGAGGGGGACGGGGAGTTGTGCACCCTCATAGAATTCCTCTTGCTTTCACCAGAACCACCCAAGGCACGGAGGCTATTTTGGGCCAGGATCATTTTTCGTCGAGAGTAGCGAACGACCGCTGCTCGTAGGGAAAAGAAAGAACCGCAGCTCGGAGGACAACTCATTCGAAGAAGACTCGCAGTATTCCTCGCAACAAGAGAAAGGGCGAGGACCTGCTATCGTTACCAGTGAGGACGCTGATAGTGAACAGGAGCCGTTAATCCACCGTGCCGACCGGGTATACGACGACAACAGTGAGGACGCGCTGAGCGACGAATTTATCACCATCTACAAAAAGCCACCCCCACCCATCGAGGAGAAGGACATTATCAAGAGCAAGGGCCACTACTTGCGGTATTTGAAAGCCATTAAGCAGAAGAAGCAAGCCCGGAAGCAGCAGAGAAAGGTCTTGAAGTATCAAATGTAAAAATGTCTGGGTCTGGAATGTTGCAGGGTTTGTCATGGAGATTTTGCATAACCCAGGATGTCTGTAATGCACGACCTAGCATCACAGATTTTTAGACGGCTTCCTGATGCCTATTCCGCATAACAAATGCCCTCCCCGCGTAGCACAAACTAGACTCCTCTTGCTGGTCATGCAATACAGATTTGTTTAGAGTTCAAAGTTAGCATCACAAGTTCCAACCTTCCAGACCCAGACATTTTTACATTTGATATGAAGGAATCTGGGGCGATCGAGAAGGACCGGCAGCACGTGGAAGACCTATGCATTGCAAATGTGTCTGGGTCTGGAAGAGTACAAGTTATCATGCTAAATCTGAATCATGCGAAAATCTGTGTTGCATGATTACCATATAAAGCTGTCCACTTTCCTCGAGCAAGCCGCAAGGCAGTTTCTCATGCAGACAAGGCATGGCACAGATCATCTCACAGAACCTGTGATGCCAGGGCATGCATCACAAACCTCATGTGTCATTGCAAACCGTGCATGACAAACGTAATGCACAACTTTTCCAGACCCAAATCGATGTTTGCACTTGATAGGACCGACACCAGTACAAGTTAGAAAATTTCGTCCGGGGGTATTTCGACTGGCTGCGAAATATCGACTCGAGTGAGGAAGTAGGCACGGTAAAAGCATCTTCGCGCTCGGAGTAATCGTAATTGCATTGTTTTACATGACAAAAGTACTTTCTCTACCTGAATCCGCATGAGAAATTTTATTTTTTCTTCAAAAAAAATTGTGATGCCATTTCTACTAAGTGCGACTCTTTTGCCATGCATACCGCGAGGGCTACAAAGAAGAGCAGGAAGAGGAAGTCGGGGCTGTCGTTTCCGCCTACGAAACTAGCGAGGAAGACGAGCGCGTCACCCGGCAGAAGGAAAAGGAGTTAGCGGCAAATCCGTTGTTGATCATATCAAATGCAAAAATGTCTGGGTCTGGAAGAGTGCATGTTTGTCATGCTTGTCTAGCATGACTCTCAAATCTGTCATGCACGTTACCCAAGAGCGCCATTTTTCTGTCATGCAGAAACGCAGTTTGTCATGCAGAAACTGAGGCAACACCTAGAAGCTCAGAAACTTGTCATGCTGAGCCAGCACTTGTGGCCTCCTCACGATACGCCACCCAGCATCACAAGTTTCCAGACCCAGACAGTTTTACATTTGATAAATCACCTACGAGGACACTTTGAGTGACAAACCTGTCCCACTAGCGGATTTGTACACCATCGACACAAGGCCTTTGCGGAGGTGGATTGAAGATCTCCACGAAGACGACTTGTGGGACCACGACATCGATCCGTTGGAGTTGCTGAAGGTCCGGAGACGCCGAGACTACGACTTGCAGCTGCGGTTAGCCTTCGTGCAGGCGGAGACTTTTGCGATTTTAGATTTGGAAAACGACCCAAGTGACCGGATTGAACTCGCGATCTTACTCATGGCGGGCCAAGTCGTTCCCCTCAACGAGGGGTGGAGCCGGATCCACAAGGAGGGGGTGTTGGTACTGGAAGAATTTCTGCAGGAGGGCACGATCAGACCCTCGGTGCAGCAGCAGGAGGGAAAGCCAAAGCGGATTTTCAGCAATGCGGACTACACGGAATTGTACACCTTGGTGTACAACATGTGTACGCAGCGGACACCGAATAACTGGTAATATACCTAAACCTATGTCTTCTAGGATTTTTGATTTGAATAAGTAGTGCCTTTTTGTTGCGTTTTATCATGACATGAAGTAGTACAACTTAGGCCATACATGCTATACTACAAATCTACACTTATCGTCAAAAATTATCAGGCAGCAGCAGTTGTATCAGAAGTACGGTGAGACCATGAATCAGTACATCAGCAAGAGTATCAATTTGCAAACATGTTGTCTGGAAGATTGCGAGATTTGTCATGCTATTCTGGCATCATGATCATGCGCATGACCGTGAGCTCTGTAATATTGCGTGTCGTCCACTAAGAGGTCCTTTTGTCTGTCCTGCAAAGACGCAGTTTCTCATGCAGAACACGCAAGAAAACTGGGCGGCGGCGAACAAATCTGTCATGCTTGGCGGTGCATTACAGTGTGCTTGCTCTTTACTGAATTGCATATATACACCTTTCCAAACCTCCCTCTTCCAGACAGACTTGCTGTGCATAAAGAGGGTCATAAACGGCTTGGAAAAGCGAGTAGGGAAAGATTTGCTGCAGGCGCTATTGAAAGCATGGTCCAATCACCAATTGTACGTGAAGTGGATGACGCGGTTCTTCACCTATCTAGACAGGTATACTATAGGAGAAAGAAATAAACATAAACTTCTAAGCTTGATGTTGATGTTTGTCATGCAAAACTAAAAGTAAACACTTCATCTGACATGCAAAAACCGCAACTTATCTATGAGTGCATTTTATCAATGACTCAGGTACTACGTGAAGCTGCAAGCAGTCCCTTCGCTTACCGCCCGGGGTTACGCTATCTTTAACCAGTCCATCTTTCAAGCCGTATCGGGGGATACCCGGGAAGCGCTTTTGCAGGCGATTCGGTCCGACAGGGACGGGGAAGCAAACTTTTCCGACGGGGACATCGTGAAGGGGGTGGTTTCGATTTTCATCGAATTAGGGGCCTGTGTGGCCAGTGGACGAGATGCGGAGGTATATAGTTTTTAGAGCATAGTACAACGACAACTATATAAATCAAGTTTGATATTTCACGAAGCCAAAGAACTTCAGTTCGCAGATTTGGTGTGGAAGTAGAACACAAACTCCATCCTTGATGCCTGATTTTCCAACACAAATTATCTACGAACCTCATTAATATCAGCTCGTCGCCGGCGCTACGGGCACGATGCAGGGAACCTTCCCCTCGAACCACCCACAGCACGGATTGCAGATCTACGTGCAGGAATTTGAAAGCCACTTCCTGCCCGACAGCAAGGATTACTATGCGCGGCAAGCCGCCGGCTGGCTGGAAACCAATTCGTTTTCGGAGTACTTGCTCCAGGCGGACCAGTGCCTGTTGAAAGAAGCGGAGCGGGTATGCGAGGAAAAAACTGTTTCGCTGTAAACTTGTAATGCAGGAAATGTATCCCACATGTGTTTGTCTTGCTACACAGCCATGCAACACAGTGGATTTTTAGCTGTACTTTCCCTTAGGACCCTTGCATGGCAAATTTTCTCTGTCATGTAGAACATCAAACCTGTGATGCAAAACTTGCAAAATCCTTACCGTGAAACACTTTTTTCGTACGATAACGGGTGAAGATGTACCTGCACAGAACCACGGACCAGAAGCTGAAGCTGGTATAGTTTAAAAAAGATGCTTAGTGCTCTGAGCATTACAAATTACCTCAGCATGACAAATGGAATTTGTCATGCTGTTTTACCTTGGGATGGAGATTTGTAATGCATAAATGCAATCGCTACTTGTCCTACCCTATCAGGTCCTCCTCGAAGCGCTGCTGAACGAAGACACGCGGAAGATCCTTATGGATTGCAAAACTGTCTGGGTCTGGAAGATTGCAATTTGTCATGCTAAATCTGAATCATGCTAAGAAGCTGTCTTGCGTGATTACCGACAGCCGTTCTTTTTTACCAAGTTGAGAGGCAATTTATTTCTCATGCAGGATAGGCATGATAGAGATCTCACAGAGTTTGTCATGCTAGGTGCTGCATTCTAAACCTTATGAGCCGTAGAAAACCTGCATGACAAACCTTGCATCCTTCCAGACCCAGACATATTTGCATTTGATAATCCTGTTAGACAAGCAAAACTCGATGGAATTCCTGCTCGAAAATGACAAACGGGAAGACTTGTCTCGCGCGCACAAACTTTTCGGCTATGTGGAGGGGGGCTTGCAACCGTTAGCGGCCATCTTCAAGACACACATCATCTCCAAGGGGAATGCCATTGTCGATGACAGGTATTTTTATAGAAATAGACTGTGATGTGGATATTATTTGCATGACAAAAAGAAAAATAAAGCGACACTGTCGATGAAGTTAGTAAGGGCGTGCTGTAGTTTTTGTTTGGTTGCATAGCATGAGAAGCATGTACATACCTTTTTCTCTTTCATTTTCTGCATTTTTACGAATTGCCACTTTTGTACTTCCTGGCCGGCACGATGCTCAGGTTAAAGGCCGTCGAGGAGGATCCGAATTTGAAGAAGTCCGACGGTCTCAACGACCCGCAATTCATCCAGAAAATGCTGGACCTGCACGACCATTACCGAGCGGTGGTTGTCGCGAGTTTCTCCTCCGATTCGCTCTTCCAAAAGTCCTATCAAATGCAAATATGTCTTGGTCTGGAAGAATGCAAGGTTTGTCATGCTTGTCTGGCATGACTGAGGACCTTGTGATGCGTGTCCAAGACGAGAGCCTTTTGCCTGTCATGCAAAAACGCAGTTTGTCATGGGGAGAGCGCAACACTAAGTAGCGCAGATATTTCTCATGCAGCTTGGCTGTGCATTACAGAGCATTCACTATTCTCAACCGAGCATTACAAGTTTCCAGACCCAGACATTTTTGCATTTGATAAGTCCCTGAAGGAAGCTTTCGAGCAGTTCCTGAACCGGGATTTAGGGAAGCACAGCTGCGCAGCGTTAATGTCCCACTTCTGCAACCGGATTTTGAAGAAGGGTATCAAACGCAAATATGTCTGGGTCTGGAACAAAGCAACTTGTCATGCTAAATCTGAATCATGTAAAAATCTGTGTTGCATGATTACAAAAAGCTTTTCACTTTTGGCCTAATCGAGAGGCAGTTTCTCGTGCAGGATAGGCATGATAGAACTCTCACAGATGAATCTGTCATGCTATGTCCTACATACCAGACCTCGTGGGTCATTGGAGAACCTGCATCACAAATCTGGCATTCTTCCAGACCCAGACATATTTGCATTTGAAGAAGGGCGGCACGCCGGAGCGGCTTTCGGATGAGGAGGTGAACATCATGATTGACAAGATATTCTCAGTAAAAACGTCCCCACCCCAGAGTTGTCATGCAAATCTGCATGCTAGAAAAGTTTCTCATGTGGAGCTTCATGAGAGACATGCTCTCGTCGTGTTTTGGAATTTGTGATGCTAGAATCAGCATGGTAAGCTAGATCTGTGATGCTTCCGAACTAGCTAAACAGGGTTACACTACGAGGACAGACTTGTCATGCGAAACAGCCAAAGCTGGTTGATTTGTCTAGCAAACTTCCCATCTACTTGACTCTGGTGTGGGGACATTTTTACTCAGGATACAAGATCGTGGAGCTCTTCAACTTTTTAACCGAAAAGGATCTGTTCGCGGAGATTTACCGAAATCAACTTTCGAAGCGGTTGTTGGAGGATTCGTCCGCGTCGGACGAAGCCGAGAAGAACATGATCATGAAGCTGAAGCTGAAATGCGGGGCGCAGTTCACCTCCAAAATGGAGGGGATGTGCAACGACTTGAAGCTCGTATCCTGTGCAAAAGTATCGTACTCGGAGTAATTCCAGTCATGCGTTTACAAATTTTGTTCCCAAGGTAGATCCGCATGACAGATTTTATTTCTCATGCTGAGGAAATTTGTAATGCATTTATACGACTAGTGCGATACTTTTGCAATGCATTGCTCGCAACAGACGACAACAACAAATTTGACACCTGGTGCACGGAGAACAACAAAAAACAACTTGGCGGAATGCAGGCCGGCGGGGCAACATCGAGCAGTTCCTCGTCAACTGCGAACAACAACGATGTCAACAAAATCACGATGGAATTCGGCGTCACGGTCCTCGCCACCGGCTACTGGCCCCAGTTCCCATCATATCGCAAAAAAAAAGTGTTAAGTACAGTTACACATTGTGTTGCAGGCCAAGCAAGACAGACAAGCTCTGTCATGTCGGATATGCATAGGAGCCTCGTTTCACAGGTTTTTTCCCGTAGGATTTCTGCATTACAAGTTTTCTCTCTCATGCAAAGAAATTTGTGTTGCTGAATTGACTACAAATGTGTGACTGTGCCAATTTTTTCGTGGGATACATCAACAGAAATTAAACTGCCCCGACAACTCTCTGTCGCACTGGACATCTTCACGGAGTGGTATAACCAGAAAACGCAGCACCGGAAGCTATGCCAGAAAAAATTTGTGTAAGTGTAACTCTGTAATGCAGAACATGCTACAGAGTATACGCCTTGCATGCAAGACAGCCATGAAGTCCTCGCTTCATGTGTGTTACCCCTTACAAACCACGCATGACAGGTTTTCTCTGTCATGTACAGCAAATTTGTGATTGTGATGCTGTCAGCCAAAGAAAGTTACACTAGCACAGTTTTTTCCCTGGATAGAAGCTGACCTGGATCCACTCGCAAGGCACGGCGATCGTGGCTGCGAAAATCGGGAAGAGGCACGATCTAGTTTGTTCCACGTTGCAAGCGGTAGTGTTGCTTTTGTTTTCCCCGAACAAGGGTGGAAGCGGGGAGGATAAGGACAAACCGGTCGAGTTGAAGGTGGAGGATATCCAAAGGGAAATCTCGGCAAATGCAGACCAGCAAATTGAAGCGGTGCAAGTGAAGAAAATATTGGGTACTGGAAAAGTGTGTTTTCTTTTTCATACATTTTGACCTGTATTTTTTCCACGGTTAACGAGTTTGTCATGCTGCATGGAGATCATGATCATCTGCTCTTAATATCATCTAGTACTGAGACTGACTTGTATTGCATGACAACAATCGCACCTCCAAATTAGACGACCAATTACAGGCACCCTCGCCTGCAGCAAGCATCAAGTTCTGGCCGTGAAGAGAAACGGGGAAATCGTGGACAAGCCAAAAATATGAAATGCAGAAGCATCGTACTCGTATAAATCGCATGACAAATTTCCTCAGCAAGAAAAATGAAATTTGTAATGCGGGTTTAACTTGAGAAAAAAACTTGTATTGCATGAATGCGATTAGTACGAGTACGATACTTTTCCCCAGGATAAAGAACAGTGTCCGCAGAGGATTTGTTCTGTGCGAATGTCAAGTTCTCTTGCCAGCACAGGAAGGTATAGATACTGCTCTTGGGTCGTACTCGTGATTTGTTTTTGTGTTGCATGTCTTTACAGCAAGGGCAAGTGCAAGAGCAACTACTGAAGAAAAAGATCATGACCATTTAAAGTTCAAGTTTCTCTAATATGCGTACGATCGTCCATCGAGATTCATATCCAAATTTTTCTATCAGGTCAAACTCCCGTCCGTGGCGCAGGGCACGGGCAAAGACGGTGCGGAAGAGACGCACAAACAGGAGCGGATTGAAGAGGACCGGTCGTTCTCGATCGACGCATATCCTGAGTAAAAGCGTCCCCACACCAGAGTTGTCATGCAGATGTGCAATCGCAGGAACATTTGTAATGCGCAGATCCATGAGAGGAATTTCAATTTTCAGTCGTGCTTTGGATTTTGTAATGCTGTAAACGGGATTTGAGAGTGGTTTTCTCATGCGGCTTCTCTTGCCAATCAGACCTACACTGCAGAGGGAAACTTGTCATGCAGAGCTCCCAAAGCTTGGGGATTTGTGTTGCTAGATTCCCAACTTGACTATGTGGGGACGTTTTTGCTTAGGATAACGCAGCAATAGTGCGGATCATGAAGGCGCGGAGGCGGCAGACGCACCAGCAGCTGCAGGCGGAGGTGATTCAGCAACTCGCATTCTTCAAGCCGAATCCGAAACTGATCAAGCAACGGATTGAGCATTTGATAGAGCGGGAATTTTTGGAACGAGATGAAGACGAGTCGAATGTCTACAAGTACTTGGCATAGGAATCATGGTGCAGCGTCGGTGAGGAACAACTTCAGGTAGGAGATTTTACTGTCACGTCAGCGATTCGGAATCGGGTGAAGAGTGGATGAAATTTTGAGGTGGGAGGTGAGGAGAGGTGATTTTATTTCGGATGGAGTGGCTTGAGGTTTACGCGTCTCCTCATCCTCTTGAAGATGTTTACCCTTTTTCTTTACACCAGCGTCGTTCTTGCATAGAGCAAGCAGGATGAACTTCTGTAACTCTACATAATCAACTTTCAAGCGAGACGACGTTGCTGTGTCTTCTTTTGATCTACTCTATGTAGTTCCTCCTGTAGCGGAAAACTCTTACACGCAAGTATTGATTCTAATCTGGCACCGTTGAAAAGCTTTTGGTAATAAAAACGAACTTTGAGTTGCTAGAGCTAGAGGTAGAACTACTACAAAACAAGAACCCATTCAGTATCAGTACTTTTTTAACGAGGACACGACGCCAGTACGAAAGCAGCTCGACTGCTAGTAGTGCAGTAGCTGTGTCGACGAAAAGACCCCATGAGTTTGTCGAGAAGTAGTATCATCTGGAATGCTCGATGAGGACTCGTTCTCAATTTGACGAACTTTTTTACACGACTGGCGACATCAATTTTTTTTTGAAATGAACAAGAGGCAGCTCCTCGTACAGCTCGCAGGAAACGGCGTTGGCTGAGCTGTGCAATTAGTACTATCACCTTGTTCGTCTTTGTCATTCTTTTGGATGCTTTTCGGTTTCGTTTTCATGGTCGGCGATCGTTTTCGTTGTTGCTCGCAGCAGTACGCCGCCGCGGGCCACTGGGAGGGTGGCGTCGCGCCTTGGCCAAGGCCTTGCGCCGAAGTTTCTGGGGCCCTATGTTGTGACGTCGCCCAGGCCCCTAGGTGTTGGCGTGCGTACTGATCGGGCTTTGCTCGGGCGCCGTGGCGGCCTGCCCGCCCACGCGCGTACGGATGGAACGGGCCAGAGCGGAGACGGCAGGAAGGACGCCGCGGGCATCTTTTGAAAACACGGCGCCCGCGCTACCGCCTGCCCCCTGTCATGGGTGCGCATGGGCCCAGCGTGTGAAGGCCCCCGGGGAAGGGCGTCGCGCCTCATTTCGCGCAACATGCATCCGCGCCGAGCAAGCTCCGCAAGCGTAGCCGAGGGCTTTGGGCGCCTTATGTGTTTGGCAAAAGGGCGGGCATGCGATTCGCACCCAGTGGACAAATCGCAACCAGCTGCGCACCGACCGGGAGATCATGTCTGGGCGCGTGGCCGCGCCGTCTGCAGTCTGCCCGATGCCGGGGCCGGCCATTGCGGTTTTTGTGGTGGGTTGCGCATATTGGGGCGCCCGTTTGTTCTTTTGGCGTTTGAGTGGAGGAGCCGCGTGCTGCTTACTGAAGAACGGAGATTCAAGATGGAAGCCTTTACTGCGGCCATTGCGAAAAGTGCCGCAGAACAAATTACGTGGCTGGAGCAAAAAGCTGCGCGCTTAAAAAATGAACTCTGCGAAGAAAGGAGCCGGCCCGGGCGGCCCAGTGGGACGACGGAACTGCCGCGGTTTTCGCCGCCGCGCTTCCCGAGTGTTTGTTAGTTTGTGGGCGCCCCACTGAATCAATTGCGGCGCCCGGGAAACGATAAGGCAGCCCGCGGCACGGGCCGCCACCGTGGAATCCGGGCGGCGCGCGTGGCGCCCGCTTCCTGCAGGCCACGGCATTGCTGGGGTGAGGAAGGGGGTTGGGCTTCATCCGGATAGCGACCCGGTTGGGGTCGTTGGGGTGGGCGCCCGCTTTCGGCCGCGCCTCATCCCGCAGGCAGGGAGGCGAGGCGCACGCCTCGGGGGACGTCTTCGATCGACGCGTTGCCCGGCCTCGGTAGCAGGGGCGCCGGGGCGGGGCTTGATCTGTTCACCTTCTCGACCGACCCCAGCCACTTGAGACGTTGCCACTTCTTGCGACGAGAAAACAAATAGCCGGGCGCCCCCGGCCCGTAGTGTTTGCCTTTGAATATCCGCCCCGCGCCGCCCGCCCGGCGTGGCCCTTCGTTTTTATTCTTCATGGCCGCCCCCCGGTGTGTGCGCGCTTGTCTACTCGGCTGCCCCCTCCTGTTTGGGTAGCCCGGGCCGTCTGGCGCGTCCTGCGAGCGTGCGGGCGTTTGGCTTAGCTTCTCGGTTGCCGGCTGGGGCGGCCCTCCCTCGGCGGGCCCGCCCGCCCCCCCAGAATATGATCGGCGCGCGCGCGCAGGTTGTCTTCTCCTGGTGCGCCCGGCCGGCCGTGTGGTGGCGTGCGTCGGCGTGGGGGGTTCCCGCCGGGTCGCACGCTCGTTGGTTGGTTTAGCTCTCCCCGGTTGGCGCATAAGGGTGCTGGCTCCGCTTAATGTATGCCGCCACTCATTGGCCCACAGACACTCACAACATGGGATGTTGGACGCCTCCTGGGCGGCCGGCCTATCAATCCTCGAGCGGGGGATGTCCCGCAAAGATGACAGAAACTTTTTGGACAGAGCTCGCATGCCTTCGCCAGAGAGTCACGGACGCATGTCTGCCGACGTTCCTTGCAAAGGCCCGGCGCTGGGGTTGTTTGTTTTTTTATTGTGGCGCAGTGAGGTGTCTTCTTTTCATTCTCACGCAATCCTCTTTCACCCAAGAAAAAAGGTCCTCGTTTTAGTCGCTTTTGATTTGGTGCTGTGATTTTTTCATCTACCTAACCCCCGCGACGCTCAAAAGGAGCAGTGAGTGTGAGTGCCAGAGCTGGCCCCGTTTCAGTTTCTATTTCCGATATGATCCTATTTTGTTTTTCAAACAACGAACAAGAACACGATCCGCCTCCATCAATGAACTTTGTCGATGATTTGAAGTCAGCGATTTCTACTTTCGTACAGCAGAACATAAACAAGAAAGGGCGCGTCTATTACTATGAATTCTCTCTCGTCTACTTCCTCCAAAGCCCCCTCCACATTCATCTCAAATAGAAAAGACAGTCTCGTCGGAGGACAAACGAATCTTCACGAAGATAACCAACATGTTGACCACTCGGACTCCTTTCGAGAAAACGGTCGCGAGCATGACGGAAGCACCACGGGGGCCGCCGGGGGGAATTATGCGTCCCATGGTGTGGCCCTTAACTCTTCATCTGTTCCCGTGGACGTCGCAGCCACCAGCTCATCCGACGAAGAAAAAGAAGATGCTGTTGCTGACGACGACCTCCCACCAGAAGACTTCGATCCTGCACGAGGACCCGCTAGTACCTCCAGCGAGGAGAACAAGAGCCTCCAGATCCGCATCGTGCATTTGGATTCGACCGACACGGCCCAGGGACCAGTCGTTCGCATCTTCGGCCCGGTATGGGAGCAGGATCTTGAGGAGACGCGAAAGGAAGACACTTTGCAGCAGCAGCAGCAGCCCGCCGCATTGCAGAAAAACGAAGAAAATATTAAAGAGGCGAGTGACAACAGACAAAATGGGTTTGATGTTCATTCAAGAAGGAAGAAAACGGTCGGCAATACTAAAAAGCATATCAAGAAGAAGAAAGACAAGTCCGGCTGCGTGTACATCCGAGATTTCCTACGAGACTGCACAGCTCGCCCTGCCTCTCATTCGTATTGCATGACCGGCAAAAATACAAGCGTCAGCAAGAGTGCAGGTTTTGCATGACAGATTTCCAGAGGAGGATGGCAGTGCTGTTTGGGCTGCCATAAATTGTCACGTAAACAGCACCAAGAGGCAACGCAAAGCCTGGATTTGGTATTTTGCATGACAAATGGAAACGCGGGGGAGCAGGGGGAGTTGGGCACTCTGATACTTCCACCCGTTCGTCTACTTGAAAACATCTTTGTCCCCGCGGGAGCTGAAAAAGGATCTCCTTTCCCTACTCCACGAGCAGTTAGCGCTGCTGAAATGGCGAAGCAAGGTCGGGCATTTAATGGGCGGAGGCGGTGGGTGGAGCAATCGTAACTCTAACAATCCGCTGTCAAAATCTTCGTACCAGCAAAGCAACAAGTGTCAGCACCTCCCCGCCGGGTCCGTAGTCGCGGGGAGGAGGGATGATTTGTGGGTTCAGGGGAGACCGGATCTCGAGAGCATCTACGGGTATATTGACCGCGAGGCCCTTCTTGAGGAGGAGCAGGAGGAACAGCTTCTGCAGGAAAAGCTGTACCCTGTTCATGAGGCGTCTTCATCTTCCCGACTTCCCAAGCTCGTCTACCAAGTTTTCACCAAATACATCATTTACATGAAGATTCTGATCGAGTCCCTCGGCCCGTACAGCAACCGGTTCCAACTTTTCGAGGCGCACATCCCGTACAACTTGCATTTCCTGGAACAAACGAGGGTTGTCGGGATGGGCTGGATCAAAATCCAAAACGCACGAAGCAGGACGGAAAAGAACAAACTAAAAACCACGACCTGTGACATTGAGGTGGAGCTGACGTGGAAACATTTGATGCAACAAAACGCGGGCTTGGACGTGGCAGACTCGGTGCTAGATCGGGAACACGTGAACGGAAATGGCAATCATAATTCGCAAGCCGGATCTTCTGGAGCAATATGCATTGCAAAATTATCGTACTAGTATAAACATAAACTGCGTGACAAATTATTTGCTCAAGAATAAACATGCGATTTGTACATGCTGTTCTTTTCCCCTAGAAAGTAGATCTGCCATGTATGGCTGCAATTAGTACGAGTACGATACTTTTGCAGTGGATAAGCAAGCAACGGGGACAATTTGAATCCAAACGACACAATGATGTTGTTCCTACAGTCACAGAAATCCATCTCCGATGGAGATCTAGGTTTGAAAGATAAGGAAAAACGGGGGGAAGGGAGGTTTGTCGAGCAAAACAACGCCAAAAGTAGTAGTTCAAAGCTGCTGGTGCCGCCCCCAGCGTCCGCCAACTCTGTGGCGAGCAACGGCAGTGGTTCTCACAGTGGCACGAACACGAGCAGCTATGTGAAACACATGGGGCCGCCATTGCGGGTTCTGTCTCTGCCGGAAGAGAAGCCGCATAGTACGCAAGAGGAAGACTATAAAGATTCTTCTTTCTTCCTAGACGACAGTCGGAATAACGGCGACCACAGTACTTCTAGAAATCACGACCGTTCTCATCGTCCTGCCGCAACCAACACATCCTATTCCTCCAACCAGCCCTTCAAACAGGACATTTTGAAAAAGCACTGGCTGGTAAAAGCGTTGAAGGGTTTGTGGATTGAAGAGGGTATCCGGTGCTACAACAACGGCCTCGACCCGCCGGAGCCGGGGTCGCCGATCATGCGAGAGTGCGAATCCGCCGCGAATTCGCCAATTTTGGATCCGGAGCAGCAGCGCCAGTTAAAGGCGTGGCGGGAAATGTTTGATTTTTTTGTGTCGAGAAAGCATTTGAATAGAGAAGGGCACGACAAGAAAAACAAAACGGGACATGCGCGCGGCGGTCTAGGTCGTCGCCGAAGAAGTAGATCTAGTATCGACAGTGAGGAGAAGCTGTTTTTGGAAATGGAAATGAGCCGGGATTTGCTAGATGCCGATAGGAGCGCGCTGCACGAAGATGACAGTTCTTTTAACAACAACTCTTCGTCGCAATCTGGCGAAATGAACAGGAAGCGAGAAAGAAGCCACAGCAGCAATTTTTCCAGGATGTTGGATATCTCCGCTGTGGAGGACCCGGCTACAGCATCGTCGGAGAAGAGCAAGAGTGCCGGCAGCTCTTACGACGAAAAGAGGAACATCAAGTCACAGTCTGGCGGATCTTCACCTGCAGGCGGCGACAAGAACAAGCAGAGATCTAAAAGCGACAATGCCGCAGCCGCCAAGCCGGGAAGATCTAGATCTTCGATAGTACCCTCCGCTTTTCAACCTGTTTTCCCGCCGTCACAGGCGTTTGCTCAACGAGGCATCAACGCAGCAGATTCATCAAAGCAAGCTTGTAAGCACGTGGATAAAAGTCAAGACGCAAGAGGACAACAAGACGCTGAAATGGCGAAGGAACAGCCTGCCGACCCGGAGTGGGTGCCTAGTCAGAAGAATAGTCAAGGTCGTGCAGCTCTGCCACAGGCAGCAAAATCGGTGCAACTACCTCCATCGCATTCGCAAGAGCGAGAGGCTCCACCTCCAAGAACAAGTCAAGACGTGGACAAAAAGGAATCATCGCGGGGGTCGCAGAGGACGCAAAGTTTGCCGCCGTCCGACGACGTCGAGCAAGAGGGCGGTGGGCCGCGGAATGGTGCAGATACAGGAACAGGAGAATTGCTGGCAGCCGGCAGTATGGTCACAGCCACTGAGAGGAGGCACCAAGAAGAGGAAGATGAAGATGTTATCATGCGCGACGACGACCGACGCAATTCTTCTTCTCCTCCTCCTTCACCGAAGAACGCACGGCTATCATCGCCGATGAATCAGTTGAACGATAGTCAACATGCCGAAGAGAACTACCACCACAGCTACGAAGAGGAGGAAGAAGATGCCCGTTACGTTATCCTGAGTAAAAACGTCCCCATACCAGAGTCAGGATGGGGATTTTGCAACACAAACCTAGGAGTTTTGGGAGTCACGCATGACAAGTTGCACTCCGCAGTGTAGTGCAGGCTATAGCAAGGGCAAACGCATCAGAAATCCATCTGCTCATCCTGTTCACAGCATCACAAATTCCAATACACGATTGGAAATGGCTCTCATCCTCATGGGGATGAGCATTACAAGTCTTCCTGTCTTTGCAAATCTGCATTACAACTCTGGCGTGGGGACGTTTTTACTCAGGATATACCTGGTCGGGCTAGATGGGAGACTCTACGACGATCCGGATGGGGAACTGCAGAGAGAGATCAACATATCCTGTGTAAAAACGTACCCACACCAGAGTTGTAATGCAGATTTGCAAAGAGAGGAAGACTTGTAATGCGCATCCTCATGAGAGCCATTTCCAATCGTGTTTTGGAATTTGTGATGCTGTGAACAGGATGAGCAGATGAATCTGTGACGCGGCTGCACTTGCTGACCTGCACTACACTGCAGAGTGCAACTTGTCATGCGTGACTCACAAAACTCCTAGGTTTGTGTTGCAAAATCCCCATCCTGACTCTGGTGTGGGTATGTTTTTACATAGGATACAACACCTCCATTATTCAACAGACGCAGGCAGAATTCGTGGCGCATAATTATTCGCAGCCTGACAACTACCACACTGCACGTAGAAGCACAACTGGCGGCGCGCGTCAACAACTGAGTGACGGAAATGAAGGGGATGTTGTGATGAGCAATGCTGACGATGACCTTGAATTGGGACCACCACCCCCTCCTGCCAGTCAGATTGTGAATCGGGACATGGATCACGACGATGATGACGAGGAACAAGAAGAGGGGGAGTCTCGTCCTTCTCCAGGTGGATTGTTGAATAGCGATGAATTATCCTCCTTCGACAGACGACCTATCAGCCCTGTAGAAGAACTAGGCGCAGCGCCACAGGTGGACATCGTCGCGGAACAGGTCGTCATCGATGCCTCCGTCATGCCGTCGCAGCAACTCGCCATGCCTGTCGCGGCTTCCCAAATGCTGGCCATATCTTCGCAATTATTGGCTTCGCAGGATCATGAACAAGAGCAAGACACCAGCTTCGCTTCGCAAGATGAGAATTCCATTCCTGCTATCCAACCTCCTGCCTTGGAAAATTATCAACAATTTGCTCGTGCGGAACTACAACATCCAATGACTGAGGATGATCCAAACGCCTTTCTGTCGTTTCTCCACGATCAGCAACACAACCTATTTCCTCAGAGGGGCGACGTGGACAGGAACACTGATGAAGACGGACAGGACGGGCATAGACATGCCGGGGAACAAGGAGCAGAAGATGAAGAAATCGACTCAGATGTCGAAGTGCATGACGACGACGATGATTTTTCCGACGCAGGTGACCACATCGACGTGCAGGAGGAGCCGGAGATTCCGGAGGAAGAGGTGGTGCATCAAGGTGACGACGTTCTGGACGAGGATGTTGACATGGCATTACAAAGTGAAGACGAGGAGGAAATAGGTCAACTTGTGATGCAAGAAGACAGCATGGAGCTACAAAGCCACGACGATCTTGAGCTCCACGAACCGGACCCCATTGCCGGTTTTTCCGAAGTGGATGTTTTCCTGCAATCCGCACGTCCCGTGGACGCGATCGGATTGATGAAGCAGAAAAGAGGGAGAAACGGGAAAAACTACAACTTTCAGCAGCAGAGCCAGAGGTCAGGTGTTGGCGGATCATCATCTGCAGCTCCTTTGAAGAGCGCGGCACCACGAGGACCTGTAGTGGGTGGAAATGAAGAAGCTGGCCCGTATCATCTTCACGACGATGAAGCGATGTCACAACATCTTCCAGCGGGAACCGAGGAGGAAGACCAGATGATGATTGGAGGAGAAAAATTACGACAGGAGCGTGAAGAATCTCCTTTGCAACGCACGCAATCTCTTGGGGAAATCACAACTTCTAGTGACGAGGAGGATCATCATGCGGGTCATGGTCGTGAACGTGAAGAGGCGGTGGCAGATGGAAGTGTAAATGTAAATGATGTTGACGCCGGCGTCGAAGGAGCAAAAATGAAGGAGGCAGCACGACCCAAAGCGACGTCAGTATCACCTTCCGCCGATCGGGATCAGGAAGTTGACGGTCGTGCAGCGAAGGGAGGTGTCGGCCAGCAGACCAGTTGTGCTGTTTTCGCGTCACAGAAAAATGATGGTGATAGGAGTCCAGCAGCTGCAGTTCCTGAAGCAGCCTCAGGACTACAAGCTGCCGACCCGTCAGCACGGAAAAATACTTCTGCCGAGAGCCACGAACTTGAACAACCGAAGCACCGGCCCAGCAGTCAATCCTCCGGAGCCAGTTTGGAGATCTTGGGCGAAACCAAACCAGATAGCGTCGATGCTTTATCCAGCAAGAAGCCCCCACTTCTACCCCCGCAGGTACAGCAGCAAGACGAAACGGTCGGGCAAGTCGACTCCGCCGGTAGGCTGATATCAAATACAAATATGTCTGGGTCTGGAAGAATGCAGGAGTTTGTCATGCAGATTAAGCATGACCCATGAGATCTGTGATGCATGCCCGAGCATCACAGGTTTTGAGCAGGTACCCCAATGCCTAATCCGCATGACAAATCCCCTCTTTCAGTGACAAGAAGCGGGTCCTTTTGCTGGCGGTGCATGACAGATCTCGGCATGCTGTAGAATTCGCATCACAATTTCGAATCCTTCCAGACCCAGACACATTTGCAATGCATAACTGAAGGGCGCGATCAAAAAGGCGCCGGATAAGGTTTTCAAAAATTTGAAATTCCTATGCACCGCAAAAGTATCGTACTAGTAGGAATCGCATCACAAATGTCCTCAGCATGAGAAATGAAATTTGTCATGCGGACGCAACGTGACAGAAAATTTTGTAATGCACAAATGCGATTACTCTTACTGCGCGATGCTCTTGCAATGCATAACTCCACGATTTTGGCAACGTGCTGATTATCGAGGCCTGCACCTTTGACAAAAAAGAACTGGCTATGATTTCCTGGCGGACGTTAGGCGGAAGTGTGGAAGCCGGGTGTATCTGTAATCGGAAATATGTGAGCCTGGATCTGTTTTTCAAAAGAGAAGAGGAGGCGGATTTTAGAAAAAGAAGCAGAGCTGGGGCAGAAGTACTCAAGAAGCGCGGAGATGGTCGGGGCACAGAAGGAGAAGAAGTAGAAGACGGCGCGAAAAAATTGCAGCTTCTACCCGGTCGTGGCCCGCCCAGCGGCCACGACGACAATTCCACCTCTCCAACTGAGCTGTTCCCCGGTTGCCACGAGGTCCCCATTCACCTTCCCTTCCGTACTGCCAAGCACGCGGGAGACGAAATTTGTCCCGCCGTGCTGCAGATGGCCGCGTCGCAGACGGCGATGTTGTACGCATTTGAGCTGCTGGTGAAGTATCAACTGTAAAAATGTCTGGGTCTGGAAGAATTCATGTTTGTCATGCTTGTCTGGCATGACTCTTAAATCTGTCATGGACGTTATCCAAGAGCTCCGTTTTTCTGTGAACCAGAAGCGCAGTTTGTCATGCAGAATAGGCAACACCTAGGAGCTCAGAAACTTGTCATGCTGAGCCAGCATTTGTAGCCTCATCACGAGACGCCACCCAGCATCACAAGTTCCCAGACCCAGACACTTTTACTTTTGATATGAAGCGGTTGGAGCCAAATTTGCTTTTGAGCTACGACATCCCGGAGGGCCTGGGGCTGGTGATGTACCACGGGAGGAAGGAAAACATGCAGGTGAGACTGTCGAGAGTGCCCGCGGAGGAAAGAAGTTTCATCAATCCTTCTTTCGTTGCTGCTAGTGGTGGTGCTGTGGGACGACCAGGGACCGGAACAGGCGGTCCGAGGCCGGGGGGCGTGCAGCAGGTAGGCTTCAACCGAGGTGGTCAATTTTCAGGACTAGGACAACATCAAACTGCACCGATGCAGCAGTTGAACCAGTTTGCACAGCAGCTGCCTTACGGCAGTTCCTTCCAACAACAGCGTCCCACGATAAGCCGCGCTCCTTCCGGGGCTGCAGTGGTGGAAGTCGCAGCTGCAGGTTCTTCTTTCGCGTTTTCCCGCCAGACAGCTCATATCAAGCACGAAGGCCGTGATCGTGTAGAACAAACTTCCTTTCTCAACCAGGACAAAGAGGCCCTCAACGGAGATTTTAGCCAAGCGTCTGATGAGGACAACCAGAACCATTTCAAGATGATAAGCAATTGCAATACAAATTCTCGCACACGACGTATAAAATGCATCACAAATAATAGAAATAACTTCGCCACGTGACAACTTGGAGTGTTGTATACACTTGTCATGCGAGCCAGGAGCGAAGGCAAGGTCTGTCATGCAGCAGCCGCATTTGTACGTCGTGTGTGGGAATGAATGAATTTACAATTCATAGATGAAAGGACTGAACAACAACACGTCCTCGTCCGGAACGGAGAACGACAATGACATCTTCTATCACAGTGCACTACTCCCCCTCCCCCCCATTTGTATAGCATGAACGGCACCACAAGCCTCAGCAACAGTGCCGGTTTCGCATGACAAATTTGCACTGGATTTTACTGCTATTTGGGCTAGTACCAGAACAACATGTCATGCAAACAGGAGTGCCAAGAAGCAAGAAAGGGTGGCTAGTGTATTTTGCATGACAGATGAGGGGGAGGTGGAGTTGTGCAGTGTCACAACCGCAACAACGCAAACAAAAACGACTCCGACAACGACTCAGATGACGAGAAAACTTTCCACGCGAAATACCCCGCGGAAAAATTAACCGGCGGTGTGCAACTGAAGGGAAGATTGACTTTCAGCCTGTGGCGGGTGCTGCGGAAGCAGGCCAAGCTGCCGAATACGGAACTGAACACCGCCTGTGAGCAGCTGGTTGGGGAAAAATTTCCCACGTTCAGCAACGAAACGCTGAAAAAGTATTGCGAGCGCCCGGAGTTAGCGATTCACGCGATTCGGTACATGATATGGATTGCAAAAGTATCGTACTATGTATGAATTGCATGATCACAAATCATGTTTGCAAGAAGAAAAGTGTGATTTTTTGTAATGCTGGTTTACCTAAAGTACGGGTTTTGCTTGCCCCCTGCCATAGCCATTACTACGAGTACGATATGATTTTTCCAGTGCATACGCGATCCGCAAGTGCAACGCTTCGTTTAACATTCTGCAATCCATGGACTTGATGCAGAAGTGCGCCGAAGTTTCCCGGTTGCTTGGCGTGGACTTTTTCTCGGTCTTGTCCCGGGGCTCTCAGTTCCGAGTTGAGTCGATTTTATCCCGGGCGGCGCACAGCGACAAATTTGTGCTGCTGACGCCAACGAAAAATGACGTGCGGAACCAGCGGGCGCACGAATGTACGCCTTTGGTGCTGTATCAAAATGAAAAATCCTCCTCCCCATTCTAAAACGGAGATTTGTGTAGCATGATTTGCTACCACAAATCATGTTGTCATGCTAGAAGGCAAACGATCGATGCGGACTGCAGTGCTGGCTGGCGTGGGAAGGCCTTGCATCTTTCGCATGCCCGGAGGCAATTCCAAGTGGTAAACAGCATGACAAAAATCCAGGCCACAGCTGCGTCTCTTGGCCTTCTAGCAATACAAGTCGACTTGTATACGCAAATCCAGCATCACAGACGTCCCTTTCAATATAATGGGGAGGGGGGTTTTTTCCTCGCAATATTCTGGAGCCGAAGTCCGATTTCTACTACGATCCGGTGCTGATTGTGGATTTTCAGTCCCTCTACCCCAGTATTATGATTGCGTATAACATGTGCTTTTCGACTATGGAAGTGTCAGAATCGAAACTGACAAAGTCGAACAATTTGTAAATGCATAAAATCGATACCAGTTGGACTTGGAGCTTCAGTTAGCAAGTGGCCCATGACAAATTTCGCAAGCACCCACATCCAGCCTGTCATGCTGTTTGGGCAAAGAAGACTGCTGCTGTCGTGCTACTCTGGCAGCGAATCGCCCCCCCTAAACAGGCTTGCAATCGGTCTCATTTGCGTGCTCCCCAACACAGGCCACACGTGCCCTACATGTTACGCATTACTTTTCGATTCTGACGCTTCCATATCGACCTGTATTGGCAGACTGGAAAACGCGGGAGACAGGATTATGGAGGATAACATTTTCCGCAGGACAAAGTTCGACAACGACATGCGGGGCGGGCCTAAGAGCGGAGCCGACTTTGAAAGCAAAAGCGGGGCAGAACAATTTCTTGGAGGTGACAAAGACCACAAATTTGACGAAGATGAAACAGATAAAAGCAAAACCAACTTCCCTAACTGGATCAATCGATTGGTAGAGCAGTGTCTACGCGAAGAGCTGGTAAGGAAGGCCAAGATGAAAGCTACTTCAATAGAGCAAAAAGAAAATCCCGAAGATGACAAGTCCGATGACGACGACCCGACTCTGAAGGAAGAAGTCCAGTATCTTTTGCAAAAGTATCGTAATCGTAGTAGTCGCAGGTATGCATTACAAATCGAGTTGGTTAGGTAAACCCGCATTACAAATTTGATTTGTAATGCAGAGGCAATTTGTATTGCGATTTTTACTTTGTACGATACATTTCCAGTGCATATCCAGCGCTTTCTTACCAAACCGCGGAAGCTCGGTTGTCTGCAGGACTACAAACCGAATAAGAACGCAGATCTAGACTCCACGATCGCTCTACGCAATACAAATTTATTGCCGTACACGTACAAATACAAAGAAAAAGCATACACAATTTTTCGGTCATGCAATTTGTCATGCTGAGTAAGCTTGCTGGAGGCGTGGGTGTCGAAATAGAGCAGCTGTATTGTCAACATGCATTTCCTCCAGATGCATTTGTGCGTGTACGGAATAAACTTTCCTGTTGATCCAGTCTCCCGAACGGCGCCATTTTTATCCAGCATTTCAAAGGCGTGGTCACGAAGATTATGCAAGAAAAAAACTGTGTAAGTGTAAATCTGTGACGCAGAAAATGCAAAACAGTTACACTTGTCGCGCTGGACACGCATCAGAGGCAATTTTCGTGCGTTTTTTCACGTACTAGCTGCGCATGACAGGTTTTCTGTGTCATGCAGAGCAAACTTGTGATGCTATTTTTCTCTTAAGACACTTACACTTACACAGTTTTTTTCCTGGATAAAGATGATTCACGAGATTCTGCAAACCCGAATCATGCTGAAAAAATCGCTGAAGCTCCACCGGTATCAAATGCAAAAATGTCTGGGTCTGGAAGATTCATCTGAGACTTGTCATGCACGGCGTGCGTGAGCTATGATGTCTGTGATGCATGCCCTAGCATCACAGGTCTTTTGAGGGGTTCTTGATGCCTATTCCGCATGACAAATGCCCTCTCCGCGTAGCAGAAATTAGAGCCCTTTTGCTGCTCATGCAACACAAATTTTTTAGACATCCAAATGCAGCATCACAAGTTGCATCCTTCCAGACCCAGACACTTTTGCATTTGATAACCGGAAAGCGAAGAAGTCCGACCCGGATTTGGAGCGGCTGTTGGAAGCCCGGATTTTCGGATTGAAAATGGTCGCAAACGTGACCTTATGAATTGCAAAAGCGAATCGTACTCGTATAAATGCATTACAAATTCTCACAGCATGAGAAATAAAATTTGTAATGCGGAGTTACCTTGAGAAAAAAATTTGTGATGCACGACTGCAATTTTTACTACGAGTGCGATACGTTTGCAATGCATACACCTACGGCTACATCGGCGCGGCGTACTCTGGCCGAATGCCGTGCTGCGACTATCCTCTGCAAAAGTATCGCACTCGTAGTAATCTTCACAGTCATGCAAGACAAATTTCTTTTTCAAGCTAAATCAGCATGGCAAATTCCATTTGTCATACTGAGCAAATTTGTAATGCGATTTCTACTAGTACGATGCTTTTGCATTTCATAGCGACGTTGCCGATGCGATTGTTTACACCGCACGAAGGACGCTGGAGGATACCATGCGGGTGATCGAAAGGGAGTTCAAAAACTGCGAGGTGGTTTACGGTGATACCGATTCGGTTTTCGTCCGGGTGAAAAACTGCGACTCTTTGAATACGGCGTTTAACACGGGCGAAGCCATTGTGCGGAAAATCACTGAGCGGCACCCCTGGCCCATGGAGTTGGAGCTGGAAAAGGTGTACTGGCCGTGCTGCCTGGTGTCGAAGAAGCGGTACGTTGGTTACAGCTACTCTTCCAGGGACCAGAAAGCCCCTTCGTTTGACGCCAAGGGGATTGAGACGGTGCGGAGGGACAGCTTATGACAGTGCACAAGAACTCCCCCTCCCCTTCATTTGTATTGCACGAACAGCAATACAGACACGCCCACATGTGGAGCCTGTGCATGACAAGTTCATGCGCCTAGTGTAGTACTGTTAGGGCTCCTTCCGGAATCTGTCATGCACACAGTACCAAGCAGCAGCGCTTGGATTTGGTATTTTGCGTGACAAATGAGGGGGAGAGGGAGTTCTTGTGCACTCTCATACAGCTGCCGCTGGACGCAGGAGAATATGAAGAAGGTTTTGGAAATCATGTTCTCCGGGGTCCAGGAGCATCTCTGGGGGAAGATGGAAGGGATTAGTTTGGATAAAGAAGGAGATGACCAGGAAATAAACAACAACAAAAAGCAGCAGGTTGAAAAGAATCATGATCATCCAGACTATCTCGCTGAAAGCTCGCATGACAAGTTTTACGACGAGCCAGTGTCGTGGAAACGGAAGAAGTTGAAGTTGCAGCAGCGCAACGTGAAACTAGCGAAGCAGTTTTTCCAGGAACAGGCACTGAGGATCAGGAACAACGAAGTTTCGAAGTCCGACTTGCTGTTCTACAAAGAAACCAGAAGACTCGAGGATTACGCGGTGCTGCCAGTTCATGCGTACATTGTAGAGAAATCGAAACTGATCCCAAATAAACGTGTGCCCTACGGTATGCATTGCAAAAGTATAAATCGTTGTACCTACTAAACTTAGCGGAAATGGCATGACAACTTTCCTCAGCATGGAGAAATGCAATTTGTAATGCGGTTTTACGACCTTGACGAGACGTACATTTATAGTGCATCACTGCGATCAGGATTACTGCGGGTACGAAGATGCTTTTGCAATGGATATACGGGATCTCCGAGGGGCACGGGCGGTTACTGGATAAAGCCCGGGTATGGAAGCTTCAGGACTGAAATCGTCAAAGTTGAAATAGTTTGTAATGCATAAAATGGGTGAAAGTTGTAACCCAGTTTCCAAGTGCCGCATGACAAATTTGGGTAGGGCCGAAATCCAGTCTGTAATGCTGTTTGGGTAAGGAAGACGCCGGCTGTCATGCTACTTTAGCAGCGCAGTTTCTACCCCTCCACAGGCTTACAATCTGCCTCACTTGCCTACTCTGCAAGACAGGCACATTGTGGGCTGCGCTTTATGCATGACAAATCATCTCAACTTTGTCGATTTCACTCCTGATACATCCATACCGGGCGCCGAAAAACTTCGTCTACCCGGACGCGGAATATTATCTGCTGAAACATTTGATCCCCGCACTGCAACGGCTTTTCACCAACATATGACAGTACACAACTCCCCCTCGTCATTTGTAGGGCATAAACAGCATTACAAACACCAGTAGAGGTGGACCCTGTGCATGACAAGTTCATGAGCCGAGTGTAGTACTGTTTTGATTCCCAGCGGAATTTGTCATGCACGCGGTGCCACAGGGTAGCAAGTGAGTTTGGGTTTTTGCATGACGAATGAGGGGGAGTAGTTGTGCACTGTCATACAATATTGGGGAGGACGTGAAGTCCTGGCTCCCGATCAAGCACCGGAACCTGCTAGCGCCCGCGAAAATCCTCGGCGGGTTGCAGCTGAAGCCGGGGCCGTTGGTGAAGTTATCACAGGAAACAAGGAGTGTATACAGTTGCACATGTGTTGGAATTTCTGCATCACAAAGTTGTTCGACATGGCCAAGAAATAAACCTGTGATGCGCAGACTACAATGGAAAACACGCACGAAATAAGGCTGGCAAGCATTTTCTGCATGACAGAGGTTGTCTGTCTTGCGTGTCTTCCATTACAGTGTGTAACTGTAACACTTTTTTCTCACGATACAAGTTCTTGAAAAAGCAGTGCACCGTTTGCAAGGCGGTGATTTTGCCTGAGGCGAGTGCTAGTGCAGCTGGCGGGAAGATGCGGGAGAAGCAGATGAATCCTGCAGGAAATAAGACGAACAGCAAGATGACCACTTCCGGCCTGGTTCTCGGGGAAGGTTTATCGGCTGTGCAACTGTGCCCCAAGTGTTTGGAGCATCCGGAGAAGCTGTTGCGCATGATAGGATCTGGGGTTTCATCAACATCTGCTGGCACGACAAGAAGTGCGATCAGCAACGCAAATTCGGTGCAGGCGTATGAACTGCAAAAGTATCGTACTCGTATAAATGCATCACAAATTTTCTCCGCATGAGAAATAAAATTTGCCACGCTGATTTACCTTGAGAAAAATGTTTGTAATGCAAGAAGTGCATTTATACGAGTGCGATACTTTTGCACAGGATAAGACGCTTTATTCAACAATAAGAACTACAGCAACGACGAACAATATCGTTGGGCAAAAACTGCTATCCTGTGCAAAAGTATCGTACTCGTACTAGTAATTGCATTCATGCATAATTACAAGTCGTCTCCCTAGTCAGAAATCCGCATTACAAATTCAGATTTTATTTCTCGTCATGCTGAGGAAATTTGTAATGCATTGTTATACGAGTGCGATACTTTTGCATTGCATAGCTGCAAATGCGGCAGGAATTGAAGGATATCGAGGACACAACATGCGCCGACTGCGTCCAAGCCCCGCACCCGATGGTATGCATTGCAAAAGTATCGTACTAGTATAAAAAATGCATTACAAATTTCCTCAGCAAGAGAAATATATTTTGTAATGCGGATCTACCTTGAGAAAAAGATTTGCTTTTGCAATGCATGATTGCAATTGCTACGAGTGCGATACTTTTGCAGTGTATAGATGGCACAGCTCTGCGAAAGTTTTGACTGCGCGGTGTTGGTATGGATTGCAAAAGTGTCTGGGTCTGGAAGGTTGGAACCTGTGATGCGCATTTCAGAACACACAAAAATCTCGCATGCATAGGTAGCAAAAGCTGCCCACTTTCTGTCACCAAAATGGGGGATTTGTCATGCGGGTTCGGCATTGCGCAAGCTTCTCGAAACCTGTGATGCTAGAGCTTCCATGCCAAACCTTCCGTGTCATGCACAAACAGCATGACTCTTCCAGACCCAGACATTTTTACATTTGATAGTTGGGAAAAAAAGCGCTGCTGTGCGAGCTGAGTGGATTGTAGGTGATGCTGATGTGAGACGAGCAGGATCCCTTTGTTTGTTTATGTACTAGGTGCGCACGACCACGACCTCTATCGCAAGAACTGAACCGAGCCGCCTAAGGAGTGCGAGAAGAAAGTATCGTCGCTCCAGCGCCAGGGAAAGGCGCGTGTTGAGTGTTCTCCAAACATAGGACGAACCTAGTACCACTCTGCGAGGCCGCTCCGTGGAAGACTCTTCACGAAAGTTATTTCTGGTTTGCTCACAGCGGCAGCTGAACAAGTTCAAGTTCTATACTTCGAGCCACCGATCTAGTTCTAGTTGTAGATCGCCGTACTAGTACAACACAGATCGCGTTGATGATCATGATCCTAGAAGGAACCTATGTATAACTCATTTTGAAGTTGTTCAATGGTTCGATTTTTTTGTTGTTGCAACGGATCGAAAAACAAAAATAGAAGCAAAAACGCTAGGAAACCTGAACTCGTGGTCAGCAGCACTACCGCTACCGGTGCCGAATCCTATTTTTCCTTTGCTTTATTCATTACATCAGGCAATCTACTACGTAGATTTTCTCAAGCATATATACACCTGATTTTTGCAACAACCGCGACACAAAAACCACGACTGCGACGTACCTACTCGCTATCTTTTTCACGACGTTTAGATATGGGATAAGGGGGTGACGAACTGAAGAGCACACGACGACCGGAACGTAAGTACTTACAGCATAGGAGGACCTCGCTCCAGCTTTAGTGTTGTGGTCTCACTCACTTGACTCATTTTTTCAACATTCTTTGCCGATTTTCCACTCCGTCCTTTCTAGATCTTCTTTTCATTCGAAAGAAGTTTTATTTTTAATACTACCTCGCCACCCATGCCCTGTTTCTACCACGCCACCTCTTGGCGCAACGCCGAGAGCATCGACAGTAACGGCTTCGTCATTGGATGGGGCGGGCTCGCCGGCCCGGGAGTGTACGTTTGCGAGACGGAAGACCAGGCCTGTCGCCGTTGCCGGGGACCAGCCGATATGAATTTTGCAAGAGTACTATCGTATGTAGGGGTAATTGCATCACAAATTATTTGTTATTGTTCAGCATAAGAGAGCGAATTGGAATTTGTAATGCGGATTCGGCGTCAATAAGAGACTTGTGATGCATGAATGCAAGTACTACGAGTGCGAAACTTTTGCAATGCATAACCGATGTGGTTTTCCAGGTGCGGACGTGGTATTGGCCTGACGCGGCGCCGGTTCCGGGAAACTACATTATTTACATATCAACTGCAAAAGTGTCTGGGTCTGGAAGATTCTAAACTTGTAATGCTGTCGCTGGATTCATCTAAAAACATTTGTATTGCATGACCAGCAAGAGGACTCCAGTTTGTGCTACACGGACAGGGCATTTCTCATGCGGTAGAGGCATCACAAAGTCCTCTAGCAATATGTGATGCTAGGGCATGCATCACAGACATCATGGGTCATTCAAAATATGCATGACAAACCTGGCAATCTTCCAGACCCAGACACTTTTGCAGTTGATATTACAACCCGAGCCACGAAATTCAGTCCTATCGGTGGTATTGGGACTGCCAGCATGGGTATTCGTAGATGCAAATATTAAAGCGAACGGCTGTTTTTACAACTGCAGCCTTGTTGACAGAAGCCCAAGCCTCGCTTGGCGGACGGGGACAAGGTGCGCGGGTGTAAGTCGTCCTCGTCTAGTGTGACAACGCTGGTGGGTTTTAACTTTATTCCTTGAGCTGAAGCTTCTTCAAGGCACGAAAAAGACAGTGTAAGATGATAATAGCGCAACAACAAACTACAACTACGGTTTTGGTGTGAAAGGTTCAAATTGCTGGTGGAACATGAACAATGACAGTCTCCTATGATTCATCCTTCCGGTAAAAATATTACTACCTGCTAGAAGAATTCTTGTCTTCGACATTACGATCATCCTTTCCGCTGAGGTGGTTCAGAAACTCTCAACTCTATTGACGTTTTTCCATGCGTCGAAAATCGTACAGAAAAAAAAAGCCTAAACTTAACTGAGACGGATTTTGCAAAATAAAGATACGCCTTTTGATATTTCCGTGGTGGAGCCAGCTAACTCCAACGCCACACGGATAAATGATGAAGATCGAACAAGCTGAGTGAATTGATTGCGTGTTCTTCTTTCATCCCTGTATTCGCGGCGCGAGAATAAACCACCTATCAAGGCAGCTGACCATGATTTTTATGTGACAATGTATGTCGAGTTCGTAAATAGTTAGCTCCCAAGAACATGGCAATTCGACTTGTGCCCCAAAATCATGAGTGCAGAAAGGTTTTTGATGCTGTCCTAGCTTATTTTCTGTCCCGGACTCTATTGAAGAAATCTATCTCGACGATAAAATTCAGCAAAGAAAAATCTTGGTCCTCTAGCACTGCGGACTACACAAAAAAAAAATCCTGCCACAGTTGTAAATCGATCCACGGACGTCGACCACGCGATCTTCAAATAATTTGGAAGCAAGTTCCACATCCAATTCCACTCCGCTGAACTGCGAGTGCGACGACCGATCTACTTCATGGAAATTAGATAAATGGCACTCGCACGACAAAAAAAGATCCACTGCGCGCGGCCGTCCTTCTTGTCTCAGATTTTCGAAGTGTAAATGACTGACTTTTCTTCATCTTTTTCATCATCCAGTGGGAGTTTATTTTACAACTGTATCGATCAACATTAGTTGTCTTGTCGTAAAGTTTTTGCACCAGCAGCGAACACTATAATTTCTTCATCCTGTAGCTAGCAGTATATAGCCGTCACATCACCAAACAAGATACGTAGAATTATATCATTATGGGTTCTATCGACAACATGAAGACTGTATGGAGAAAAAAAAGTTTGTCACAGTCACTAAGGTGCAGGGTTTGCATTACAAATTTTTTTTGCATCACAGCGGTTCCTTTTATTGCAGAAACACTAGGGAAATCCCTTATGAAGTGTGGCTGTGATGCATTTTTACGCATGGCAGACAGATTTGTCTTGCAGAAATGCCCATGAGTGATCGTGACGAACTTTTTCTTTTGATAGACCGCGAAAGACATGGAAGGCCTTCTGAAGGACTTTTGTGTGGAAGTCTCGGCCGAGCAGAACATGGACATCTCCTACGAGCAGATCCACGAGGTTGCGGAGATCCACCTCGAGGAGAAGAAGTTCACCGACAACGCGCTGAAGACCGCGGACTGGGCGGTTTTAAGCAAGAAGATTCCCACCCTAAAGGCGCTGGCTGTGACGGGGTGCGAATTGGAAAAGATCGCGGAGCCGGAGAAGGTGGTCGAGGAGCTGGAGGTGTTGGATTTGACCGGTAACAAAATCTCGGACTTGCACTTTCTCAAGAACTATCCAGTGCAAAAGTACTATCGTACTCGTAGTAGTTGGTGTTGGATTCCCATTATGCATCACAAATCCTTATCTCAAGGTAAAACAGCATGACAAGGTCCATTTGTCATGCTGAGGTAATTTGTAATGCAATTACGACGAGTGCGATGCTTTTGCAATTTATAAGAACACGGGCGGCGACAAGGTGTACGAACACGTGAAACCGGACAAGAACGACGACGGCGAGGAACAGCCGATGGAAAAAACCTCCAAGTTCCCCCGAATCGTGCACCTGACCCTGTGCGACTGCCCCAACTTGGACAAGACGGGATTCGAGGAAGGCGTGAAGCCGGGTCTGGAGGCCGTAAAAGACTCCCTGTCCATGTTAGAAGCCAACCACTTGTTCGGGTGTAAGGATGAGGACGAACTGCGAGACAAGCTGTTCAAGATGCTGCCCAGTCTGTACTGCTTCAACGACAAGGACGTCACTGGCGTATTGTGAGGAAAAATCCCCCCTCCCCATATCAAAACGGAAATCTTTGATGCAGATTTGTGGCCACAAATCAGCTTTGTCATGCTAGAAGGGAAATAAAGATGCGGGCTGTAGCGCAGGGGAGCGTGCTGGTAAAGCCTTGCATCTTCAGCATGACAGGAGGCGGCTGGAATGGGGAAACAGCATGACAAATTTCCTGCCAACGAGGCCACGACTGCGGCTCTTGGCGTTCTAGCAATACAAGTCGACTTGTGTACTCAAATACAGCATCACGAGTTTCGTTTTCGACATGGGGAGGGGGGATTTGTCCTTTTGATATGCGGAGCCGGTTGACCACTCTCTCGAGGAGGAAAACTTTGCGGACCTGTCCCCGGCGGATATTGAGGAATTCGAGCAATTGATGGCAATGGAAGGTGGGGAAGACGACGAGGAGGAGGATATTGTGAGCAAAAACGTCCCCACCCCAGAGTTGTCATGCATATCTGCATGCTCGAAATGTTTGTCATGCGGAGCCCCATGAGAAGCTTTTTCTAGCTGTGTTTTGGGATTTGTCAAGCTATAATCAGCATGATATGCTAGACCTGTGATGCTGCTGAACTACTTAAACAGGATTACGCTACAAGGACAAGCCAAGGACAAGCTTGTCATGCGCAACAACGAAAGCTGGTAGAGATTTGTCTAGCAGATTCCACATCTTGACTCTGGGGTGGGGACGTTTTTACTTAGGATAGAGGACGATGAAGACGCTGTGGTTGGAGAGGAAGGCGACGAGGATGACGAGGACGACGAAGAAGAAGAGGAGGAGGACGATATCCCGTGTAAAATAAACGTCCCCGCCATCTCCTCGTTCCGCCGTCCAGAGTTGTATAATATGCAAACCTGCGACTGCGTCATGCCTAAAATGTTTCTCATGCGCGTCCACTCGAGTGCGAGCTGCATCATTTTCTAATGCTATCTGGGAACTTCTGATGCGAGAATACGGATGAGATGGCCAATTTGTAGTGATCATGCCGCTCCTGCACTAGCGAAACGCGTTTTTTATGCTACGAGTAGTCTAAACGTGTCATGTGCAGCATGAGTCAAAGCTTGTTGATCTGTGTAGCAAAGTCTCCAGCACGATCGTGCTGACTCTGGGGAGGTGCTGGTGGGGACGTCGCTTTTACTCAGGATAGAAGAGGAGGAAGAGGGTGAAGAAGACGAAGAGGAAGAACCGGCCGCCAAGAAGGCCAAGACGGAGTAAAAGAAAACGTCGACGTTGTTTTGCTAGAAGTTCGAGAAGAAGATTGAGGACCACTTACAATATTGACATTAGCTCCACATCATCTCATGGTTTGGTGCTGAAACAAGAACGGGTCTGATATATTTTTCCTCCAAGAACGCCAAACAATAGTATATCATGACGCAACTACGGGAGGGTGCTTTGCGACAACGTACTGCAACATGAAAACTCAAACTCAATGAAGCAAATATAATTTTTCTAGTTTTACTACACGAAACTATTGACAACTATTGCAACGAACGATTTTTACTACTATGATCCAGGACCATGATTGCCAACACCACGACGCCTGATAGAAGCCAAACCTTGACCTGCACCTTCTATAATTCTGCCTGCAAAACAACCTACACAACGACTTTTCTAGACAGAAATACGATTCATCTACTGTCTGTGGTTGCACGAGGAGAACCCACGACCAGGAGGATCACTCATTCTCTGCTGCCTCAACCTGTAAAAACTATGTCTACAAAGAACTAGCGCCCTGCTGGATCGTGTTTAGTACCACGCTTTTGGAGATTATGTACTACTTACACCAGAGAATATTAAACGCAAAAAAACACAAAAACGAAAAAATCCTTCGGCGTGAAAAATCGAATTCGGCGGATAGGAAAACGGCGATCATGCTTCAGCTACCGAATGTCTGCAACTCAAGATAGCGCCGTGCTTCTCTATAGAAACAAGCACTGCGGAACCAGAAGCAAAGCCAAATGCTAGCACAACACTAACGACTAGAGGAGCAGTGCAATACCTTCGCGGATGACGAGGTGGAAAGATGCTTTCGTGCATCAACTGACTCGCTTTTTTCGATTCGATCGTTGGAGACCAAAAAAATACGAAAATAACAACTCTTGTGCGTGTTGCCGCGCTTGTCATACTCATACGGCAGCTCTATTGTTTATCTGCACCGCCCGTCGGCTAAGTTGTTCTAGTCGAAATTTATTCGCGGGGTCCTCGCATCTCCCCGTGTTTCGTTGAAAAGCTCGCAGGATAAAAACGTTCCTCGCGAGGGTGAATAGAGTAAGGATCCCCGCGTTGTAGTTTCCTCGATGACGAGTAGCGCTGAGAGCAGATGATCACCACGATGATCCCCGCGTCGTTTTTCGTCTTCGACCTGAGCGGGACGATGCAACAGAAGCCTTCTTCGATTTTCGATTTTTTTTCTCGTCGAATAGTTGCCACAAAGCATAGTACGAAAACGAAGTTAATAGTATACGTCTGTGAAGAAAGAACAGCGTACGACGTCGTCTGGGTCGTCGTCGGGTGAGGCTTGATGCGCGACAGCATCGTTGCTTCGGTCTTCGCTGAGTTTTTTGATGATTAGTGGTTCGGTGATCATAAGTACTTCTGTGGAACTGGCAAAGAAATAAGTATTCAAGTTGTGGAACTACAAAATTTCGAACAGCTACAAGACTGCAGTAGCTAGGAGCACACTGTCACTGGTGACCACCGGTTGTAGACCACGCATTTATTGTTCGCTTGTGATCATTCTCACTGCCACAATCAGAAAGAACAAGAAGTGATGTCTTCCTCGCGCCGCGTTCCCCTTCCGGACAACGCTGGGCTGTGCCTGTCCCACCAGGGGGCCATGTACAACCTCATGATGAAACAGCGGGCGGAGCTGCAGGTGGAGCAGACCCGGCAGTACCAAAATCTGGTCCGCGACCGCGAGGAGCGGGAGAACCGCGCGAAACTTGAAGAGGAGCGGTTGCGGAAGGAGAAAAAGGAGAAGGATCGGAAAAAGGCCGAGGAAGAGCGGGCGAAGGCGTACCAGGAAGCGGTGGAGAACAAGGGGCGGTACGAAGAGATGGTGCGGAACCGCGAGGCGGAGAAGAAACGCGCGGAAATGGCCGAGCGCGAGCGGACTGCTCTCAGGAACGCCGCAAACCAGCGCGCGTACGAAAGAATGATGCAGAAACAGGAACAGCAGAAAAAAGACCGCGAACTCTCGATCTAGCCAAGAGGAAAGTGCATACATAACAGAGAAATCGATAGAAAACTGTGCTTCGCGTTTAAGTGTCACATCAAAGGGTCTGTTTGTCCGGAGCATGACATTTAAGAATTATCACGATTTTTCTTTCCGGGCTGCTCTCTAGATGTCAGGAAATTAAAATTTCCTCTTTTGGTGTCTCTGCATTACAGAATGGCGCCAATTTAGCAGCACAATTTTTCTTCCTTCCCGCTATGGGTGTACTTTTCTCTGTGATACTACCCGGCTGCTGAAAGAGGAGCGGGAGCGGAAAACGAACCAGACACAAGCTGTATCCTGAGTAAAAGCGTCCACACCCCCAGAAGAGTTGTCAGGCAGATTTGCATATATCTTTATCTACCGGTACCGGAACAGCCAGCACTTGCTGCTGTATTGCGCATCCGTATGAGATGCATTTGATGTAGGCGTGTTTTGGTATTCGTAATGCTGTAACCCGGATAAGCACAAGCAGATGGCTTCATTCTCCCTTTGTGATCATACAGCTGTCCTCTTTGCTCCTGCGCTACACTACATGACAGCGAGAAACCTGTGGTGCCCAAAGCTTTTGGAGTTGTGTTGCAGAGTTCTCAACTTGACTAGGGGGCGTGGACGTTTTTGCACAGGATAAGGTAGAGGACTGCCGGCGAAAAGACGGAGAACCAATGCCCAGCAGGCCGGGGATTGAACGTAGTACGAAACGCACTTAAGTGAGGCAACATGTTTGAATAACGTAAAAAGGTGCTGTCCTGGAAAGTTCCATTTACAGAGTTCATCACCCTAGTATTTATGGAAAGCTCGGTCTATCACCATAGATGCCGAGGAAGATAGAACCCGCCAGCATGAGAATTCATCCAAAAAACAAAACGCCAGGTGGTCTTCCTCGTCTTAGCCACTCGCGCAAGGTCAAGGCGTGGCGTTCTTCTCTGTTGTGGACCGACAACTACGCAGCACCACTCTGTTACTGGCCTCTTCCTTAGTTGTCGCCCCGTACCACCTTTCGTTTTCCTTTCTAGTATGCTGTGTGTGTGTGTGTTGTGACTGTGCACTGTGAGCGTACTGCGTCTATTAATTACAACTGGTACCACTCTCAGTACGTTTTAACTTGAAGTGAACTTCATCTATAGTTGTGCTTCTCGTTAGACTTCTTGTTTGCAGCTACAACTGCAGAGAAGTGGTTGTAGCGCGGGGCTGCTCGTCGTCTACTGATGTACGGGTCAAGATTAGCCTGAGCTATAGCAAAAATGAACTTCCCGTTTTGATGTTTTCACAACTCTTGTTAAAGACACTACTACCATTGGTTTGTTGACAAGATGATCAATGAATGTACAGAATCTGTTGCTGCAGATAATTGCAAAGGCGCCGAGATTTGTAAAATTGGAAGTGACCACTGGCTAAGACTCACTTGCAAGACGAGTAGCATTCACTTCGCTCGTCTAGTCTTCCATTGTGCGAAGCTGCCACATACTTGCCCCACTACAATGTTCTTATCAGTGCAAGGAGCGCCTCTAGCGCCTCGCCTCCCTGTTCGCCCAGTTACGAGATTGCCTCTGCGACTGCGATCAAATTTTTTAGACCACAGAGCCAGACTCTACGTGTGGTTCGCTAAAGTAGAAGAGGAGAGATGCCTTCAAATAGTATTCCTCGAACTCCGCTGCATGCGAAAAAAATAAAATCGGTTGCTTGATCCTTTGTACAATTGGAACTAGAATTGATCTTGATCGGTCTTCAAACATGCAAATGAGTATAAAAATCGTTTGCGCCTGAGCTCCTAAAGTGTGTCAGTAAAGAAGTAGACACAACAAGATCAACATCATAGCAAGTCTCGGTTAGACAAGAAGAAAAGGAAGATGATGTCAATCCTGCTCGGACTCGGTGCTGTTCAAAAAATATGTATGAAGCAAGTGCTGTGAGTTTTATGCAGCTCTGGAAGCATTGCTATTGGTATATCTTCGCCCAGTTGATCTCTTGTTGATGGAGTACGAAAAGGAAAAACTCGCCCTCCTCTCTTCCCTCCCATCGACGTTGCATTGCAACAGAGAGTATCAACTGCAAATATGTCTGGGTCTGGAAGAATGCAAGCTTGTCTTCACGCACCTTTTGCATGAGCCATGATGTCTTCGATGTCTGTCCTAGCATCACAGATTTTTTGAGGGCGCCTTTATGGCTATCCCGCATCACAAATACCCTGTCCGCGTAGCAAAAATTGAACTTCTTTTGCTGCTTGTGCAATACAGATTTGCTCGAAATCCAAAAGCAGCATCACAAATTCCTTCCTCGTCCAGACCCAGACATATTCGCAGTTCATAGGGAGCCCGTCGCGACCGCCACCCTCACCTCACTATCTCCGATCATCCCGGTTACCAACCGGGTCATCGAGAATCGGCTGAAAATCCTTTTGAAGCAAAAATCTGGCGCTTCCACCCTGTGCAAGGAGTACGCGGAACGGCTAGACAAATTTCTGCACGGTCTTGCTTTCAAACACCCGAAGGAAAAGATTGCACAGCTTGCGTTTCCAGGACTATCAAAAGAGGACCTTGATGTTTTCGGGGCTAAAGTGGGGCGGGAACAGTTTTTGCTGAAGCACTCGGGGCGGAACGTGGTGGTGGTAAAGAACAACGAGCAAAATCAAAAAGAGCTACAACTACGTGAAATACAGCCGGTGGCAACTGGTGCTGCATCTGCCTCTTCCTCATCTGCAGCAGCTCCTGTGAGAAATACTATTTACAAGAACGCAGCCACCACCAGCTCATCAGACATCTACTTTTTTGGTCCGGCTTCTTCGGCTCCGAACGGCGCCGGGAAGGAAGTAGAAGACGAAAAGATGGATCTGTGTGCGAACGACTTGAAGGTGAAGCACATCGACAAGCTAAGCACCATAATTCTCGGCGCCGCCAGTCCGGCGAAACGTCAGCAGCCGATGGACGTAGATGAGGAAAGTAAAGATGTCAACTCTGAGATGGCGGTGGAGGCGCCTCCGCTGGATGTTGAACAGCATCACAACAACAATGATCCCGCCAACGAAGAACTTCGCTCTGGCGCAACCGATGATGGAATTTGCTTGGATTTTTTTGCTATTTTTCACGAAAAAAACTGTTGAAAGATGAAATGTCCGGTGGAGGGGCGTCGCCGGTGGGATCACTTGGCGACTAGTGCAAGACCTCTCAATGGGTCCGGGTCATCTTCAGGATATTGGAGTAGATCAACCGACCTAATACGGGGCCCCATATAGAAAAAACGCCGACTAGCGCCTCTCTGTGCGCAAAAGCGACGCCATAAACACAGGTGGGAAAATAGTACACATCCGACCACACCCCCCGCCACACCCCCCACCACACCCCCCGCCACACCCCCGCGCCTGCCAGTTCGGCGCTTTTTGGAGGAGGTTGTGGAATTGGTTTGGAAGAACTTGGAAAAATCTGGAACTTTGCTCCTCCCGATTGGTAGCTGATGCCTGAAAATTTTTCCATTTCCGGCCAGATTTTTCCAGCTCTTCTCCACAGGCATTCCATTTTGCCTAGAGCCAGAGCATTCTGCCAACTGTGGCAGGAGCTGCTCGCTCAAGGTTGAGGGGTGGGCCTGGGTGTTAGGTGGTAAGTGTTGCACTTTGTTTCGAAATTTGTGTTGCGTCTGTTTGGCCGGTTGACTGCGTTCCAAAGTCAACGCCTGACAGGGTGTAGCGTTCGGCGGTGCTATAGTTTTTTCTTCCTTTTATGCCCACTAGCTTGCTTGGTGTAGAAGTACTCCTCTTCTGGTCGATGTTGATAGCGAGAGAAGGGCGCCCATTCTAAAAATTTGAAAAAGTGAAAAGCTGAAAAAATCCAACTACCTTATTTCATCGGGCGCTCCACAGCGAAAAGAACCAGACGAGCGTGCTCTATTGCTGCTGGAGAGAAGAGAGCGAGAGAGTCGTTCTGAACGGCAGGGGGTCCGCAACAGGGCAGTCGCGTTGCACGCAGCTCTCCTCCAGGAGCTCGCTACCCACCTGACCAGGCTGCATGACAAATCCAAATCCCACACCTTCCTCACTTCCGCGGTGCAGCTCTTTACCGGCGACGCGGCGGAAACAATTTGCAACCGGTGCAGCGATATGCAACTTTGCAAAAGAAGGTCTACGTGTATCGCACTTACGAAGTGGAAATTCTTGTATCACAAGTTTATATTTTTTCAAGAGAAGCAGAAATGGATTTTGTAATGCTGAGATCGGCACCGAGTGCATTGCCTCATACATAATTGCTCAAGTAATTGAATTTCATACATGCAATGCAATGCAACTGAAAAATATTGCTCAAGTAATCATTCATGCATGCAATGCAACTGAAAAATATGTATTGCTATTGGTATATCTTCGCCCAGTTGATCTCTTGTTGATCTCTTTCTGGTCTCGACCCTCCACAGGATCCTTCTATCTCATGTTTACCTAATTTACATAAACGTATAATCTTCTTGAAAATTATCGGAATACTCTACCCCTAGAGTTTAACACGAGAAACAAGTAGCGCGCTGAGCAGTATAAATTCATTTTATCTACGCCACACCACGACCGCCCCAACCTAAAACTCCATCTCATTATTTTCGAAGGCGCAAGGACTTCTCGAACTGTTGCTAAGAAGCTAAGTAACTGTCAAAGACCTAACACCCCAAGAATTTCTCTTTCGCTCGGCCGTCAAAGTAAGTAGTAGCGCTACCTAATTTGATAGAATACGACTCTGAGTTGCAGCAGTGTCTTTATCCAAAATGCCGTCCTCTTCCAAGATGATGAAGGTTCTCCTCGTCGCGGGATGTGCCGCTTGCTCAGGTGTGCTCGGGGCGTCGAATCAGAAGTTTTTGAGTCCCCAGGAGCAGCGCAGGAGGCAAATGGAGGAAATGACTTGGCAAAAGCAGCGGGACTATCACATGCAAATATGCCACCTGGAGGGTCTGGAAGGTGGGTGCAAGATCTGTCATGCAAATTCCGCATGTTGGCACGGGCAGAAGTATGAAATACCAGCGTTGCCCTAGCAGCACACGTTTTGAGGAGGCTCCGCAATGCCTATGCCATGTGACAAGTGCCATCTCCGGGCGCTCAATAGAAGTGAGCGGCTTTTGCCGCTTAGTGGTGTGCACAATGTTTTTGCGTTGCCGCTGCCCAGATCTAGTATGACAAAGTCGGTCTCTACTTCCAGATGACCCAGGAGAGACGTTTGCAATGCATATACGGGCGCAGAGATTGCAACAAGAGCGAGAAGAGCAGAAGCGATTGGCCGATGAAGCAGCGACTGCGAGCCTGGCTAAAGACTCCGCCTCGAATAGGAAGTTTTTGAGTCCCCAGGATCGTGCTGAAAATCGAATTGCAGCCCAAGGCCTACTGAAAGACGCTTATACGCGAACTGCAGCCGCTGAAGCAGCTGCTTCCGAGAAAGTCAAGGAGTATCAAGTGCAAATATGCCACCTGGAGGGTCTGGAAGGTGGGTGCAAGATCTGTCATGCAAATTCCGCATGGCACGGGCAGAAGTATGGAGTACCACCAGCGTAGCCGTAGCAGCACACGTTTTGTTGAGAAGGCTCCGCAATGCTTATGCTATGTGAGAAGTGCCATCTCCGGGCGCCGAATACAGTGAGCGCGGACTGTTGCTGCTTGTGCAAGAGTAGTTCCGCAATATTTTTGCGTTGCCCCCCAGATCTAGCATGACAAAGTCGGTATCTTCCAGATGACCCAGAAACGTTTGCAATGCATATTGAACGACCGCTAGAAAATTATGAAGAGCCTCCTCCCAAGCAAAGTATGAAGGCATTCCATCAGCACCTGAGGGACCTCGAGTCGCAAGAGGATCCTCGCTTCGGCAAAGAACATCGCCAGCGGGCTGAGGAAGCCAGGAACCGGCCTGATGTTGTTCCGACGAACAGAGACGTTAATCGTTGGGAAGTGAGCAGCCCCCGCCGGGTAGTCAAGTTGAATATGCCTATGCCTGCCCCCATCCAAAATGATAAGTAGAGAAGGTGGGGGATGAGAAGTAGAGAAGTTGGGGGAAATAAAATCGACGATCCCGCCGCACTTATCAAGAATTTTCGTTGCAAAGCCAAAGTGTATATTTATACATTGCCGCGAAAAAAGGCACTTTGCTTCTTTATTTCCAGATGATGAAAATAAAAAATACCTAAGGTCGTGAAAAAGTGCTACTTGGATAGAAAGTCCCTAATTCCAAACAACATCGTCCACCACGACGATCTAGAGCAGCCCTCGTGTTTATGTGTTTTTTCCACTCCCCCTGTGCTCTTCCTGAAAAGGTTGAAAAAATGCTCTTTGGATGGGTGGCCCACGAGGACGAAAGCGCATTCCGCCCCATCAGAAATATTAAAAGACATGTTCCATCGAACAAATTGAAGGCCTTGCTCCTTGACAAAGGAGAAGGTAATGAGTGAAACTCGTACTTAGTAAAGAAGAACTTCAGACGCTAACCCAAAAAGTAGGAAGTACTCGTCAATTAACACTCTATATTTACATAGTATGTTGGTTCTTGGTCTAGAGCGACCGCCCATAAACTTCTACAATTCCTAACACGAAGATGAAGAAGATTCCTGCCCGAAAGCCAAAATAACCACGAGGAATCAACAAACAAGCAGTGATCTTGATTTATCGAAGAAATAAGCTCGCCTAAGTTCGTCGCGGACATGTTGCTGCACTCCGCGCATGTTGAATGATGCACATACAAATTCTACTTCGAACATGATTCAGGATGAAGATTTCCGCACGGACCGCGTTCAGACGAGGAATGAGGCCGCGCGGGGGATCTGCATCGAAAAACCGTTGTATTTATGCTATAATATTCATCAAACTGAATCGCAGCACGACGACGCTAGTGGCGAAGAAAACAAGCAACCGACTTCTAGTGAGGTGGACCACGCTAGTGCCCCCGTATTTGTTGTCAAAAAGACTACAATACGGTGAGCAGTAGGGATTTTTGGTTGAGGACCTTGATGATGTTCTTGCTGTGTGCGGGGGGACGTCCTGTCCACTGTTGCGTCGTCTTGGAACGAAACTTCTGAGGCCCTGCTTTTCATCTTGTTCGCTTCGACTTGAAATCTTTGTCTTTGTTCGTCCCACTTAATCGACTAAAAGCCCGTTTGTTTTAAGATCAGGAACGTCGCAGGCTGTTCGTCGAGATAATTGAGAGGAGGAACGCAGGCTCTTTCTTCATGGACAGGGACGACCGCAGCTGGACCTGCACCCGGAGTGGTTGAGAGCAAAAAAATATCGTGAGTGATAATTATTTCGCAATTGATATATAATTTCTGGTCAGCATCTGCATCACACACACACCAATCACTTCCGTGTGCATAATTGAGGAGATCTTCATCTTCAGAATTATAGCGAAGAGTTCCGGTAGTTCTTGAAAATGATTATTGATCGTCCTCGTCCAGGAAGAAATGAAAATCTATGTTTGACGATCCTGAGCGAACGCGATGAGAGGTAGTCGAAGTACAACTACCTAAACGCACTAGTATGTGATCTGAAATATGTCCCGCGTAGCGGTTATATAAGTTTATCCGATTGATCAAGAGGGTTGAGTACTCGCGCGGCCAGCGCCGCGCTGGCTCTAGGATTTTTCGACCCACCCTGCCTCACCAGGCGCTTGCGCGCCTCGCTTCAGCCCGCCCTTGGTCTCGCACTAGCGTGCACCGCTCCCGTTAGGATGCTGCGCCTCTAACTGGAGCTGCGCACCCGCCGGATTTAGGCCAATCGCGGCGTGCTCGAGGCGAGTTTCCGGCCTCCTTAGCTAGGCCCCTAGGGATCCCGCTAGGATTCGGCCGGTCTTTTTGATGCCAGTGTGTTGCGCTGGTGCCTTGTGAGGTGTGCTCATTTTGATAGATGCAATTTATCCGTTATCTGACGCTGAGAACGAGAAATGAATGAAAAAACATAACGTTGCTAGAGCTGGAACTTGGTCGCGTCCTGCAAGACTTCGCTTCCCCGCCGCAGGGGGATGTGTTCGCGCGGCCGCCACTGTCAGGATGGGTGAATTGATCATATTCGGATGAAATTATATGTCCCGCGTAGCGGTTATATAAGTTTATCCGATTGATCAAGAGGGTTGAGTACTCGCGCGGCCAGCGCCGCGCTGGCTCTAGGATTTTTCGACCCACCCTGCCTCACCAGGCGCTTGCGCGCCTCGCTTCAGCCCGCCCTTGGTCTCGCACTAGCGTGCACCGCTCCCGTTAGGATGCTGCGCCTCTAACTGGAGCTGCGCACCCGCCGGATTTAGGCCAATCGCGGCGTGCTCGAGGCGAGTTTCCGGCCTCCTTAGCTAGGCCCCTAGGGATCCCGCTAGGATTCGGCCGGTCTTTTTGATGCCAGTGTGTTGCGCTGGTGCCTTGTGAGGTGTGCTCATTTTGATAGATGCAATTTATCCGTTATCTGACGCTGAGAACGAGAAATGAATGAAAAAACATAACGTTGCTAGAGCTGGAACTTGGTCGCGTCCTGCAAGACTTCGCTTCCCCGCCGCAGGGGGATGTGTTCGCGCGGCCGCCACTGTCAGGATGGGTGAATTGATCATATTCGGATGAAATTATATGTCCCGCGTAGCGGTTATATAAGTTTATCCGATTGATCAAGAGGGTTGAGTACTCGCGCGGCCAGCGCCGCGCTGGCTCTAGGATTTTTCGACCCACCCTGCCTCACCAGGCGCTTGCGCGCCTCGCTTCAGCCCGCCCTTGGTCTCGCACTAGCGTGCACCGCTCCCGTTAGGATGCTGCGCCTCTAACTGGAGCTGCGCACCCGCCGGATTTAGGCCAATCGCGGCGTGCTCGAGGCGAGTTTCCGGCCTCCTTAGCTAGGCCCCTAGGGATCCCGCTAGGATTCGGCCGGTCTTTTTGATGCCAGTGTGTTGCGCTGGTGCCTTGTGAGGTGTGCTCATTTTGATAGATGCAATTTATCCGTTATCTGACGCTGAGAACGAGAAATGAATGAAAAAACATAACGTTGCTAGAGCTGGAACTTGGTCGCGTCCTGCAAGACTTCGCTTCCCCGCCGCAGGGGGATGTGTTCGCGCGGCCGCCACTGTCAGGATGGGTGAATTGATCATATTCGGATGAAATTATATGTCCCGCGTAGCGGTTATATAAGTTTATCCGATTGATCAAGAGGGTTGAGTACTCGCGCGGCCAGCGCCGCGCTGGCTCTAGGATTTTTCGACCCACCCTGCCTCACCAGGCGCTTGCGCGCCTCGCTTCAGCCCGCCCTTGGTCTCGCACTAGCGTGCACCGCTCCCGTTAGGATGCTGCGCCTCTAACTGGAGCTGCGCACCCGCCGGATTTAGGCCAATCGCGGCGTGCTCGAGGCGAGTTTCCGGCCTCCTTAGCTAGGCCCCTAGGGATCCCGCTAGGATTCGGCCGGTCTTTTTGATGCCAGTGTGTTGCGCTGGTGCCTTGTGAGGTGTGCTCATTTTGATAGATGCAATTTATCCGTTATCTGACGCTGAGAACGAGAAATGAATGAAAAAACATAACGTTGCTAGAGCTGGAACTTGGTCGCGTCCTGCAAGACTTCGCTTCCCCGCCGCAGGGGGATGTGTTCGCGCGGCCGCCACTGTCAGGATGGGTGAATTGATCATATTCGGATGAAATTATATGTCCCGCGTAGCGGTTATATAAGTTTATCCGATTGATCAAGAGGGTTGAGTACTCGCGCGGCCAGCGCCGCGCTGGCTCTAGGATTTTTCGACCCACCCTGCCTCACCAGGCGCTTGCGCGCCTCGCTTCAGCCCGCCCTTGGTCTCGCACTAGCGTGCACCGCTCCCGTTAGGATGCTGCGCCTCTAACTGGAGCTGCGCACCCGCCGGATTTAGGCCAATCGCGGCGTGCTCGAGGCGAGTTTCCGGCCTCCTTAGCTAGGCCCCTAGGGATCCCGCTAGGATTCGGCCGGTCTTTTTGATGCCAGTGTGTTGCGCTGGTGCCTTGTGAGGTGTGCTCATTTTGATAGATGCAATTTATCCGTTATCTGACGCTGAGAACGAGAAATGAATGAAAAAACATAACGTTGCTAGAGCTGGAACTTGGTCGCGTCCTGCAAGACTTCGCTTCCCCGCCGCAGGGGGATGTGTTCGCGCGGCCGCCACTGTCAGGATGGGTGAATTGATCATATTCGGATGAAATTATATGTCCCGCGTAGCGGTTATATAAGTTTATCCGATTGATCAAGAGGGTTGAGTACTCGCGCGGCCAGCGCCGCGCTGGCTCTAGGATTTTTCGACCCACCCTGCCTCACCAGGCGCTTGCGCGCCTCGCTTCAGCCCGCCCTTGGTCTCGCACTAGCGTGCACCGCTCCCGTTAGGATGCTGCGCCTCTAACTGGAGCTGCGCACCCGCCGGATTTAGGCCAATCGCGGCGTGCTCGAGGCGAGTTTCCGGCCTCCTTAGCTAGGCCCCTAGGGATCCCGCTAGGATTCGGCCGGTCTTTTTGATGCCAGTGTGTTGCGCTGGTGCCTTGTGAGGTGTGCTCATTTTGATAGATGCAATTTATCCGTTATCTGACGCTGAGAACGAGAAATGAATGAAAAAACATAACGTTGCTAGAGCTGGAACTTGGTCGCGTCCTGCAAGACTTCGCTTCCCCGCCGCAGGGGGATGTGTTCGCGCGGCCGCCACTGTCAGGATGGGTGAATTGATCATATTCGGATGAAATTATATGTCCCGCGTAGCGGTTATATAAGTTTATCCGATTGATCAAGAGGGTTGAGTACTCGCGCGGCCAGCGCCGCGCTGGCTCTAGGATTTTTCGACCCACCCTGCCTCACCAGGCGCTTGCGCGCCTCGCTTCAGCCCGCCCTTGGTCTCGCACTAGCGTGCACCGCTCCCGTTAGGATGCTGCGCCTCTAACTGGAGCTGCGCACCCGCCGGATTTAGGCCAATCGCGGCGTGCTCGAGGCGAGTTTCCGGCCTCCTTAGCTAGGCCCCTAGGGATCCCGCTAGGATTCGGCCGGTCTTTTTGATGCCAGTGTGTTGCGCTGGTGCCTTGTGAGGTGTGCTCATTTTGATAGATGCAATTTATCCGTTATCTGACGCTGAGAACGAGAAATGAATGAAAAAACATAACGTTGCTAGAGCTGGAACTTGGTCGCGTCCTGCAAGACTTCGCTTCCCCGCCGCAGGGGGATGTGTTCGCGCGGCCGCCACTGTCAGGATGGGTGAATTGATCATATTCGGATGAAATTATATGTCCCGCGTAGCGGTTATATAAGTTTATCCGATTGATCAAGAGGGTTGAGTACTCGCGCGGCCAGCGCCGCGCTGGCTCTAGGATTTTTCGACCCACCCTGCCTCACCAGGCGCTTGCGCGCCTCGCTTCAGCCCGCCCTTGGTCTCGCACTAGCGTGCACCGCTCCCGTTAGGATGCTGCGCCTCTAACTGGAGCTGCGCACCCGCCGGATTTAGGCCAATCGCGGCGTGCTCGAGGCGAGTTTCCGGCCTCCTTAGCTAGGCCCCTAGGGATCCCGCTAGGATTCGGCCGGTCTTTTTGATGCCAGTGTGTTGCGCTGGTGCCTTGTGAGGTGTGCTCATTTTGATAGATGCAATTTATCCGTTATCTGACGCTGAGAACGAGAAATGAATGAAAAAACATAACGTTGCTAGAGCTGGAACTTGGTCGCGTCCTGCAAGACTTCGCTTCCCCGCCGCAGGGGGATGTGTTCGCGCGGCCGCCACTGTCAGGATGGGTGAATTGATCATATTCGGATGAAATTATATGTCCCGCGTAGCGGTTATATAAGTTTATCCGATTGATCAAGAGGGTTGAGTACTCGCGCGGCCAGCGCCGCGCTGGCTCTAGGATTTTTCGACCCACCCTGCCTCACCAGGCGCTTGCGCGCCTCGCTTCAGCCCGCCCTTGGTCTCGCAC